CACGGGAAGCCACTGAATATGCAGGAGTGTGATCAGAGAAGCGTGTTATGAGAAGATTCGATAAGATCATCGTGGAACACGGTTGAGAGAGGCAGGAGGGGACTCAGAGAGAATGGTCAGTATGCTCCTGCAATAGTACAAGTGAAAGATGTTTGCATATTGTCTGGGTTCCGGAGTGGAAAGAGAAATAAATCTTCATTTTCCTATCCTCACATCTTGAGTGAATGCCTTTCACATGGCAGACATACAATACATGTTTATTGAATGAATGCATAAAATGAATATCATTAAGGCATTCGATTTATTTTCACAGGTAAAAAGAAAGCTGTTAAGGAGTGCTGATAAGCACTGCCTGTGCCGCCCTCACTATTACTGTTGGACTCTTAGTTATCAGATGCTGCTTCCTCTAAAAATGATTGAAAGATTCTAACAGACTGTAATAGAAGGGCTGATGTATCCTCTAACTGCCTTGAAAATAGTAATCAGAATTTCTAGGTAGCAAAAGTCAGGGGAAACTCTGGGAATAAAAGCACTATTTCTTTAGTCAACATTGGGTCCTTGAAAATGGCCAATGATAAGGATATCAGTTGTCAACCTGCCTATGTCCTATTTATGTCCTACCTGGATTTCCAAAATTCGTTATGTGCAGCAACTTACAATCACTACCAAGCTTTTCAGAATTCAAACAGGGAAGTCTATATTTAAACAAGATGCTATTTTCTTTCTTTTTCATTCCATAAATTATTCTAATTGATTCATCAGAATTCTGTGGGTAATATGGCTTGTCTTCCTTTTTAAAAACCTTAATTTTTTAAACATAAAATAAAATGGTTCAAATGCCTCAAAAATAATAGATGAGGCATAAAAACACTATTATCTTAATTCCTGAATAGTGTCCCTCAATGCAGAAGAAATATTTTAAAGTAGATAACAGATAAACAAAAAATATAAAAGCCCAAGTTTTAAGAATCCTCATTTCATATGTCAGAAAAATATTTCAACCACAGGTGAGGTTTGGAGATATAATTACAATATGGCAGCCAACCTAGAATAAATATTTCATTACCCATCAAACTCTGCTCACCCAATTACTACCACTAGAACAAGTATTTTGCTCTTCATTTATTTTAATGCTCCTGTCTTGTCTCCAGTTTCTGACATATTCAAGGTTAACGTGTATCTTTCTACATCCTTACCTTCACTGATCATCACAAAACTCAAGTATTTTCTTGTTAACCTCAACTTTCAATTCTGTCTTAATTTACTCTTAGGTTTAGGTCACGAAAAAATCTTTAAATCAAGATAGTACAGGAAATACAAGATAGTACTGGGAATATGTGAAGCTTAAATGCTTAAGACTTAAAGATTTGGCCGGCGTGGTGGCTCACGCTTGTAATCCCATTGATAATCAATGTATTTCCTGCCAGAATGCAAGAAAATGATAAAGGTAGAGTGAAAAAAATAGATTAATATGACCATATTCAAACAAGGACTGCATATATGCTACTGGATCTCTCTGTTTGGAAAAATCCACATTGGCATAGCCGATAAATCAAAAAGTAAATAGTTGAGTTATAACACTTCTGATTCATTCTGGAAACGGGTGGATTTTAAAGGCTTTACTGTGTTTATTTTTGTGTGTGTGGTATGCAGTGTTGGCTCACTGCAACCTCTGCCCCCCAGGCTCAAGTGATCCTCCCACCCCAGCCTCCTGAGTAGCTGGGACCAAAGGTATGTGCCACCACGCATGGCTAATTTTTTGTATTCTTAGTTGAAATGGGGTCTCACCATGTTACCCAGGCTGGTCTTGAACTCCTGAGCTCAAGCGATCTGTCCACCTTGGCTTCCCAAAGTGCTGGGATTCCAGGTGTGAGCCACTGCACCTGGCCCTGTGTGTGTATTTTAAATGGCCAAGTCTCCTAGTTTAGTATGTAATTCATGTCAATAAAGTATAATAAGCTTTAGATAAATTAACAAAATCTAATAATTATAATAATACTAGAAACACCTTATATGTGAAAACTATAAGGTTACACTTTACATGGCACTTCAACTGAATTATTTCACACAAAATCGATCTCTAAGTTTATTAGGTATTTTAGCCCACTTTAACAATGGGAAAAATGCAGGTTCAGAGAATTTAAGTCCCTTGTGCAAATCATTCAGCTTGTTAAGTTAGAAAAATAGGACTTACAGCAAGGTTTTCTGATTCCAAGCCTGCTATTCTCTCTAGGATGTCATGTTAGCATCTACAACCCATAATATGTGAAGTTTAAATACTATACCAATACCCATAATACGTGAAGCTTAAATGCTTAAGTCTTAAAGATTTGACTGGGCATGGTGGCTCACACCTGTAATCCCAGCACTTTGGGAAGCTGAGGTGGGCAGATCACCTGAGGTCAGGAGTTTGAGACCAGCCTAGGCAACATGGTGAAATCCTGTTTCTATGAAAAATACAAAAAATTAGCCATGCGTGGTGGTGTGCGCCTGTAATCCCAGCTACTCGGGGGCTGAGGCAGGAGAATTGCTTGAACCCAGAGGCAGAGGCTGCAGTGAGCTGAGATCACACCACTGCACTCCAGCTTGGTGGGCAACAAGAGCGAAACTTCATCTCATAAAAAACAAAAAAAGACCTAAAGATTCTAATAGTTTGGCAAGTGTGTACTAGAGTATGTTTGATTAATAAAGGCTTCTTGAAATTTATATTTTTATAGGCAAATATCAAAGCAAATTTGAAATAATAACATACACTTTAATAAAACAAAAATGTGTAAAAATACGCTTTGAGATGTAAAAAAACACATACCAATTCTCCAATAATTTCCCCTTAAAAATAAAAATAATAGTATTAAAAGGCTAAGGGATGAAACTACAATGTCTAATTGAAATACTAGGACCACATGGGGAAGGAATTAATGTTAAGGTCTAGTTTTTCCCCCCTAACAAGCATGACAAACTGTATTACACATTTATCTTCAATGATCAAAATTAAATGATATATTTAACAAAAATGGAATTTCAAGAACAGCTGAAACGAATCCATAGAACAGAGTCTACAGAGAGTTCCTTTGGAGATGGTTATAATTTGAAAAATGGCACAAGGGAGGCTCCTGGGCATGTTGGAAACGTCCCATGTCTTGGCCTGAGCCATGACGAAACGGTTGTATATGCATATACATTTTCATCAAGTTGTTCTTTTTATTTGCTTGTATTAGAGACACGGTTTTGCTCTGTTTCCTAGAATAGAGTACAATGGTATGATCATAACTCACTGCTGCCTCAAATTCCTGGACTCAGTGATCCTTCCATGTCAGTGTCCTGTGTAGCCAAGACTATAGGCGTGTGCCACTGCACCTGGCTAATTAATTTTTTTTTTTCCTTTTTGTAGAGGCAAGGTCTTACTATGTTGCCCCAGCTGGTCTTGAACTCCTGTCCTCAAGTGATTCTCTCACCACAACATCCCAAAGTGCTGGGATACAAGCATAAGCCACCACACCTCGCCAAGATGTTCTTAGGATTTTGTACTTCATGTATGGAATACCTCAAAAAAAAATTTTTTAAAGGAAATTATAGTGAGGTATAACAGGAAAAGAAGACTAAACAATAAGCAGGAAGTTAGAAACAGCACCAAAGAAAATATTATTAGGCTCATTAATAAGACCGCAAAAGGGCAGCTGATACGTATAATTAGCTAGTACTTGCTGCAGACAAATGGAGAATATTTGAATCCATTGTTATTCTGAGAAGGTTAAAGAGTATATGAAAATCCTGCCTGAATAAGCCCATGAAAATTTTTCTCTGTTGAAGAGAAGTGAAACAAAAGTCAGTGAACTAGAAATTATTCTAAAGATAACTGCCCCACTGATTTTTAAATAACTGAAATATTAATGTTAAAAACTCAGGCAATTTTAATGAAATATAAATTTTCACTACTATATTTAAGAGCATCAAATATTGGATATAATACTAGAAACCAAATATAGCAATAACCTACTATATCCAGAAACTATTATTTCTCAAAAAATGTAATGTGAAGAACTTATTTGTGCATATGTGTATATATGTATATATATACACACACACACACATATATATACACACCCATTCCTCAGTTCAACTGTGACTTTGTAGAAATGACTTAATTTTTTTAATCCTTAGCTTTTCCTGTAAAGAGAATTGAACTTATAATACCTCTAGCGATACATTCAATGTTTCATTACTAAAATCACCCCAACACTGTCTCAAAACCTAGAGAGCAAAGGGTTCACATTTTCTTTGGCAGTTTATAAAATCAGATGCAGGAAAGTGTGAAACACAAATTCCACCAGCCACTAGAGATTCTAAAGCCCCACGGCAGGGAAAATCTGCGGAAAGTGAGTGCCCACCCTGCATGGCTGTCCGGAAGCAGGTGCTCTGGAACATGGACTCCAGCTAGGTGAATTCTCAGAAACAAACAGAAACTGACTCTGGAGTGAGTGGTGCTAGAAAAGCCACTCTTGCCAAGGGAAGCTCCGAAGCTCCTTGGCTTCAGTGTCTTGACTATGACGTTCCAATGTTTGGAATGCAGAAGACATGCAAATCTGTAGTCAAGAGCATTAAAAAACATAAGTGCAGTTTAAAATTCTGATTTATAACAGCTCATTAGTTAATCTATCAGAGGTAACCAAACACAAATCCAAGGGCCTGGCTTTGTTTTGTTTTTACCCCTGAGATAAAATATGGCACAGCCTGCCATTTCCATTCATTTGCTCTTTAATAATAGCCTTTTTATTTTCAGTTATGCTTTGGACTAGTGTAAAAAAGATAAGAGTCCTCAATTTCACCATACATGATGCTATTCATGAACAACCTCGAGGACCTTATCTTGGCCTGCAACGACCATGCATGCAGCCATGCAAACATGCATCCATGCAACATAGCAGCACACAACACAGTGCAAAAACGGCAAAGAAAACCAAGTGATGGCCATGCTTGTATTTTTTCAAGGGTCTCCTTACCAAATAGTGAAATCCTATGCCTGACAAGAACTCCAAGTTTGCAGAATAGGCTGAAGACAAAAGAAAAACAAAAGAGAAAAGGGAAGGGGGAAGGGAAGGTAGAAAAGACAGGGGGAAATTAAAAAAAAAAAAAAAAAAGGAAGAAGAAGAAAGAAAAAAAAAAAAACAGCTGATATATGAGCCGGAAAAAAGCAACATGATGTCACGCAGAAAGAATCAATTCTCTGAGCAGAATGTGGAGTAAAGGTATTAAAGAAAGAGTCTTTGAGTGCATATCTTTAACAAACATGGTTAAAAAAGCACATATTATAAGAAACCAAAAAAAATTGAAAGCAAAGCTAATTAATATAAAAGCAATCTATATGAACCCCATAAGGATATAACTACTGAAAAACCACAAGGAAAAAATTTGGTTTTATCTGCCCAGATGTACCACTGAAACTCTGGATTTAAAAAATATGTATATATACATATATATATTTTTTTACATTATTTTACAACAGAAGTATGGTGCTTTGGGCATACAATGTTATTTTAAGTTTTAATATGTTTCACTATTTGAAATCTCCTTCTTCCCCAACCTTGATCACACTCCTTACATAAGCATCCAGTGAATTTGAATACAGTAAAGTAGGAACCGAATTTGAGCAACTGATAATCACTCAGAGGAAAGCATTACAGATGTGATAACTTAAAGACTCTGGATACCAACAAGTTCAGTATATTTCTTATCTGCTCCAGAGAAGGTTCCTGTGTCTTTGAGTCCTTCATGGCAATTAGCAATGAGCCAGTCCAAATAATGGCTGCCCATATTCAGCATTCAGCCTGACAATGCTGGTATCCACTCTCAGATCAGACCCTTGAACCTGGGAGATCCCTGCTATTTGTCCTTTCTTTTCACTGAGCCTCAGCTGGGTGGGATCCTCACAGGTCCTTATTTTGAGAAATACCCTTCACTCATTTCCATGCTATACTCCTATCTACTCATCCCTCAAAACTCAGCTCAGTTTATTTTTAGAATAAACTCATTCAACTAAATAAAACTAAATAAACTCACTAAAATAAGGATGTCAGCATTCTGACATCCAGCCCTCCTGTACGGCTCCCAACCTAGGCTGCAAGAGGTCCATACCCAGATGCTCTCAGGGGCCATTTGCAAATCTCTACCAATACAAGTGACATTATTTTCACATCTACTCACACTCTTCTCAGCTCTCAGATTGCACAGGCTCTACCCAGCCAGCACCTACCCAAAAATATCTAACCTTGAAGATCCATTTGTAGAGTACCACCCACACTCAGCTTGATTTTTCCCAATAATGAGAACAGCTAAGTCCTCCCTGACCATGTTCTCTTACAAAACTCGGCATTAACAGCTGTGATCAAATGTACAGCTCCCCAGGACTAGGGATAGAGACCAGCCATGGAATACCATGAAAGTGGCTGATCAGTGGCAGGATGGGAAGAGAGGGAAGCAGAGAAGGTAACATTTGTGAGGTTGACCTCTTTTACAGTAAGTTTTGGCCATCACCCCTCACTTCTGTAGCAATGTGGATTCGTGTATTGGTGAAAATTATGTAGGCTATTTTGCAGCTTTTCCAAGAAAATGTTCACCTACAAATGTCTGAGTGAATCTGAGGTTTTGGGGAATTTCTTATCAGAACAAAACATTTTTAAAACAATGATCTATTCAAGCGGCTACTAGACATGAGATTAGACCTGAGGCCCTTGACCTGCATGATTTATCTTTGTGCTATAATTTTAAGACAATAAAACAGGAGAAACTTTGTCCACGTGCCCTTATCTACTGAGCTTTATGACTGACAGCTGTGCATGCTAACTCAGCGAGGGTCTTTTTTTCTAAAGCGAATAATTCAGTTTGGAACGGTATATAAGAGACTGTTTCTACTGAGCTTTACGGCTGACAGCTGTGCGTGCTAACTCAGCCAGGGTCTGCCTTTTTCTAAAGAGAATAATTCAGTTTAGAATATTCTTTGGATCCCTGTATTCAGATCTATTTTAAGTCATGTATTTTGCCTATTCCTCTCTAGTATCCAGAGTGAAATATTCTGAGATATTCTTGATGATCCAGAATTTATAATGCTAGGATTAGGTTTCACCCAATTAATCCAAACCTAGGATGTTTTGCTATCATGGAAGACTGCTCTATGTTTCATTTATCAAATTATATGTAATGCCTGAACATCTGTCAGAGAAAAATGACTTGACGATCTCTGCTGATTCCTCACCACATGTGCCACCAGAGAGAAATACAGATATAGAAGACAAGGTCCTCAAAGAGGGCACATCAGAACTCTTTCCCTTCCTGCGCAATCCACTTTTAGGGCATGGTATTCATAGAAACTATAAGGATTAATTATTATAAGCTTTGCCTATACTTTCTCTAAAAAATATTTTCTATCATACTGTTGTCCCCTTTCTCTGCTTCCCCTCATTACCAACATTCTCCAGAATTTATAAGACATCCACTTCTTCAGCATTTACTCATTGTCTTGTACCAAAACACTCCTTTGCAGCTCACCAATGCCCCTAATCAGCAAAGATAGTAACCCTTTGTTTTCTGGAGTTCTGTCAACAGTACTTGGCATTGTTTATTACTTAAATCTTGAAACTCTTACCCTCCTTGGATTTTATTTATAGTATTTTTTTTTTTGCTTTCTAATTAATCATTCTTGATGTTCTTCAAAGACCTATTTCTGAAAACCCTGTAAATGTAATAATTCTCCAAACATTGGTATTCAAAACCTTTTGTCTGTTTCTCTACTCTCCTTCAGTTTTATCTACTTTCAGAGCTTCAAGCATTATATATATATGTTTGGATAATCCCCAAATATGTCATTTCTTGCTCTAACCTCTCAATTAACCCCACATGCTAATATTTCCAATCTGCTGGATTTCTCCAGTTGAATGACCTGCGGGTACCTTCTACTCTGATAAATACCTGACCAAATGTAACCTCTTCTTAGAAACTGTTCTTTTTCTGAAATATGTTGTTTCTGTTCATGATACTAACAATATTCCAACTACCCAGAGTTGAAATTTCAGCACCAAGTTGGACCTCTTTCTACTTGCCATTTTACTCATCACCAAGTCATGTTGACTTTCTCTCCTCCCGGTTTCTCACGCCAGCTCCTGTTTACATCCCTTCTATATTCCCAGCACTCTGTAGATGTTTCCACTGACACTCATCACAGCTTCTTGTAGAGTTAGCTCTGTATGTATGAGCCTACTCAGCTGTACTTCTAAATTTATTAAAGTTAGGAACTGTCTTATTGTGTGTATATAGCTTCAGGCCTCAGACAGCATGCCGCACATAGCTGGCATTCAGAGATATCTGCTGAATGAGGCCAGGCGCAGTGGCTCATGCTTGTAATCCCAGCACTTTGGGAGGCCGAGGTGGGCAGATCACCTGAGGCCAGGAGTTCACGACCAGCCTGGCCAACATGGTGAAACCGTATCTTTACTAAAAATACAAAAAAAAAAAAAAAAAAAAAAAAAAAAAGCCGTGCATGGTTGCAGGTGCCTGTAATCCCAGCTACTCAGGAGGCTGAGGCAGGAGAATTGCTTGAACCTGGGAGGCGGAGGTTGCAGTGAGCCAAGATTGTGCCACTGGACTCCAGCCTGGGGGACAGAGTGAGATTCTATCTCAAAAAAGAACAAGAAGAAAAAGACACATCTGCTAAATGGATAGGCGGGCAGCACCACCTATTTGAGGCAGCACTTCCAACACTATAGCCTGGGTTACTGTCTAGGCCTCCAAGTGCCTGCCATGGCCTCCCAACTCTCCCACTCTCATCAATTATACTTTTGCTGCCAGATTGTATTTCCCAGAGGGAAGCTCTGATCATTCTCTCACTTAAAAAGCTTTAACAGCTTCTTAGTGTTAATTAATTAGGTTAAAAAAATTGTGATATAATTTTTAAAAGAAGATTCCTGATTCTGACAGTTAATATCCGTTACCATCTATATAACCTAGCTTTCCCCTAAATTACCAGCTTCTACATTTTATTTATGTAGTTATCTACATTTAGCAAATATTTTCCTTCCTTAATCTCTGACCTACAAATGGTCCAAGATCAACTTTGACTGGCTTGATTTCCATAAATCTCTCACCCCTCTATATCCATCCAAGGTGGTCTTGCTTTACTTTGAATCCCATCGCACTGCCTGGCTTTCTCTTACTAGGGCTATGCTCATATTCATGTATTTAGCTACTGCAAAGTATACTCCAGACATGACAGTACTGACCTTACATACAGTAAGTGCTCAGTATATAATAATTTCTTGTGCCAGGAAGTATCTGAACATCTCATGAAACATTGGTTTTAATTGTGGAAAAGTTAACTCAAACCCACACAACTATTGCTACTCACATTTGTTAAACACTTAAAACCATTATCATAGTGTTTATCATGCGAATGAAGATATGCTTATTTATTCATAATGGCAGGGCCAGTTTTCTACCTATTAAGTTTATACCCTACCAATATTTTTCTATACAAACAAATTAAGTCCTCTTTAAAAGTTGGGTTAATACTATTTGAGCATATATTTTATACTTTATCATGATCATTTTCCAAAAGTGTTAGACACTCATTTCCATCATGTTAATGACTGCACAGCATTTTGTACAGACATGAGCCATCATTTATCACTTCCTTATTCATATTTTCCTCTATGATTTTCTTTCTCTCTGAGGTTAAATTCTAGCTATGTTTGGCACTAACGTACTGTAATAACATAAGTTACTTTTATTATGCACCTCATTTTCTATGTGTTGGAATTTTAAATGGCATATGCTCCTTTTTTGGGGAAATACCAATGGGATAAGCAAAATTTACCAACCCTTTTTCTATTAGTAGAAGTAAAACTGACGATGAAATACAGTCATGCATCGTTTAATGATGGCGATTCAGTCTGAGAAATACATCATTAGGCAATTTCATTGTTATTCCCATAACATAAGTACATCATGGAATGTACTTACACAAACCTAAATGGTATAGCCTATAGCTCCGAGGTTACATACCTGTGCAGCATGTGACTGTACTGAATACTGTAGGCAACTGTAACAAAATGGTATTTGTGTTTCTAAACATATCTAAAAAAATTAGTAGAAATATAGTATTATAATCTTACGGGGCCACTATCATATATGCGGTCCAAAATTAATTGAAACGTTGTTATGTGGTACATGACTATAATTAAAAACATTCTGGTGCAGTGTCATTAGAGAGAGGGGTAGTCTAGGGTCAGTCTAGAGCCCCAAAGGGACATCAACTGAGGCTAGCACAAAATAGCGATGTACCTCTGATTTATTCTATGAGGGATACAGAATTGCCCAAGGAAAATGGGCCAATTTTCTTTTTTGGTGTATAGTTCCATGAAATTTTTCCAGCTTTATAGAGGTATAATTAGCAAATACAAATCATATATATCGAAAACACACAATTGGATGCTTCTATATATGCATAGTATGGGCTCAGTGAATAGTTCTAAGGGTAAGGCTGAAACTGAACGGAGATAATAAAACACAAGACAGGAGAGGAGGAAAATAGCAGAATTTGCATCGATTTATTTGAATTTGTCTCTATTTTCTCTGATTTTATTTTATCTTTATATAACTGAGTGATATCTAGATTAACAACACCCTTGGAGAACAAAGTTCCTATTAAAAAAGGCTAACAGACCCAGGGAGGAGTAGGAGACTTCAACGTGTCCTCAATTTCATGATGTTTAAGGGTAACTTGGTGCCTTGGGATATTCTAGCTACTTGCGTGCACTCACAATCCACAGGGGGATCCTGGCTCAGAGTAGTGGATGTGTGTGCTTATGAAATGACGAGGGAGGAGCTGCTCTCCCTCCCAGTGAAGGTGGGAAGGAAGGCCATGTTCAAGTCGGAAGCGGGGGAAATTCACGTCATGGAAAGTAACTGCATGGCCTCTCTCCATGTGGCAGCAATTTGTGGAAACAAAGCATGCCGCTGGGATGGAGTCCTGCTGTTATTTTAACTATAATCAATTTTATAGGAAAATTCATTTGAAGAAGTTTGAGGACATGTTTTATACTGTTGCAATCCCTTATCACATGACTGGCCACTTACTATTTGGTAAAATAGACAGTAAGTGAAAGAGATGAACTGAAAATTCCACTCCAGCTGCATTCCCCAGTGTTATGCAGTGCAGGAATCTTTTCAGTTCTCCACCCTCTCACGAAGGCTGTATGCAATCTCATCTCACTCTGTCTAATAGGTGGAGACCGTACTGCCTTTCAGCATAGCATTAACGTCAAGTCCGAGGAAAGCCTGTATTTTCTCCAGTGTTCTGCTTCATGCCGTGTATTCACTTTTATAGAAATTTTGTTCCGATACAATCTAAAAACTTGGTATGGCTTTTGGGCAATGTAATATTACAGAAGTAAACTTGCTCCGTAATTGACTCTCGTGTACATTAAATTCTAGCAGAAGTTTGAGTGAAAGGACCTGATCTCCCCAGCCGAATCACAACTGAGTCCATAAAGAACCCTTTGGTTTAAACAGAAATGAGAAAGCATTGCTAAGAGGGGAAACCTTCAGAAATTTTGTAGGTATCTTTACTTCATTTTTCTTCCAACATTGGTCATTATTTTTAAATTAAATATGTATATTTGGGACTTTTTTCTGAACAATAAAGGCTGGCAAAAATATCAGATTTGTGGAAATGTTAAAGAAACTAATGTCAAAAGCACCATTTATCACAAATACTAATATGGTGATGCATGTCCAGCCTCTACATGTAGATTCTGAAATGAGTGATATTTTATCCTTCTATCCAGCATTACACTTAGCAGCAAAATATAAAGAAATTCAACATCTAGAACACATATCTTAACTCGTAAAAACTGTTTTCATCTAGTGTTTGCTTCCATGAAGACATGGACCAGGGAAATGGGCGGATACTCTCCATATAGTCCCACGTCAAGGTCCTCAGGTTCTCTTTGCAAATGCATATACACCTAAGTCATACAACAGTGATTATTTTTATAGCTGTTTACCTAGTCACCATTTCTTTCTCTTTGTTGGAAGCATGTCCTCCAGAGCAGAGAGGTCTGCTTGCTGCAGATAAGAAGTATAAACGATGGTTTTTGAAATACTGATCAATTAAAGGAAGAACGACCTGAAAGAAAGGAAAAGAAGACAGATCTACGTAGTGGAATCTTTCAGGGGATGAATGAGAGCTGAGGCTTTGGAGCAGTCAGAGTTCTGTTCACATGCATCAGGTCTCCTTATGTCCATGCCAGGCAGGTCATAGTATGCCCCTCTTAAATCTCACTCTACCGTCTCGAGTCCATAGTGGGGAAAGCAGAGTGTGGCAGGATGTGACTATGGGGAACAGAGCAAACTTGCAACAGTTTGGAATTATTCTTAATATTTTCTCAAAAGGAAATATTCTCAATGTTTTCATATAATATAGTTCAGTGCCCAACAGACCCCAAAATAATCCATAGCTACCATATGTTGAGTCTCTACTATGTGTGAACATTGCAGCTGATGATAGCAACTCTTCTGTAGGGTAGATGCCATCATCCCTGCCTTATGGGTATTAAATGGAGAGATAGAAATGTGTGACTTACTGAAGGTCACATTACTACTTACTTGCCTACACAATGTTCTTTTAACCTGGCCTTTCTCAAAGTGCACTTTCCATTTCTATGCACGTTTCGTCCTGCTGGCCTTGGGCCCATTCCTCCTCCTCACTCTGTCCACTCGCATCACCTGGCCTTGTACACACCAATCCCTCTGTCCGGCATGCTCTTCTGCACTCCACATCCTACTCACCCTGGTCCTCCTGTAGATCTCAACTCAGTGGTGCTTTGCTAGGTAAGTCTTAGCTGATCTCAACTAGATAAAGTCCCACATTCTGAGTGCTGACAACATCATTTGCAATTTTACATTGTACTTGTGGGACTTTGGATTAAAGTCTCTCTTTCCAGGAGCCTATGAGTTATGCAAAAACAATAAACATTTCTGGGTTTGTTTTCCATTATACCCCTTTCCTGGGGTTGGGTCCAGAACTATTAACTGGTCTCTTCTGTTTACCACTGAATCCCTAGTACTAAGGACTGTGACAGGCCCATGGCAAGAACAAGATTGGCACTACCAGTATGCAAACTCAAGTCTATCTAAATATACTTCTTTTTCCTACCATGCGGTAGAGCACAGTTATATATAACAGGGACATCACCAGTTTTTATTGTTCTTCCTTGACAGTCGGGATATTGTCTGAATTTAGTGACTGGCACATAGTAGGCACTCAATATGGTAAATGAATGAATTATAGACTTAGTAGAAATTAAGCCACATTAAGCATCTGTAAACAGAATCACTAGGGGTGCTGAGTAGATGGGCAACACAAGAATGTATTTTAAAGGGATAATTAGAGGCCGTGAATATAGTATTCTGATAATTGGCTATCAAGTAAGATTACAATCTCACAGAGACCGGAGATACACATATGGATCTATCAATCGAGGAATCGCTAACTGTGTGCACCCCAGGACAAACTTTCGATCTTCAAATGATTGGAACAGACTCTGAGTGCTATATTAAATGGGAAGAAAAGACAATGGAAATGTGTTTTACAGTAAAGAACACAATTTTGAAAACATACTACAAGTCAATATTCATCAATCAAAAAGCATGCTATTTTAGAGTCCACAAAAGTTGTATTTATAGCAAATTATCTGTAATCACTGAATGCAAGTACTTTGAGAGGAAACAGACAGCAGTATTAGGTCTTCAGGCTCACAGCAAGGTGTCCCAAACAGGAAAGCTTACCCAGGGGCATTGTATATTCATGGCAATCCCTGGGCCATACCCTAATGCCTGACCCAGACTAGACACACAGTAAATACTGAGTAAATGAATTAAATCATTTGGAGGCTTTACAACTTTTCATGTCCATCCCTTTTTGACTGAAAAAAGTGATGATTTTTCCGGTGATAGAGCAAATCCCTGATAAATCCTTATGAAACGAAATAAATAATAACAGTGGGATGTCCTTTGTTTATAAACAATCTATCCTTTCTGATCTTCTGTAAAATGAGTAGGAAAAGGTCCCACAATAAAGATTCTATACTAAATGTTCTTATAATGTACCCATTTATGAATTAACTAAGACTTTCCTATTTATAAAAGCAATTCTCAACTAGAAATTTTAAATCGTAACAATATCCACATGTTAAGAAATAGATATTTTCATTCTATATCATACGATAAAAAAAAATGCAAACTGAATTAAACCTCAGATAGAATGAAGTCATTTGAAGAAGGAATATGGTAGGGAATGCAGAGTTAAAGTCTGACCAAGTATGATGGGAAGATGATTCATGCAGTTATTTTCATGCCACAGAATATTTACGTGCAGTAAAATACATATTTGTAGACAAGTATGTTCTGCAAAGGGCAACGATCTAATGAATAGAGGATGTAAACAAACATATTGAAGCAAAAACAAGATAGATTGTATACTGTACTTTTGCAAAGAACTTGATTTCTTGTTCATAAGGGAAATGTTCTCCTTTGCCTCTGCTGCCACCATCTGTAGATGTGAAGAGTTTTTAGGTAAATGCTGCACTGGAAACATTGCAAGATATTCATCCATAATGCAAAGGTTAGAAAGCATGGCTAAATGTATTATCCCACTACACTGAATGGAAAAAGCCAACCAAAAATACAAAGGCAAGCTTTGGCAGTGTCATTAAAAATAAAAGGATTTTTTTAAATACCCAAATCTAAATTTAAAAAGCTATTGAGGACAGCCCATGGTTGTGGTTAGAAACACAAACACATTTGTGTAGCTTTGAGATCTTATTGACATAGGGAGGGGAAAATGGAATAGAATAAAGTAAAAATCCCACATTTTCAGTAGCCTTTAAGAAAAGAAGCTCACTGGGGAGGGGACAGTGGGTGTAAATTGAATAAACATAATTGGTTAGATACTAACCCTGGCCTCTAATAATACAGATTGCCTCTTGGTGTGACCGAAAGTTAAAGCTTCTCAATTTAAGATACAAACTAAAACACTGCAGGAAGTCAGGATCTGTGACAAGGAGGAGGACAGCAATTTTAATATTAGGTTGGCAAATTAGCATTCCGCTAAAGAATAAAGAAATTTTGACCTATGTCAAAAGATAATTTTCATAAGCGAAGTAAAAACACCCAAGTTTTCCCTATGGTTTAAAAAATGATCCAAGGTCAAGAATTGATTAACCTAATTCATTTAGCTTAGAAGGTGGCCTTTCTTACCTCCTTCATACATATGGAAAAGGTTCATGCATATATTAATAGACGAGGTAATAATAAACTATAATAACCACGATGGCATGCAGAACATATTGGAGAGCTAAAAAATTCAGAATTGAGTATCAGGTTTTAGTAAAATTTGTAAGCAGAGCTTCCAGATATTTAAGAGCCAAGCTGACTTTTGCTTGAAAAAGTTATTTTGCAAAATAATAATAATAATAATAATAACTTGAGATAATAGTTTGTCAAATTTTAGACAAAAATATAAGATAATTTTTAGGAAACTTAGGCTACTATTTTGCAATATCAGAATGCTCTCCCCATGAAGAAGCAAAAGAAAATTATGGTTTTTTAACACTTGCAAATTTCATTTGCATGGCACTTTGGCATTTGAATCTCTCTTAAGCACATTATGCAAAATGGCTGGATTCAGATAATAGACTTTCTCATATAAAGTTATCTCAAGATAAAATTTTGTACACAGCCAAATCTGCTCATATTTCAATGAATTAAATAGGAAATGTCTTTTACTACATTTAAACAAACGCTTATGTGCAAAATGTGAAAAAGATGTGGAGAGAATATAATCTATGGTATAATATAAAAATGAGAAAAAGGCATATGCATATTTTTACTACCACAATTAACTTAGGTCTAGGAATGGCTACATTAGAGATGTGCTACAAAATCACTAAAGTGAAGGATAAAGGGAGAGGGCAATATAGCAGTTTCACTTGTGATAACAATGAAAGATGGAAATTAAAATAAACACGGTATTGACAATCACAGCTCTATCTGCTCCTCTAACAGAGTTCCTGAACCTAATTTGCCCTGGCAAAGCCATCCGAAAACGGTACCTATAACATCAGGCATTGTGAAAAAGGTTATTTGGTTGGGCTCTGTCATTGTAGCCTACTTTCTCTCCCGTGCTCTGTTTATAAGACCCTCTACCCTGTGGATGGAATGAAATGTGTCAAGTGGGTGAATGTACCCTGGAGCAAGATTCTCACCACCCCCATACATGAACTGTAGTAGGTAGTTTATTCAGACATTTGAATAAAGTGTGAATAATACCTAAACACACTTCTTCCCTTCAAATTGGTGTTTGTGTTCTCCAATGTGAAGGTAAAAAACAAACAACTTTCTTGTTCCTTTCTCCAAATGACGACTCTTTCTTTCTCTCCTGTCCCTTGTATCTCCAAAAACAAGACTGGATATTGGAGTTGCTACCCATATCGGATCCTTTCAAATGTGGATCAGAAATTGCAACATTTAGCTTTCTGTGTAAAAGCTTCAATAATTCACCCCTACCTCATTTTTGTTCTCCAGTTAAATTTCATTAATTCAGATCAATTTGGCTATGTATTAGGATAAGTCAGGAATCATATTTTTAAAAATTGTTAGTTGTATGAATCACAGAGAGATTACAGATTATAAATTAGCTTGTAGTGTAAACTTGCATGAAAAAGATGCGCTCGAAGAGAGCAACAATATAGTATTTGAACTGTAGAGGCAGGTTGAAAGAGAAGTCAATTGTTTATGAGAACGATGCTCAACTGGAAAATCTTCAATCACATTTAGGATACAAGAGGCCAGAAAGAAGAAAATACCAGAGCTCTAATTTCTACAAACTTAAATCTGGTGCTATGGCAGAAACTAGATTTACACCCTAAGACAAACAGCAGCTAAGGGATCCAAAATGAATGGCCCAAGAGGAAAGGTGTTGAACGCAAAACGAGTGAGTGTTAAAAATAAAGAGAAAACCTTGAGAACAAAAATGAAAATAAATGAATAACCACCAGAAGAGCACACTGTTTTCAAAAGGGAACAACCCGGAGTTCCTCACACCGTATTACTACGCAGTGGCGGGAAGGTGCTCTGACATTAAGCAGTTAACAAGTTGAATTTTAATTCAACAACGAGGAGGGTCACAAAACAACAGAAGTGACCAGAGGCTGCTTTGATCATCTGTGCTGAATCTAAGGCTTAATGAATGAGGTTTTAAAAATTCTGAGACAGCACTGGGCCAGATGGGAAAGAGGTCTTTCGCCGTACCCTAAGAGCATAATAAAGGATTCTGCACTGCAGTTACTCTAGTATTAATGTATTTCCCTACAAAGGCTAAACGCAAGGCCTCTATAGTGTTTAGAAATTTTGAAAATCCATAGTTTTGCAAGTTTTTCTTATGAGTAGAGCAATTAATTTCATAGGTAAGATTTAACTCTACCTTACAATTCTGATGTCCTTCCAATGTATCTTTCAAAGTGAAAAAAATGAATGCCAATAAACATTATAAGGAGAATAACTTAGATGTTAGATTTTTAAAACTTCACAGACTTTACCCACTCCCCAAGAACTTGTTCATCCACTGACTGGTGAACTCTACTTAGTAGTAGGATGAATAGATGGGTTGACACCACCACAAATAGCTCAGCAGCCAGTGTTGTTCTATATCCTGATGTTGTAAACATTAAGAACAACAAACATTGGGCTATTAGCAATGGGACTATGGCACCTACCAAACTCCAGGATATACTGATGGGCTTCATCCACATAGCGAATGAGTTGTTGGAGGAAACTGTAGGCAAATCGTTTCTCAATAGAAGGCGTGTCCAGTTCCAGGTCCTTAAATCCTCTGGAACAGCAAAAATGAAATAGGGAAAGCAATTTGTACAAAGCCTCTTAGAAGGTAAAATTGTGTGTGTGTGTGTGTGTGTGTATGTGTATATATCCATACATGTTTATATATGTTTATATATACATATAAATTTTGAAGTTTATCTAATGTTATTGTAGCTCAAGGAAAAAGTAAGATTTAACCTATAAAGAATATTTTGCACATGATATAAAGCTTCAGTGAGTAACTCTCTTATTGTGCAACAAAATGTTGCATTTACAAAAACAGAGTGTGATTTTTTGCCTGGGGATTTTGCCTAAATGATGGATAGTGATTTAATATATGTAGCAAAAGGAACTCACTTATGTGGTACACAGCTAGGGGTGTAAATGTTTCTGATGTGTGTATTTTGAACATATTAAACAGTACCTCAAAGGTGTAAACAGATCATTGAATTCATTTTCAGCTTTAAATATGATGGAGATATTTAAATATTCACCCTCATGAAAAGAGTGTGTAATTAGGGTATGTGTACTTTTACCTGGATACAGCATATCCATTGATCTGCAAGAACTTGAGGATGTCCTGTGCTTTTTCTCTATCCTTGGCTTTCTCTTTGGCTGTCAGTGTATCATAGGGCACCAGCAGAGGGTGGTTACCTCCTCCTAAGAGTATGTCAGGACAAGAACACAGCATAGTAATTTGAAAATAATCTGAGATGAGACACAGATATATCATTGGACCACACTATAAAACTTTTCATGTCCTTTAATAATACACAGAGCATATAAGACTCTTCTGCCTCTATTGCCTTTAATGTTTCATTTAATTCAGAAAAACTACTCAAAGAAAGGCTGTGCATATGCCTTCTAAGAGGCAGTTAAAACACGAACATGCATGCATTTGTAACACTGAGTGACAATAATATCTGCATTCGCCAACGAGAGAGAAGCAGCTGTATTCTCTTCTCTGTTCAAAGCAATTCTGAATGTGGAAAGTGGAAATAAATGCTAAATCATACTTAGCAGGATTTAGAAAAGTTATAAAGCATGTTTCAGGGGTTATGCTTCATTTGCTGCCCCACAGAGAGAAGAGTCAAAGTCTTAAAGATGGAATTTTTATTATATCTCTCAGATCAGAGAGTACTTCGTAGTCACATTATTTATAAATATACAAAACCACATATAGATGTGCTACATTGAAAGTGGATCACTCTTAAGTGTCTAATACTTGACTTTAAGACCTAGGGGCAAGTACCTTTTAGCAAGAGTCTAGATTTCTAATATACTTATCCTGATAATACTTACTAAAGTAGTCTTTCTTTCAGATTTAAAAATTCTAGAAAATATGTAAATTTAAAAAACCTAATACGCAGAAAAACCTTTCTAAAAATTATAAATTACGTAAGAATTTTGGTTAAAATTTTGCAAAAATTATAAAAATATTTTAAAATGCACTGTTAATTTCAGATGTAAAGATTTGGTACAAAGAATGCTATTAAAACAGCGGCAAACTGAATAGCATGGTATGCCTCACATTTAACATTCGTAAAATATGTATGGTAATAGATATTGTGTGGGAGGCTGAGCTACCCTGAAATACAACTGCTAAGGAAATTCCAGGAAGAATAATTGAGAATAAATATTGTTTGAATTATAACAACATATAGCCTATGAAATCAGTTTCCAATACAGTTTAGCCAGGAGCTACTGCAACAATGACAAATGTTGAATTTGCCCTACACAATAAATAAGCAAGCAAAGGAAGAAATGTCTGCTTCCCTAGTGCTGGCTTTGACTGAGAGTGCCATCTGCAGACATGCAATCGCCCACTGAACTTTAATACCATTAGGTGACACTGTGCTATCATATATGCACGGCGGTTGTCCAGAACTACAGAGCTAACAAATACTAACCACGCTAAGGAATTCAGGTACTTCACAGTATATTAACAATATCAAGCACAATACAGCTGTTAGAAGACAACGACAACAAACACTCGTGAACAGCAAGAGGATATAGAATTTGTTACTAAGTTTCGTAGAAACCAAATTTGACTTTTGTCCTAATCAAAGATGTAATTTAACAGGACACTTTATAAGGATACTATAATTAACCACAATTTATTCTATATTCTCAAATAGCTACAAGAGCAGATTCTGAATGCTCCCAACACAAAGAAATATAAATGTTTGAGGTGATGGATATGCTAATTACCCTGATTTGAACATTACACGTTGTATACATTATACAAATATCACACTGTAAGTCATATAGACAATTATGTATCGGTTAAAAATAAAAGCAAAAATCTTTTTAAAATCAAGCACCGAATTCCATCACCCTAGTTTAATCAACCATCACCTAGTTCGAACTCCATTACTGCATTTAGTCCTAGAGAATGCTATTAATTTGGCAACTTAATTTGTAATCAGTGATTTGGGGGCCACATACCAACAAGTTACTGTCGGGGAGGTGGGGAGAGAAAGAGGGAGACGCAGAAAGAGGTCTATAATTTAAAAATCCTAAGAACACAAAGTACCCACTAACTCGGTAACTCTTCTCACTCTATTCGACCTCCACTGAACTAGAAGGCGAAGGGATCTGAAAGCCTGCCAGGTGACTGAAATCTACGTCCTCACTGTGCCTCTAACTAGCAGTGTGACCATGGACATTTACCTTGCACTTCCACCCTCATCTTTCCCATTTATGATATGGGTGTAGACATCTCGTGCTGAAGGAAACCAGCTCCTTGGAGAGGCAAATGAATGAGCAATAATTCCGAGGATATTACCGCACATACTAGCACGGACTCATGAACCCATTCATACTACAGGGTGAACAAACACTTGACACCAGTGAACTGTCTGTGGCTTAACAACAGATGACCATGGTACAAAATACTTGAAGTGCCAGTGTGAAAATAACATTTTTTCACTAATTTGGGAGTGCCACTCATACTTTTTGGACTTATACTCCTTTATTTCTATTAACTCCTTATGGCATCTGATTTTCCCTCAGACTTTTCAAGATTCCAAAAGAGCACTGAAGATCAGATGACTAAGACAAGCAAAAGAAGCATTTTTCTCCTGATTTTCCTAAAGCAGATTGATCTTCTCTGCACAGATGCAGAGATGATAAAAGAGAAGAGAATGGGTGAAAGCAAAACTGGGCAGCTTTGGCCCTGATTCTTTCAGTGTTTTTGACTTCTCATTTCTATTTCTCTCTCTCTCTCTCTCTCTCTCTCACACACACACACACACACACACACACACAGACACCCAGACACCAAGACATCGGGTGGTGACAGATTCCTCCCACCTACTCTTATTGGCAGTGGGAGTAGAGCTGGCAGGATGCAACTGCCTACAACTGTTGGCTATAAGGATCCTCCTCACTATTAATGTCCCCGAGTGAGAAAACAACTTTGAAAAAAAGACACATGTAGTTTCTGCTCCGAAACTGGCCACAGTCTGTAACCTATCTCCTATTCCCAAGACTCACTTCTCTGGTTTGCTAACCTCCATAGCCTAAAAGCCAGGATCCAGGATTGCATATTTCAACCCCTTTCCCACTGGTCTGCCATTCTGGTTCTAAACAAGTTCCTTTTCTAAAATGAAATCCATATGTGCAGTAAGAGAATTAAAGACAGCGAGGACTCATTTCCCCTACCTCGCCACTTAGTCTGCTGAACTAGGTTAGTTGCCCAACTACAGATTATACATTTGAGCCAATACAAGTTGTATGCAGAAGTATGGATGTGCCATCTACTAGTGGTATGACTTAAAGAAAACATCAATCTGGCTCAGAAATTTAAATAATGATGATTTTCTATCATGCTTATTTAGAAAAGCATATAGGTTGTGTATATCTAATCTGAAAATCTGAAATCCAAATGTTCCAAAATCAGACACTTTTTGACTGTCTACATGATGCTCAAAGGAAACACTTATTGGAGCACTTAAAATTTTGGGTTTTGGATTTGGGATGCTGAACCCATATATTTAATGCAAATATTTAAAAAATCTGAAAAAATCTCAACTTTCAAACAGTTTTGGTTCCAAACATTTTGGATAAGGGATAATCAACTTGTAATAAAACAGCTGCTTATTATTTTTAATTTTGACTCTACTACAGTGACTGAAACATAGTTTAAAAAAAGGAACAGATACTTTTTCATGTAATCTGCTCATGTAACAAGCAGTGATTTTGTTTATCAGTTATGTGGGCAATGCCCTGTCAAGAATTTCACAAAACAAAACTCTATGACTCATTTTCCATCCATCCATTCACCCATGCACCCATGAGCCAAACAATGAATTAATCATTCATTTAACAAACATTTATGGGGCGGTTTTAGAATACAGGCATATTATCCTTGAGCAGCATTTTGAAACAGGCAATTTAAAAATGTGAATTCTTCTCTTTTCCTCTCTGTGACTAACCCTAATTTGTGTTACTCTGTTTCCTAGTGCTTGGTGCCAGGTACCATCCTTCCATATCACAGTTTTACTTTTCACCATGAAACATCCCCACTTTCAAAATCTTCTCCCCTTCTACATTTTTACCTAGTCAAATAAACAAAAAGTAGAAGATTTATTGGCACCTGTAACTATACAATAAGGACTACAAAAGAAATAAATGTTGTGGCCCTGACCTTGAAAATAATATATTCCTATTGGGGGAAAGAAAACCATATAGGAAGTCATTAACGACAGCACATATGCTCGCACACACACACCCCCCACATTATGAACAATATGTGTATAGACTAATGGCAAATAAATAACGTTGAAAGATATCATCAGTGTAGCATACATTAAATTGAAGAAAATATTCATGCAAATACATTTTAAAAGACTTGAGAAACACCTAAGAGAACATTAGGTCATTTAGCATTTGAATAAAAAAAACGGGAAAAGTGCAAGCAAAAGCATGTAAGAGACAGTAACATAGCTGGACTAGATGAAAGAGGCTGAGACAGGAAATAAAAAGGGGTGAAATAGGAGATATTTAAGTTCGGGAAGAGAGTCAGGGAGGGAAGTCTAAGTCATTCATAGAACAAATCAGATATCAGGATGAGAAGTATAGAAATCTATAAGCTAAAACAGGCAAAAGAAAGCTGCCAAAATTCTGAGATACAAGAAAATATATACTAGTCGCTAGGAAATTACAGCATTTCCACCTTCAATCTGTTATAGGCACATTTAAACCATTCTAATTTTAAAAAGTTATAATAAGCTCTTGTGCTAAAAAGACTACTTCATCTATATATTCATGTGATTGAACCCTGATTGTTTTTTAATACACGTTTTTAGAAAATATTACCTTTGGACTCCAACTCCATTTTCTTTTTCTTTGCCCATATATTATGGTAGTTTTCAGCCATCATTTCTGCCATAGCCTTAAAACAAAAATATTTATTACTTCAACAAGTAAAAAAGGATAACATTGCTTTCTAATATGTAATATTAGATGCCTTAAAGGAATAACTAACACAGTATTAGTGCTACAATACATTTAAAAGATAATCACACACTCTTCTTTAGAATCTGAATCCCAGCAAATTGTAAGGATTTGCAATATGACACAGTAACTAAACAGCAGATGAGAATGGTCATTGTTATTCATAATGTTTGAAGACACTGATTCAATAATGAAACCAAAATAGCTATGGACTTCAGAAAAAAAAATTATTTACAAGTTCTTGTTTTAATTTCCAAAGCCTTAAAAATGACCTAAACCTTATTAAACTTGAATGTGGAGAATGTTAGATGGACAGTCAAAGATCTAATTTCTAAATCAATCTCTGTCCAAACTAGGTAAGAGATCTTAGACTAGCCAAGTTAATCTTTCTGTGACCTTTTGGGTTTTGATTAAGATTACCTCTAAGATTCTTTTTACATTTGATTTTCAAGTTTACTGTGTCATTTTAAGACATTCATATGGAAGCAATAACAAATGGCAAACAAAACAATTTAACAATATGTACATTTTATATTTTCATTCTTATTTCTCTTGGAACGATACAGTTACCAACAATGCTAATATGTTATTTAAACACCAAATTGACCTATTAACTTTATGTCTCAAGGCAATAAATTTTATCTTACTTTCAAATCTGCTATTTCAAAGTAGGTTCCTTGGTGACAAAAAAGAACAGAGGAGACTATGAATGGAGCAATAAGGATTGCAAATGCAATCAATTTCTCAGGGAAAACTTAAAAGAAAGTGGCCCTTGCGCAGAGCATTATTAACTATTTACTTTCTTCTCACACACAACTATTTAACATAGAGATTTTTAAATGGCTATTATCTATCTTTAAGGAAAATATGTTATATGGCTGAAACATCCTAGAAAAAGTTGTATCAACTTCTTTTTTTTTTTTTTTTTTCTTTGAAAGGGAGTCTCACTCTGTCTCTCAGGCTGGAGTGCAGTGGTGCAATCTCAGCTCACTGCAACCTCCGCCTCCCAGGTCCAAGTGATTCTCCTGCCTCAGCCTCCCAAGTAGCTGGGACTATAGGTGTGTGCCACCACACCCAGCTATCAATTTTGATAGTACTAAAAAATTAAAGTATATAATCTATAAATTCCGTGGATCCATTATAGGATCACCACATTCAAATAAACCACGCTGTGAAATATATGCAGGAAAGTAATACGTTATGCTTCTTAAAAATTAAATTTGGAGACTATTTTTAAAAGTTGATAGTACTTACATGCAGGTCTCTAGATAGCGTAACATTGCTCATGTCAATGGCCCGGGGACTGTAACCATGGGCAGCGTCTACAGAAACCTAGATCATTCATGTGAAAAAACAGTGCCTCATTAAAAACCTTGTGAAGAGAGACTTAAATTACACTTTAAAAATATAACACAAACTTCCAAACATAGTGTTTCCTCAGATAAAACTGGCAAGTTTCTTTACAAAATGATGTTGTAAACACATCTCGCACATTAACATTATATTTGGGTGTCTGAAAACGATTTATGATTGACAATCCTGAAAATTAACTATCAGAATTTAACATATTGTGCCATGAATCCAAAATGTTGAAACATTATCTTACGCAGGGGACCATTGCATTTTTTAGTTTCTTACAAATCCAAAATGGCTGCAATGAAATTTACTCTTCCTCAAGCAAGCGAGAGTTAATCAAAGATGTCACTATTTACAAATGTCTTCATGAGTCAAATGTTAGAATAAAGTACAACTAACTTTTAAATTATAATAGTATGTCATACGGTATTCAATAATGCACTTGGAAATCCTCGAGGAAGAGAGTTCTTTAATTTCTGAATTAAAGCTTTTAAAAAATGAAATATATCTCTTCATCAATTTTAAGGAAGTTTCACTACCATCCTGGGCACTTACCTCCTTCCACCCAATGGCATATTATGTGAAAGTGTACCACAGAAATGAGCTCTGGTTCCTGCTTATAAATCCAAAACTATACCGTGATATATTTCATAATTGTGTATATTCTCTTATTAAAAATGCATAAACAAAAAACAAACTAAAAACAAAATGAAAATATAGCTCATTATCATGCTTGTAAAATAAAAGTGAGTGTAACATATGCTATTATTAATAACAGGCTCATGAGTGATACTTAAGTTTCGGGTCAGTTTTGACGGCACCCTGGCTTCTGTGCTTTCACCATGAGGACACTGTTCAAACCTTGTTTAAAGGAGGCAAACACCATGCTGGAATAAATCCAGCTTTTTCTGTACCTCACTTCTGTTTTCTGAGCATCACTTCCCTTTTTGTCTATAAATGTTATCCGGCCACATGGCAGTCCCAGACTCTCACTGAACCTGTCCTGGTTCCAGGGACTGCCACTGGTTCTTTGCTCAGTTAAACTCTGTTAAATTTAATTTGTCTGAACTTTTTCTTTTTTTTTTTTTTTTTTTTTGAGACGGAGTCTGGCTCTGTCGCCCAGGCTGGAGTGCAGTGGCCGGATCTCAGCTCACTGCAAGCCCCGCCTCCCGGGTTCCCGCCATTCTCCTGCCTCAGCCTCCCGAGTAGCTGGGACTACAGGCGCCTGCCACCTCGCCCGGCTAGTTTTTTGTATTTTTTTAGTAGAGACGGGGTTTCACTGTGTTCGCCAGGATGGTCTCGATCTCCTGACCTTGTGATCCGCCCGTCTCGGCCTCCCAAAGTGGAACTTTTTCTTTTAATATGCTAAATAGACCACCTGCTTCAAAGGCTGGTATGAAATGAGGTAATGGATTTAAAACCCGTAGCAAAGTGCCTGACACAAAGGAATGGATCAGGGATTTTAGTAAATGGCTATTCTCACTGCTAGTATACTATCATTACCACCACTACTAACATAACTACCATCAACACCATAGCTCCCATACAGTTGTAGTGAGGAGTGGGTGAACATATTTGGGAGTCATAATTTTGCCTACCACAACATACAAAATCAAAGTCATTATTCTCTGCTTGCTGTCCCCAGCACTCCTATGGTCTTTACTTCACCTAACACGGCTATCAACTTGGGGACACAAGCTAGAATCCATGGCAATCATCTCAGATTATTCCCCTTCATCATCATGTCAATGTCCCCATCCAAATCTCATCTTGAATTGTAGCCCCCATAATTCCATCATGTTGTGGGGGGTACCCAGCGGGAGATAACTGAATCATGGGGGTGCTTTCCTCCATACTGTTCTCGTGGTAGGGAATAAGTCTCACAAGATCTAGTGGTTTTATAAGGGGAGACCCCTTTCGCTTGGCTCCTCATTCTTCTCTTGTCTGCTGCCATGTGAGATGTGCCTTTCACCTCCCACCACGATTGTGTGGCCTCTCCAACCACGTGGAACTGTGAGTCAATTAAACCTCCTCCTTTGTAAATTGCCCATTTTCAGGTGTGTCCTTATCAGCAGCGTAAACACAGACTAATATACTCCCCTTCATCTATTATCATGTATCAGCCACAAAATTCTGTCTACCTCAAAAATATCCCTGGGACATACCATGGTGTTCTGTTTCCACTGTCTCTGCTCTAATTCAGATACAACATTTTTTGGTTTTTGTTGTTTTTCTGGGATGTCTACAACATCCCCCTCAGGAGTCTATCTTTCTGCCTTCAGTCTCATCCTTCTCTAACTCATTCTCCATTTTGTTGTCAGAATTACATTTCCAAACTATTTATTTTGTTCTTCCCTAAGCAATGTCTTCTCCACTGTACAGCAAAAATATGTGGGCACGGGCTGGGCTTTATTAATATTTCCAGCATCTGACACATACCATCTCTCATTAATGTTAAGATTATAAAATGATTCCCAATCTCACAGATATTAAAACAGGGCAAGTGTATGTCTTAAAACTGGTGACAAATTATATTAGACTTTCTGCAAATTTTATTGATAGCAATAACTCTATAACTCTATTTGTTCCTAAAATAGATTTCCCACTATTTAATCTCCCCTTAAACCATTTTCCTTATATAACTGAAATTTACAAGTTTTTCACTTTAAGTTCTTGAGGCCAGTTTTAATAATGTAGGTAAATATTTGCTTATTTAGGGACAGATTCTTTTTATGCTTTTAATTGCCTGTTTTTCTTCTTCAGATACACAGAAATCAGAAGACTGGCCAAGTCTTGCACAATTTCAGGTTCCCTGGACTATGCACCATCTTGGAGCCAGGGGGTTTAACATTCATACTAATCTTATTAGCATTAACAGCAGCAGTAGCAACTACCAGGTGTGTGGTCATCGGGACACACAGATTATCTCATTTCATCTTCAGAACAACTCTGAACAGTAGGTATTACTTTTTATCATTTTAAAATGAGAGAAAAGAGGCTCAAGAGAAATTAAATAATTTTAAAAGTCATAAACTGTATTATGTAGATAGCAAACAGCAGCACCAAATTTTGAAAGTGATTCTAACACCAAAGCACTTATCCAGGTCCTTAAGATGGTCCCCCGTGTCCTATAGGACCTGGCCCCTGAGACCACTGTACCCTCATGTTACTCACTGGATTCCAGCCTCGCTCACTTCCTTATCTCCCACACACTCCCACCTTAGCACATGTGCAATGTTTGGGACATTCTTCCTCCAAATCTGTGTAACTCCCTCAACTCTTTCAGGTTTTTATTCAATTCACCTTCTGATGAAATATACCTGAAAGCTCCATATTAAAATTGCAACTCACCTCCAAACACCTTCCAAATCTCCCTGTTGCACTCCCAATTTGCCTTTCTATGCTGTTTTCTTTTTTCATGATATTTGTCATACTCTATCACAGCACAGCTAGAACTTGTTTTTCTGAAGACAGAGTCTCTTTTACACTGTTATCTAGGCTGAAATGAAGTGGCACCAACACAGTTCACTGCAGCCTCAACCTCCTGGCTTTATTCAATCCTCCCACCTCAGCCTCCTGAGTAGTTGGGATTACAGGTGTGTGCCGTGCAACCACACCTGACTAGTTTTTCTATTTTTTGTAGAGATGTTGTTTCGCCATATTACCCAGGCTGCTTTCAAACTCCTGGGCTCAAGCAATTCCCCTGCCTTAGCCTCCCATAGTGCTGGGATTGCAGGCATGAGCCACCATGCCTGGCCTTTCTATCCGTTGTTTATTTCCCCCATTAGAATGTAAGCTCCTGGACAGCAGAGATTTTTGTCCATTTTGTCACTGATCTATCTGAAAAGCTTAGGACAATGCAGCATACATAATGGGTGCTCAATAAATATCTGCTGAAGGAATGAATGCATCATCCCTCTATCCTATCCCGTATTTTAGTTCTAGATAAGTAACACGTTCCAAAAGTTTCATTCTAATCTCCCTTCCCCTTCCAGGGTATAAGCTTATTTTTTCATTTGTTTTAAGTAGTTTTTATCCCACATTTGTAGTACTGAAAAATGGATATGAGGTAAGGCATTGGAATTTGGGAGTAAACAAGTAATTGTTGAAAACCTGTGGGATATGCCTGAGATTGTCAGAAATGTTCTTTGCTGTTGACTTTAGTATCCCTACTAAGGAGGGGGTCAAAATCCACCCAGTTAACCCTCTCCAATCAACTTCTTGTAACTTTTATCAGCCCTTATATACTCTATTGTATATTCCGGCGAGTTGATACTGGTGTTATTCATACCCTTATGTTTGTCTTACATGTGCAAATTCTAAAGCCCTAAGTGGGTGGTAAATTTCCTGAAATCAGGATTCGTGTCTTCCTCTGGTATTCATGGCAAACAAAAGACATTCATCAGGTTATTGATCCACATAAAGATAGTAAGGACAAAAATTATGGCTCACCTATATTGAAATATATGCCAGTTATTAAGTGATTAATAAGCATCATAACAAGAACACTCACAACATTCTTTCAAAGCAGAGACTCACACCAGCTTCATTTTAAAGATGAGAAAACTGCAGCATACAGAGGTTAACCAGTTTACCCAAGCTCACATAACTAGCTAGGTACTCAGGGGTGAGACCAGAATGTCAACCCAGGCTGGCTGTGCCAGATACTGCCATTAACCATGGGCCACCTGTACGTCCCTGAGGGAGTGCTGAGCCCCAATAAAAAAAAAAAAAAAAAAAAAAAAAAAAAAAAAAAAAAAAAAAAAAGCTGGTGCATTCAGGGTCGGAATCACATCTACACATGATCTTCACTCATCCATTTACATTCCTTATATAAAATGATGCTATAAAGTGTTCCTTTAGTCAGAAGAGTTTATACATGATAGAAAATTGCTTTATAATCACATAAGAAATCAGTAACAGAAAAAAGACAAAGAAGTTTAACAAGATGATAGTTGAAAAACAAAAAGCTATAAAAACAAAAAGCTATTAAGTAATGAAGAAATGACAATCTATGTTAATATTTGAAATAATATGGGTTTATGCTTAAAGAACCTTTGGGCGAAAATAATGGCAAGAGTTATACATAGATTTGTGGCCTTCGGTGTATATTGCTCCCCATTTCTGAGGCTGACAGAACTATTCTTTCTTTCTTACCTACAGGCCAAAGTGCTACAAACACAAATATACTTTTTCATTTACCACTAATGAAATGCCCTCAATAAATGCTCTCAACAGAAATACTGACATAACAATAGTAACAATAAGAGTTCACATTTAATGAGGCAAACAGAGATCAAATACCCAAATGTACATTTTTAGAAAGCAGCACTACTAGGATTTAAGCCCAAGTGGTGAAATTCCATAGCCCTTCCTCTTACCTTACAAACTGTGCCTCTGGCACAAGCATCACCTAATATTTTGAAATCACATTCGAGATTTAAGAATAAATTTCAAAAATCACATGTCACTGTAAAAATCACTAAGACACGAGAGATGATTCCACGGGTTAATAGGATCTATTAAGGGCTTACTATTAGAACAAAAAGGAGAAAGGGAAAGAGGGGTGATATAAAATATATATGATTTTAAATTAGAGTACATAATTTTTGCTATTAAGAGCAGTGGAAGAATCTCCCTTTTTTTCATGAAGCTTAAAGTCATCTGCATTTGCAGTAATTTCTTATTTCTTATCTGCCTTACAGAATAATTTTTAAAAATCATCCCTTTCTCTACACTGTGTAGTGCCTTGTACATACCACTAGTCTCACCCTTTCTGTACCATGTTGTAGTAGATTTAACTTGACCTTATCTAACACTATTTTATGATTTTTAGGATTACAATTGTCTTGCTGTCTTTGTATTCTCATTGCCTAGTACGCATTTTGTGCTCAGCATTTGTTGAAACAGATTAAAATAAAAGCTATTTTACTTAGAAAAGCGTAAAGAAACAAAAAATAGATAAAACACACTTTTATAGTTTCCATCCATATATGGTACATCCCAAAGACAATTTAATGTAAAATATGCCCAAATCAGAACTCAATTTATTTAAAAGTATATTTCATCCCTTGTAAGTTGGATTCCTAGGTATTTTATTCTCTTTGAAGCTATTGTGAATGGGAGTTCATTCATGATTTGGCTCTCTGTTTGCCTGTTACTGGTGTATAAGAATGCTTGTGATTTTTGCACATTGATTTTGTATCCTGAGACTTTGCTGAAGTTGCTTATCAGCTTAAGGAGATTTTGGGCTGAGACAATGGGGTTTTCTAAATATACAATCATGTCATCTGCAAACAGGGACAATTTGACTTCTTTTCCTAACTGAATACCCTATATTTACTTCTCTTGCCTGATTGCCCTAACCAGAACTTCCAATACTATGTTGAATAGGAGTGGTGAGAGAGGGCATCCTTGTCTTGTGCCAGTTTTCAAAGGGAATGCTTCCAGTTTTTGCCCATTCAGTATGATATTGGCTGTGGGTTTGTCATAAATAGCTCTTATTATTTTGAGATACGTTCCATCAATACCGAAAATAAAAGAGGACACAAACAAATGGAAGAACATACCATGCCCATGGATAGGAAGAATCAATATTGTGAAAATGGCCATACTGCCCAAGGTAATTTATAGATTCAATGCCATCCCCATTAAGCTACCAATGACTTTCTTCACAAAATTGGAAAAAACTGCTTTAAAGTTCACATGGAACCAAAAAAGACCCCGCGTTGCCAAGACAATCCTAAGCCAAAAGAACAAAGCTGGAGGCATCACGCTACCTGACTTCAAACTATACTACAAGGCTACAGTAACCAAAACAGCATGGTACTGGTACTAAAACAGAGATATAGACCAATGGAACAGAACAGAGCCCTCAGAAATAATACCACACATCTACAGCCATCTGATCTTTGACAAACCTGACAAAACAAGAAATGGGGAAAAGATTCCCTATTTAATAAATGGTGCTGGGAAAATTGGCTAGCCATAAGTAGAAAGCTGAAACTAGATCCTTTCCTTACTCCTTATACGAAAATTAATTCAAGATGGATTAGAGACTTAAATGTTAGACCTAAAACCACAAAAACCCTAGAAGAAAACTTAGGTAATACCATTCAGGACATAGGCATGGACAAGGACTTCATGTCTAAAACACCAAAAGCAACGGCAACAAAAGCCAAAATTGACAAACGGGATCTAATTAAACTGAAGAGCTTCTGCACAGCAAAAGAAACTACCATCACAGTGAACAGGCAACCTACAGAATGGGAGAAAATTTTTGCAATCTACTCATCTGACAAAGGGCTAATATCCAGAACCTATAAAGAACTTAAACAAATTTACAAGAAAAAAAACAAACAACCCCATCAAAAAGTGGGCAAAGGATATGAACAGACATTTCTCAAAAGAAGACATTCATACAGCCAACAGACACATGAAAAAATGCTCATCATCACTTGCCATCAGAGAAATGCAAATCAAAACCACAATAAGATACCATCTCACACCAGTTAGAATGGCAATCATTAAAAAATCAGGAAACAACAGGTGCTGGAGAGGATGTAAAGAAACGGGAACACTTTTACACTGTTGGTGGGACTATAAACTAATTCAACCATTGTGGAAAACAGTATGGCGATTCCTCAAGGATCTAGAACTACAAATACCATTTGACCCAGCCATCCCATTACTGGGGATATACCAAAAGGATTATAAGTCATGCTGCTATAAAGACACATGCACACGTATGTTTATTGCAGCACTATTCACAATAGCAAAGACTTGGAATCAACCCAAATGTCCATCAGTGACAGACTGGATTAAGAAAATGTGGCACATATACACCATGGAATACTATGCAGCCATAGAAAAGGATGAGTTCGTGTCCTTTGTAGGGACATGGATGCAGCTGGAAACCATCATTTTCAGCAAACTACCGCAAGAACAGAAAACCAAATACTGCATGTTCTCACTCATAGGTGGGAATTGAACAATGAGATCACTTGGACACAGGAAGGGGATCATCACACACCGGGTCCTATTGTGGGGAGGGAGGTGGGGAGGGATAGCATTAGGAGATATACCTAATGTAAATGACGAGTTGATGGGTTCAGCACACCAACATGGCACATGTATACATATGTAACAAACCTGCATGTTGTGCACATGTACCCTAGAACTTAAGGTATATAAAAAAAAAATTTGAAATGATACAAAAAAAAGTCTATTTCAACTATGGAGCATGTGAAGCACATGCTGTTAGACCCTCATTTTTTTTTTCCAAAAAAGGATATCTGTGTAAATAGCAATAATAAACAACATTTGGTGTAAACCACATATATAGTGAGTTGAGGGGTCAAGAAAAGAATAATGACAGGTTTAGCTCCCAGGAGAAATGAGAGGGTCAAAGGTAAGCAGCTCACATGACCTTGTGACTAAACGTTAATGGGTGGCATTTGGTGTCCACCCTGAACCCCAGCTTTTCCACATCAAGGCTGTGCCTTACTCTTGCCACCTTGAGCACCTAAGACCTATGGGTAGAGTCTTGCTTGTTGGTTGAACTCCCTTGACATGGTCCAGTAGCAACATCTTCTGTGAATTCTTGCTCTGCCTGTGTGGCTGTATACCTGCCCTCTGCAGACAGGAGCACCCCTGTGCGTTCTAGATCTGCATCATGACTGTCTGAACATCCTACTCTTTCCTAAGAACCAACCCTCAGATCCCACTGGAAATGAGAAGAAAGCTTCATAGACAAACTAACTGTAGCGAATGAACATGATGTGCTGTTTCCATTAGGAAAACTTCAGGACCTTACAACTGAGTACTTCTTCTTTTTTAAATGTTTTATTATACTTTAAGTTCTGGGGTACTTGTGCAGAACGTGCAGGTTTGTTACATAGGTATACACATGCCATGGTGGTTTGCTGCACCCATCAACCCATCACCTACATTAGGTATTTCTCTTAATGCTTTCCCTCCCCTAGCTCCCCACCCCACGACAGGTCCTGGTGTGTGATGTTCCCCTCCCTGTGTCCATGTGTTCTCATTATTCAACTCCCACTTATGAGTGAGAACATGTGGTGTTTGGTTTTCTGTTCCTGTGTTAGTTTGCTGAGAATGATGGTTTCCAGCTTCACCCATGTCCTACAGCTGGTTACTTCTTCTATACTAGCCAGAAAACGGAAGGCTTGTACATAAAGTCCAGTAACTTAATCATCATTTAACCTCCCTTGAAACTAAAGAAAAGGTAATATAGCTTTTTTCTCTCCCTTCTAAATTTTGTGAGTCTTCAGAATTTTCAAATTATTTTTTAAGAAAAACCCAATAATTAAATTTAACAAAATTATTTAGTCCATAACATAAGCAGTTGATTCATCACCATGATGAATTCTTACCTGGCTTGTCTGAGAAATACGACGAGTCCGGTTGTAAAGGGCCATGCTGTCTCCCTCTCGAGTTCTTTCAATTCTCCAGCCCCAAGCCAGCATAGTTTTTAAAGATTCTTTGATTGGCCAGCGATAAATTTCTTTTTCCTAGAGAAGAAAAACCAAAAAACAACAGATATATTATGAATGTAAATAAAAATGTTAAGTAACGCTTTGCTCTTGAATAGACTGCCTTCACTTTTTAAAAATTTGATGCGCATAGCTTATTTAAAAATAAAAAAGGAAAGTAAAATTCTAAAAGCAGAGTGTGAGCAGAGATCTAGTTTTACTAATGTTACTAAGAGGGATCCTCACTTTGTTCATTATATAGCATCAAGGTCAATTTCCTTTAGCGGACCTGGTTCCTAGGACCTAACACAGAAACTACAAAGGAGAGACACAGAACAAAAGGACAGCTTATGTAATATACATGTGACTCACAATGAAGTGAAATCCTTTTCACTTCATTTGTCAAGATATTCATTTTTTCCCCAAAGAAGTCAAATATATGAAAACCTATACATAATAAGCACATTATTACTTTGTCATTACTCATCAAGAAACTTTTAAACATGGTAAGAAGATTTTTTTAAAGTACTTAAAAATATGGAAGAGGAATAAAAACCAAAAAGGAAAAGAAAAATGTTAAGGAGAGAAGAGAATAAACACAGAAATGCTGACAGAAAATAAGAATGGAGAAGAAAAGACAAAATATAAGAAGTTTTTTAAAAATGGGGCCTTGGAAGAAAAAGACCAACTTTAAAATAAAGAAGTCATTTTAATATAAAAATATGTAACAAAGAAAAATATTTTCCAAAAGAATAAAAACTTTACAAACTAAAACAAACAAAAAGTCCTCACCTTTTCAGACAATAGCTTGTATGGCTTCATTAATGGTTGAACCTTAGAAGAGTCTGAATATATTTCTCCATAAATCCATCCATTTGCCAACTAAAAAAAAAGGCAAACATTAAAAATTGTTTTACATGTGTTAATTTTAGAGGGTGTACATATACAGGTGTTTAAGTGCATGTTTGATAAAATAAACCTAAAGTGAACTAAAGTAAGGGTTAAGATTGAAATTTTATCCAGCATAAGTCACTATAAAGATATCCATCCTAATCAATGTTATTTTCTTTTATTTTAAATTTCAGATTCAGGGAGTAAATGTACAGTTTTGTTGCATGGATGTTTTGCATGATGTATTTTCAGTAATCATCTGGAACAAGTCTTTTTATCCAGAGACTAGAAGCACCCAATCTTCCTTAAACAGACCAAGGTCTTGCAATTGTGCCGATAAGCATTCCCGCAGGAGGAGGCTACAGGGATGCATGGTCCCAAGGATATCTATTCTGACCCATCTTGGGACCCCACCTGTGAAGTGTAAATAAAAAACATGCATTTTAAATAGGAAAACTAGAGTATGCATCTCAGAGTCTTCTCTGAATAATGCCACCTGTTCTATCCATTCTTTCATCAAATTTTCTCTCAACACATTCATTCCATATTATTTTGCCCATTTGTACATATCACCATTTCCCTATATCATTTCTCGTCTGCCTACAGAGTCTGAGTAATTAGACTGGAATACCTTCCTGTAATATTCCTCTCCATCACCAACTCCACCCACTCAGTACTTAGTGGAGTTTTTTTGTAAGATAGATCCTTACTGACTTACGTAGTAAATCGGTTACTGAACGAAGAACCAGATACTTATCAAAACCAGCAAAAAAGGGTTTCTTAGAGGGACTGAAAGACTGACTGGCCAGGGCAATGTTTGAAACTCAATATGACATCTCTAGCATGATGATCTTGATTTGTTACGAAGCATACACATCCTCTGGAAGCAACCTTTGGTGTCTGATTTTCATTTTACCAAAACAGTATATGAGTATTTTAGGTTCTTGAACCATCTCAACTCAACTCCTCTGATGAACCTACTTTATCCTCTGTCAAGTTTAGACTGAGCTCAACTTAAATGTGAATATTCAGGCATAAGATTTCCTTTAGAAAATCTCATAATATGTAGAAATTATCTCATAGATGCAGCTACTTTAGTTTTCTCATTTGTGTTGTTTTTCTTGAAAACACACAAAAAAGTCACCTGGCCAATGTAATGTATTTTTAGTAAACTGCAGATCTAGTTGGTAGTAAGAAATGCAACAGAAGAATAGAAAAGGTAAATAATTGTTAAATCCTGATTAAGAATTCTCAAGATTTTATCTGATATAGAACTATACCTAAAACCTGGCCAGGCATGGTGGCTCATGCCTGTAATCTCAGCAGTTTGGAAGGCTGAGGCTGGCTGAACAACTGCTTGAGGCCAACAGTTGGAGACCAGCCTGGGCAACATAGCAAGATCTCATCTCTATAAAAAATATTAACAATTAGCCAGGTATGGTGGTGTGCACCTGTAGTCCCAACTATTCAGGAGGTTGAGGCAAGAGGATCGCTTGACCCCAGTAGTTCCAGGATGCAGTGAAGTATGATCACACCACTGCACTCCAGCCTGGGCGGCAGAGCAGGACTCAAAAAATAAACCCAAAAAACCTACATATGAAACCAAAGTTTCCTTAAAAGGTGAATTCTGAAGGGGGGTCACCATTTCCTCCTGAAGCCCTTGGTGATTATTGCTTTTTACTCCAATAAACAATATATGTTATAGCAACTATATTTATAATGTAATTAATAGATCTTTTGAAAGCTTAAAATAGTGCTTATTCATAAGTGTATTATATTTGTGTTAATGATAGAGCTAGCTAAATATTATATTATTATATAAGCTAATTGTAATTAAGTATTTTTTCCTAATTTAGATCAAGTTCTCATTTTAAAAGAGAACACTGTCATGGTCAGAAGTATTGAACAGTGACCAGTCATTAATAATGACTACTGAATAAGAATGTAATTCTCTTTTTACCTTGTCCATTGACCATTTGTCATGCGAGTGTTCTGCATATTTGTTAATGAAGTATTCCAACTTCTCAGGAATTGTAATACTATGAGAAAAGTAAAGACAAAAGAGCTTGATTTTCACAGAATTTACAGGAATCATATTAATAATTTACTCACAGCTAATGAATGCTTATATCTCATTCAATTTTAACTGTTAAACACTACTGTTAACAAAGAATTACATTTTTCTATTTTCAGAACAATATAAGAAAAGTCAAGCAGATAATGTTCTATCTGCTCATCTTATATTGATTCATAGTTTATGTGCTAACATAACAAATTAAATATCATAAAACTATAATAACAATTATTATTAAATACATAAATTGAAATAATTAAATACATTCAAAGATTAGGACAATATATTACACAACAAAGAAAATACAAGCACTAAATTTAGTAGTGATGTGTTAAAATTTTTAAATATTCATGGTCCACAAATAACAGCGTAAATGTTACTAGAATTAACTATAGGGAAAATAATTAACTTCTGCTTTTTGTTAATATTTACTCTTGACTCCTTTTGTGTTTAAATGAATATTTAGTTCCTTGATGTTGAGGACATGCAAATGATGACCAAGTCTGATGGTAAATCTAAGGCTTAAAACGTATCTATGAATGGAAAATCAAATATATATAAAAAATTCTATTCATTAATGAATATATCTTATTAAAGTATTAACTTTGAGAACACAATTCTACATAAAATCTAGTATAAGATGGTTTGTTGTTGTTTTCCAGCAGTTAACAGTAATTGAACTATAAGACATACACATACCTAAAAAGCAATATATAAAAAATTGTAATCATCTAGAAATCATTGATATCACCGCATAAACCTGTATCTGTTAAGAAGTCCCCAAAGGGGCAAGCCTAGGTAAATTAATATCCATGCCCACACTTATTAATTAATTGGATTTAATGAACCAACACCAAAACCATGACATTGTTCTGATATTTAAAAATCTCAGGTTAGATCATATGTTAGCAAACCACAAACTTACCCATGTAGGAATGTGAACATGTGATATATTGGTTTACTTACTTCGGAGGAGATACAAAAGATCAATCACATAAGCCAAATACTGGGGGATGGGGGAAAGGGTCTTTTCTCACAGGACTGTCATCAAAGACCAAACATGCAAATTTAAGGCATTATCAAACTAATGGCATACCACTCAGGTTGAAATTCTGATCTGGTTATGGAAGCTAAATCAGCTGGGGGCCACTCAGAAGCCTCAAAGTTGAACTCCCAAGCAAATTCAGAAGCCGTGGATAAGAACTACCAAGTGTCTACCTTGCTAAAACTGATCTTGCTGAGCACCATGGAATCAGTAAGAGAATGTGGCATGAAGAGGCAGCTTTCCTTGCACATGGAGAACCATGATCCTACTTAAAAACAGTAACAACAACAACAAAATGCTCAGACTTCAAACACCTGAAGTTCCCAAACATCCTATCCGTAGAATAATTGTTGCAACTAAGTACATGTAACAAGTTTCATAATGTTAAAGAATGTTGTTTCATCTTTGGTTTTGGTTGTTAAACTGCATTCTAACTGCATGCTGAATTTTCCAGAAAAATTCTCATTCGATATTCCCTTCCATCTCGTGCTGTGTTTTATCAAGTTGAACATCAGCTGTGAACCCTGGACCTTGCTGAGATGTAGTGATGGGTGAAGGGATTCCCTTGCCACTCACAGAAACAGCTTTGCAGTGCATGCTGGGAATATCCTAAGTAAAAGATGTTATATAGAGGTTGATTCGTAGTTACTATTAAACATTTAGGGTAATTTTTCAACTAAAAATATAACTGACAGACTTTCTTAATTCTATTATAGATATTACATATACAGAGTCTTGATTGTGTTAAAAATATCCTCGAAGGTACATCTTATCTATTTCTGATATTAGTATAATCATTATTATTACTATCATTTTATAAATTAAAAGGACCCCTATTAAAAGGATACCAATTCAAAGGGGGCATGTATTAGAGAAAGTTCACTTTAGTACCTTATTCAATTTCAGACTTCACACATCATTTACAATAAAAATCTGCTGCAATAGAAAGAGTCCATACTTTGAGGTATCAACAGGTTGTGGGTTAAAGTTCCCTTCAGAATCCATTGATGACTGTTTTTCCATCATACTGACATAATTTGACTCCATGTAGTCTGGAGGCAAAGCTCCCGCAACTGCACTCAGGCAAGGCAGTGCCAGTTTGAAAAGCTCTTGTTCATATTTCTGGGAAAAATGGAGGACCAAAAAAGAAATTACTATATAGCAAAAGTTGTCAGCATGATCATCAGGGCTACAGAAGGTTGCAGAAGAAAATCTGAATTACCCTGGGCTAACTGAACTCTCTGATAATTCTTTTTCTAGAAAATGAAACACAGAGCCTAAAACCCCATCAAACATAAAAGAAGCTGCAGCTAGATTTACAAACATAAAAGAAGCTGCAGCAGTTTCAGTTTAAGGAGAATAAAATCTTTGACTCTCCAACACATTGGAAATGAAGTAAACTTTAATATCGTCAACGTGTAAAATATCGTTACAAGATAAACATCATTTCAGTCAATAGGGACTATATTACTTATAGTTAGTTATAGATAATTCCTGTACATTATAATGAGTATACATGAAAAATACAGAAAGCATAACATTCTAGAGAGTGAGAAATTTTAACCGATCCATGTTGCATTATAAAGGTTTGAAAAATAAAATTCTGAGCTGGAAAAGAAATTCCATAGAAAGTATGCATGATAAAAATTTATAGGAAGAGGTATTTGAGTATTAAGTTAAATTTATATTTATAGATTTTCTAAAAAATAAAAAAGTAATAATTTAAATTATTTCACTTTAAATGTTCATTGTTAAATAAACATAAATGATTCTAAAAAATACTTACACATTATTTTAAAAGGACTCAGTTTACCAAAGGAAATTCAGTAAGAAAAAGCATTAAAGTGTTGCTACCAAATGTAATTGCAGACAAATATTCCTCTACTATGTAGCAAACTTGTGGTAATACTACTCCAATCATCTAATAATGTCAATCTGGGAATTCAAACTAATTTTGATTAATTTAAGCATGAACATACAAGACTTGTTGTTCTGCCTTTTCTCTAAGATCAACACCTGCCAGCCATCTGAAAACACAGGAACTATTCATTATAAATTTTGCAACTATAAGGGAATGCCATATATGCAATGCAACATTGAGTGAAGGTATCTAAAGCTCCATAGCAGCAAAGCTGGAGACTTTAGCAGGAGACCGGGATATTACAATTACATAAGATTTCATGTTTTATATTTTTGTATTGGATATAATTTCTTTGGCCTTTATAAGATTGGAGATGGGACTAGGGAGAGTCTGAGTCCAAATGCGCCAGAAACTTATCAACCCTGTGCGTAATTTCCTGAACTGCTTAGCCATTTGACATTCAGAAACAGTGTTGTGATCACAAGAAAACTGCTACCATAATGATTAAGAAAAATAAATATAAATTGCATTTTCAACATTTATTATGAAGTTGAGAAAAGAGAAAAAATAAAGCCATATGTGTCTTGGTTAGCAAAGACAGTATTCAACTAGGAATACTATCATCTTACTAAGAAAGTGTGGCTTTGTGCCATTGGACTGATACAAACGAACCCACAAAATCTTAAATTACCTTTTGAGACAGGGCATCAAAAATGCCCCAGAACAACTTTCTTGATAAATGAAGTTCTTCTTCTGAGGCAGCACCAAAGTTTCCCCACCCTCCAGGCAGGCAGTAATATTTCCAGCATCTTTCATAATGATTTGTCAGCAGCTATGTAGGAAAACAGTTACAAAAGCAATGAGCTATCAAAACCTTTTGGATTTTTTTTTTTTCATTTCTCCTCATAAGACACTGTAATGCTACATTATAAGGTCAACTGAAGTGAAATTGCTCAATCCCATGTAAACTCTCTTGGAGAATACTATCACCGTGGATACTACGTGTGATAGTTAATATTGAGGGTCAACTTGACTGGATTGAAGGATGCAGAGTATTGATCCTGGGTGTGTCTGTGAGGGTGTTGACAAAGGACGTTAACATTTGAGTCAGTGGGTGGACAGGGAGAGACAGACCCACCCTCAATCTAGGTGGGCACCATCTAATCAGCTGCCAACAGGGCTAGGATAAAAGCAGGCAGAAGAATGCGGAAGGACTGGACTTGCTGAATCTTCTGGCCTTCATCTTTCTCCTGTGCTGGGTGCTTCCTGCCCTGGAACATCAGACTCCAAGTTCTTCAGCTTTTAGGCTTTTGGACCTACGCCAGTGATTTACCGGGGGCTCTTGGTTCTTTGGCCACAGACTGAAGGCTGCACTGTTGGCTTCCCTACGTTTAAGGTTTTGGAACCTGGACTGGCTTCCCGGCCCCTCGACTTGCAGATGGTCTATTGTGGGACTTCACCTGGTGACTGTGTGAGCCAGCACTCCTTAATAAACCTTAATAAACTCCCCTTCATATATACATCTATTCCATTAGTTCTGCCCCTTTAGAGAACCCCGACTGACACACTATGTCTCTTTCAAATTTAACACTGATTGCAATATGAGGACCAAACGCCCAATTTTACAAATAACTATATCTTGTACAGCATTCTTTATGAGGTTGTTTGGATTCTACGTATCTCTGAGTTCTACATTAATCATTTACTTATAATTTTATGAATTGTTATTAATATCTTGCAATCCACATGTAAAACGAAGGGACTGATGTCGGGACGGCCCAGAAGCACAATAAAGGAACTATACATCTGTGATTCTTTTTGCTCTGTCTCTGCCTCCCTATGGCTTGCCTCAGTACTTAATTCTCCAAGTAAATTTCCAAAACCACTCTACTTGGATCACTTCTTTGTCTACATTTCTTTGGGGGTTACGGATGCAATTTATTACTTTACTGATTGTCTACACTGCTCCTTGCATTTTCACCTATGCATATTGCTTGTTTAGAACTAAACTGGAATGTCAAAGACAAGCAGAGAATCTTTCAATTATTTGGTAGTTCTTTAGATAATTTATTTTTGATCTATATTTGTCAAATTAATAAACTGATCTATATGACTATACATATTTGGACTCTTTCCGATATCTAAGGAAGAAAATAAATCGTAAGAATGACTGTTACTAATGTGGGCTGCATGTCTTATTGTTAAAATATTACAACTCATTTGCTTATCCTTTCAGTTACAAAAAAATGAACACATCCACACATCCACACAATTTAGGAGTCACAAATGATGAAATACTGAGATCTAATATGCTTGGCTTCACACTGACATATCTCTAATGTAAGAGAGTTTTATTGCATAAGGGTAACAGCATGAGACTGTATCTTTTTTCATGAATTTTCCAGCTCATTTGTATCAAAAAATTTTGCAAGACAAGGACCATTCTAGATGACAAAAAACATAAAAGCAGAATTTTTAGCAAGAATATAATTTATTTTATCTAATTCACTAATGTATCTAGATTGATTAAAACAAAGTCAGTTTTCACACAGAAAGATTACTTTTGCTAAATATCCAGGATGCTTTTACTGTAACAGCTACATATAGACTCTTCATATCTCATACTTCTTCAGCACTAGTACCGGGTAGCCATTGGGGAAAAAATAATGCTACTGGATGGCACTGCAGAGTGGCCATCTATTAAAAAATTCATCACATTACTATATAACTTTGATGCAAACACTGTATTCTATATTCTGAGTCTAGATTATGATATTAAAGGACAAGAAAACATTCCCAACTCAGTAAGATAGAATGAGACTTGATCCTGAACAGAACAATAAATCTAGAGAAAATACCAGTGATTTTTCTATACTGTGTGACAAACTATAATTGCATATACAGAGAGGTTATCTTTAACCCTATGAAGTGACATTTGGAGCCTGTCATGTGATTATTAACTTAGAAAATGTTGTCTTTAAACCCTGGTCTTTATCCCTCAAGGTTTCTAATAATATTTTAGGCCAGGCCTATTACCATGTTTTCCAACTTAAGAATATCTTGGCTTTTATTTTCCCTGTGGTCCTTTTTCTTTTTCCCATTGATTTCTATTTCCATTGTTTATATTGAAATCATTGTTAAGATTTCTATAATCTTATAGAACTTATTTATTTAAAGTTGATATATACATTCCTATAACTTCTAAATGCCCATTTCAATAATTGGGAGACATTTTCCAGCATCAAGCATGATGTATCTAAGGAATGTATATGTTGTCATAGAAAATAAAGTCAGAGAAACCAGTCATCAAATATCTACACACATTTCCTATACTTACTTTCAGAGGCATCTTTGCATGTTCATTTAATAATGGAACATCAAATACTAATCTTCTGAGTAAGTGCTGCATCATAGAAGGTCTCAGTTGTCTGTTGGAACAAAGTTAATGTTAATAATGCTGAGAAATGTGTCTAAACTAAGTAGATCATTCATTAGAATAAATTATGTAAGCCAAGGACCTGAATCTATACCTCTCTTCAGATGGTATTCATTAGATGCTCTTTGTCCAAAGATCAGCTACTTAGTTAATTTTATGTAAGGTTAGATTTCCCAACTCATCTCTATCCCTCAGATCTGAAGACCACCCCTTCTTTGCTACAGAAGATATTTCTGTTCTGCTCCTTCCTTTCCAAACCACTCAAAAATGTAGACCCCACTGTTTCCTAAGACTTTCCTCCATTAATTTCAGTAAATGTCCCTTCCCTCATTCCAATGTATGGTAAGAGGCAAAAAGAAGAGGGAATATTGGAACAGAAAGGACGAAAAAATGGCTGAGACAGCAAATTTGCCAGAGAAGAAAGGGAGCGAAAATGAATACATAGTGAACATCTACTGCGTCAGGCAACAGCAAGTGTTTTACCTCGTTTAACACTTAGAAAATCTCTGTGAGGGAGGCATTTTGGTTCAATTTTACAGAATCTTAGACTAGGGAAGTTAAAGAGCTACTCTTCTGATTTTCCACCTCCTTCAGTGCCATCTGGCTCTCAACCCAGACACTCTACCATGGGTGAAAACTTGCCCTTCCCCCAGGGACTGCCAGGCAAGAGTTCCTAGAGCAGTTACAAAGGAGCCATGTTCTTTCTAGGGGCTTGAGAAATTCTCACTTTCACAGGCAAAACTTCATCAGGGGGAGATACGTTTCTGGTTTTCATAGTAACACATTCTAGCACTTCTACTGATAGGAAATGGTTTTCCAGGTTGGAGGAAATATTCAGCCTTCATCAATGCCCCACAAAAATATGGTTTTAATATTATGCTGTATCACATTTTATATTTAAGAAGTCCCTTTTTTCTTTTCTCTTCTAGAAGAGGAGTTAAATCATCAAACACAGTCAAAAGGCGAGATCTATTCATCTCACCTAAGGTGGCCAAGGACTCCCGACACAATTTCTCCCCACTCCCAACATCCAGAATAGTATTCTGTAACTGGTCAAAAGCTATATCCAACAGCTGGATACCCTAGGGAGGCTTGGAGGAACACTCCGGAACTCGACTGGGAGCAAGGGCGCTCAGAGAAGACTCATACCTCAGTATATGGGACTACCTAAAATGAATGAAATCTGTGGTATGGAAAATGGTTCCAAAATTCCAAATAATCTGTCAAAAGCCACACTGTAAATTCTGTTTTTTAAAGAAGAAGCTGGTGTAGAATTTGTTATCCACTCACCCACAAATAGAGAGCAAACAAACTTCTATAGAATCCCGCTGAGCTTTGGTAAGTGAACAGCCCTTAGAAAGTCTATACACAGTATGAAGCAATGAGTCAATGAGAGAAGCATGGTGCTCTGTGCCAGCAAAGAGAGGAGCACATCTTGTTAGCAACGGCAAGACGGCCGTGCAAAGGTACCGATTGAGGGCCAAGGCCATGTCTGTAGCACTCAAAGCCGCCTGAAAAAGAATCAGAGTAGAAGGCCATTTGTGTTTGGCAGTAGATAACTTTCAAAGGGATCAACATGGGAACATATAATTTCACTATCTAGAGGATGATAGCGCTATGAGACATGTAAATGTATTCTTCAGTTATATCTTTAAATGTGGGGTTCATATGATTTTTACCACTAAAAACAATCAACTATCAATTGTTCATAAACAGATAAAAATGAATGAAATGACACCTATCTCCTCAAAAAGCTTAATAGGTTCAGATTCTATCATTAAATATCAATGGTAGGATCAATGTAAGAAGACGATAGTATCACAGATGTGAGTGTTTTCCTTTGCTAGGCAAAGAGAGGAGCTATTCTCACAGTAGATCTCATAAGCAAAAACTCTTTCTGAATTCTCTTTATGATTCATATTTATTCTTCTCATGTCTATCAGCACCAATAATCAAAGGATAACTGTATTACTGTGTTATCATCCATACTATTCAGGTCCAGAATTTCATCTGAATATGCAAAACAAAGAAAAAAAGTTTTCATTTCAGTTTTGTGATTCTGTTCTCGTATATTTCATGAAGGGGCTACTGTCAGCTCAAGTCCTGATGTACTTTGAAATCAAAAAAGCACACTGAACTGATAAAATTAATGAGTACTTGAAAGTAGGTATTAAATGTGTATAGTAGTATAACTACTATAACAACATTTAGAACTTCAGCTCATTCCACAGTGTTTCAAAGAGAAGAACATTTAAGCTGATAATGGCAGATTCTCCGTGTGGGTCACCCAATATACAGAACAGATTTCAATCCATTTGTACCTTAACAAATGAAGACACCAAGATGATCATGACTCAACAATATCCATTAAATCATCGCAATTCTTTAATTGCTTTTATTGAGAAGCATAAGTGTTTAGGCCAATTTGGAGGTTGACACCGAACAGAGGTTAACAGGAGTCACTGTGACCTCCCAAATTAGAGTTATGTGAACCCCTTATTGAATCCCACAGCACCTTATCAGAATTCTTATCATATTCTTTTTGGTCAGTGGGAAGTTTCCTGAGGTTGTCAGTTTATTCAGTGAATTCCTTGAGAACATAGACTAGTTTTATTTTCTGTTTACCCATGGCTTACCTGAAAATATAACAGGTACTCAATAAACATTCATTGTCAATAAATTAATCAATGGATATATATATATATATATGAATATATCATAAGGCACAGAATGAAGAGTCAAGAGAGGAGGAAGTCCATTGCTCCAATCTCACCGTATCTAAAGAAGCAGCCGCCCGGAGATCTGGCAGAAAGCCAACCTCAAGAAGATGGAGGAGGAAGTCTTGAACCTCAATTCCATAGACCCTGTCAAGGAATAAAACCATGGCTGCCTTGTGATCTGGGCAAAACCCCGCAGACATGTCAGGTTCCACCACATTCCCATCTAAAAGAGAGAAGTGAATTTTGGTGTCAATGGCTGTGCCATATATGGGTAGATTACAAATGGCTGCTTTCTAGACTTCTTACGTTTTAAATAAACTTTTCAATGAAATGGTTTTCTATTCTTCGACTACCCTCAAGCTATTATGGGAGTCTGCTGAGGAAATAAGGCAGTGCAATTTAAAGCCAAGGTCATTTAAGTGTTATATAGGCATCCACTTGTTAACTGCACACAGGATACAAGACGTGGCGTTGTTAGATACTTAGGAGAAACAAACAAGCATCCAAAATCTACTTTCTAAATCTCCAAGTGAAATCCATGAAAAGTTAAAATGTAAAGTGGGGATTTTCACTCTTTTCTAAGCGAGCCTGTTTTAAACATGAATAAAGCTCATCTACCCTTATGTGATAATCTCGGTATATTTCTCTTTTTATGCCTTAGAACAATAACAAAATGATGAAATAACACTATAAAACCAGTATGGTTTTCATACGAAATATGTTTCATTAATCATAACAGCATTTAACATGCATTTAAGGGTCATATTGTTTTCTCTATCAATACTCTAAGCTTTATGCCTATACAGATTAGTGAATTCTTTACAGTAACTCCATAAGTTCCCTAACTGGGGACCACTGATAAGAGAAATCATGGGATTATGTGCCAATTTCAAATACTGAAGAATTGATTTACTTCCTGTTTGACCATATAATTATGCCAACCTGGTGCTGATCACACACCACGATTCTACAAATAATATCACAGAACTTTTCATATGGATACAACATCAAAGAAACAAGAACTCAGAGAAGGATGACACACGACCCACAATCATCCTGAATAAACTGAAAGAATAAATGACAACTTTTCTGTTTTCACTTATAGTCAATGAACAAATTTTATATGTGAATTACGAAAATAAACAAATAATGTTCTAAAGGAAGCTAGATGAAAGGATAATGCCTGGTAGTATTATAACGACACCTAATATAACTAGTACATTCCTTTCCTTACATGTAAGAATAATAGTTCTGATGTGTTGTGCTGTTGTCAGGCACTGCACTAGCAACGTTCCTGACATGATCTTACGCAATTCCCACAACCCATCTGTGAGGCTGCTATTATGACTCTCATTCAACGGATCACAAAAACTAGCCTTTAGAGAAGTTAAGTAACTAGTCCAAGGTCATACACCTAGTAATTGACAGAGTTGTATTTAAACCAACTAAAACTGGATTTAAAATCCAGCCAAAGCTGACTTAACCTTAGTGTTAAATCAGTATGCTATGATTTTCAATTAAAAATCTATATAAAATTCAATTTCAGTTCTCCTAAATATCACATCAAAAAGGAATTTAAATGTACAGTATTCTATGATCTTAAAGTGTAGCTGTGCCTAGGGAAAAGGGGAGCAACCCACTGATCCTGCTCTATATGTTTTGCTCTTTAAACTCTTATCCAAGCAGACATTTGTTTTAATGAATGCCACAAATGCATCTGGCTCAAGACTCACGGATTGGCTCAAGTTGCTGTTTTATTTGCACCATCTCCTCAAACACACTGGAGACAATAAAGCAGCAGTTTCACCCTGCGGTGCCTGCTGTATACATCCATCCACAATTACCAGCAGTGCCTGCTGTATTCATCCACCTGCAATTACTGCCTCAGACAGGGCGGCCAAATCAGCCCGGGCCAAGAGCTGCAGGATTACATGCTTATTCCTCAAGTTTTCTGAACCCCTTCTTCTTTGATTATTATTCTCGGGCATACTCTAGCTTGGAAATAAATATGATAAAAATGTCTGAGGAAGACCTTAGCTAATCCTGAGAAGGAAAAATATCATTCTTTAGAGACAAATTTCACATACTAAATATAGAATGTATGATAACCATTATTACTGCTACTTGGTGATGCTTATAGACCAATTGAGTTGTCATTGAAAAGGAGAAAGAAATATAGGTGTTTTAAGCTTTGCAGTGAATGCATAGCCACATAAAGTTAAATGCACAACTATGGTGACATAAAAACCGACAGGTTTCTGTCTACGTTCCCCACAAAAGGAAAGCAGAAAAAAAAAAAAAAAAGTTTGAGATGGAGTCTCGCGCTGCTGCCCAGGCTGGGAGCACAGTGGCATGACCGGAGCTCACTGCAACCTCCATCTCCCAGGTTCAAGCGATTCTCCTGCCTCAGCCTCCTGAGTAGCTGGGACTACAGGTGTGCACCACCACACCTGGCTAAAAAAAGAAGAGATTTAACAAATACCAATGGATTGTGTTAAAAGTTAACTTTCATTGTGACTGTGATACAAAATTCACAAACACACACACACAAAACACTGTGACTCCCGATGGAGACAATATACTGCAAATATGTGAAGAAAAATAACATATTAGAGCACAACTAACTAGTAAAGGAAAGAAAGCAACGTGAAAACTCTTGAAGGATGCTAAAGGCAGATGACTGGAGGAAATGAGGAGGTACCTGGAAACTTTTGGGCCCATTCTGAAAAGGACACCTGGGCTCTCTTACAGTCTATGTTCTTGGTTCTTTGTTATTCCTCATATTACTACAAAATTTAATGCTTCCCTATTTCCTAATCTGTATGTCACTGGTACTATTATTATCTTTGTCCTGATAGTGTCTATTTTGTGGTTCAAAATATAGAATAAGGAAAATATATTTTCCTTAAGCAAATGAACATGAGTTAGAAGAGAGGTACAGAGACAGTAGATGAAGATGAGCTACAGATGCACAAGGAAAAGAAATTGGCTCAAGTAGGGAAGCCAAAGGTGGGGAAAATTTTTAATTTCTAGCTTTGCCGAAAGCTATAATGAGCGTTCGATTATTATGGTAGTTTTGTCACCTTGTAGATTTGGGTTTAAGGTTAGCGTACACAAGACTTCACTTTCTCATAATCATGCCTGGCAAACAGGATGAGCTACCTTCAGATATATGGTGACCCCTTTCATTCTAGACTTGAGCTACTATAGCCTGCCTTCTCTGGGGGCATAATTAATGAAAGAAAATGATTATATATAGCATGCACTTCCTACCTGATTATGTTTTTTGTTTGTTTGTTTGAGACAGAGTTTCACTCTATAGCCCAGGCTGGAATGAAATGGTGCAATCTCAGCTCACTGCAACCTCCCCACCATCCCGGGTTCAAGCGATTCTCCTGCCTCAGCCTCCTGAGTAGCTGGGATTACAGGCACCCACCACTATGCCTGGCTAACTTTTGTATTTTTAGTAGAGACAGGGTTTTGTCATGTTGTCCAGGCTGGTCTCGAACTCCTGACTTCTAGTGATCCACCTACCTTGGCCTCCCAAAGTGCTAGGATTACAGGCTTGAGCCACCACGCCCGGCCCCTAATTATGTTTTGTTCTACAATTAGAAGTCTTTCATGTTAAGTGATTTATGTATAAATATCCAATAAAGTATTGAAAACTGAAAAAAAAAAAACCTTCCATTTGAGAAAGTGAAAACAAAGTATATTTGGGATTTAACATTTATTTTAGTTGTCTTCAATAATTTCTTTAACCTTAAAAAAACTTTTATCCTTACTCATGAAAAGAACACTTCTTTTTGGCCAGAAGCGGTGGCTCACGCCTGTAAACCCAGCACTTTGGGAGGCCAAGGTGGGTGGATTGCGAGGTCAGGAGATTGAGACCATCCTAGCTAACATGGTGAAATCCAGTCTCTACTAAAAACACAAAAAATCAGCCCAGCGTGGTGGTGGGCACCTCTAGTCCCCACCACTCGGGATGCTGAGACAGGAGAATCGCTTGAACCTGGAAGGCGGAGATTGCAGTGAGCGGAGATCGCGCCACTGCACTCCAGCCTGGGCGACAGAGTGAGACTCCGTCTAAAAAATAAAAAACAAAAACAGAAACAAACAAACAAAACACTCTTTTTAACAGAGGGGATTTTAAAATCTCTAAGTCAAAAGCTATCATCATTGCTTTCAATAGAAAAGCATTACAAGAAAGCGACAGTGAAAACTATGAAAACGCATGAACTAAAGAACTGAGGTCAAGAAAGAAGAGCATGCGACCAATGATAGCATGCATGACATGAGACAGTGGAGGGCGGTGGTGCATATTTCCGCTTTTCTGGAAGCTGTCTGAAATGTCATATAAAAGAGAATTAAAATCTCAAAGCAAACACAGCTTTAAAAATAATGGAGAAAAGGCCGGGTGTGGTGGCTCCCGCCTGTAATCTCAGCACTTTGGGAGGCCGAGGCGGGCGGATCACGAGGTCAGGAGATCGAGATCATCTTGGCTAACACGGTGAAATCCCGTCTCTACCAAAAATACAAAAAACTAGCCAGGCTTGGTGGCAGGCGCCTGTAGCCCCAGCTACTGAAGAGGCTGAGGCAGGAGAATTGCTTGAACCCAGGAGGCAGAGCTTGCAGTGAGTCGAGATCGCACCACTGCACTCCAGCCTGGGCTACAGAGTGAGACTCCGTCTCAGAAAAAAAAAAAAAAAAAGGAAAAAAATTATAAAATATATACTTTATAGCTTTTCTTAAAAAAGAAATTTAAGTAGTATAGACATAATTTAGGAAGCGGAGAGGTTGGGATGTTGAGTACGGAAAACATTTAGAACATGATGTCATCCAACATCCTACTGAATTAGGACATACTGAAGTTGGCCTTACCTTTGGCTATTGTTGGCATCTGAAAAGCGATGCTGATAACGCCCACCAAATCTCCCAAGGGAATTAGGGATCTCAAAATAGACCTAATTCTGATGGCTTCTCCCTTACCAGCATGAATCAACTATACAGGAGGAAAAACAAAAAAGAAAACATTAGAACAACTTTGTGATATCAATGTTACAATTCTGTCTAGGAAATCTGAAGTATGGAAATCCAAGTCCAAAATAATTTTCTGATCAGTATACTTATAAAGTTATGCCTCTCTCAGACATAGCCTCTGGCTTACCTGTGGATATTTACTTGCTCACACAGTTTTCATTGACTTCAGCATACACCAAATTATTTATACTATGGTCTAGGCCAGTTGGTTCACCCATTAGAACAACAGTTTTTATCCTTTTGGGGACTGTTAAGATATATTGAGAATCTGACATGTTTATGAAAGTTTACTTTCCAAAATTACATGTAAATATGTATCAATAACACGAGCAATAATACAAACAAAATTATCATTAGACTCTGAGCATATACTAATATTTATGATCGAATTAGCTTCTTTCTTGCTTTGTGCTAAGAAATGAATTGCATATCATTGCAGGGTCTTTGATCCTGATTTCTCCCAAGGCTGGATTTATAATGTGGAGGAAATGATGAACATAAATCCTAACAGTTCTTTTAGACTGACATGAAGTACCCAGGATGACTGTGGATGACGATACAGTCAAGAATCTCAGCAAGTCTTCAGGACAGGCTCGGCTTGCAGAGCCGGGATGGGCATCTGTTTACCTCATTACAGGGTGTGAAACGCAAGCACAATTTCTGGCACATAGGAGGCCTCAAATAATAGTTATGAAGATGCATAAATTTCAGAAATGTCAAGGTTGTTCCCTTATTACTTCACTTAGTTTTTCCCCCATTAATAGAATACAATGAAAACTTCTATTTATTAGTATACTTTCTCTTTGTTTCGCTGATGTGTTTTTCTGAGATGGGAAAAAGAACAAATATTGTGAGCAAGTTTTTTGTTGTTGTTGTTGTTGTTGTCAGTAATCACCTCCGGCATAGAAATTTTTAATAGTCTCTGTTTCCATTTACTAAGATGAAAAAATCTTACTAGCGGCAAAGTTTAAATTTTTCTAAAAATCACACTCCAGTTTTCTAACGTTCTAACATTCCTCTATCCTGTGATTCCTCTTTGTTCACAAGAAAAGAGTACATCACGGAAGTTTTAACCTCTGGGTATGAAAAACCTAAATCACACCAAAAAACCCAACCAAAACCAAAAGAAAGATAGATAATAAGGGTAGAGAGAAAGGCGCTTTGTAAGAAAGCCCTGGCTTCTTGCTCATCCCACTTTAGAAATATCCTTACAGTTCTTAACTACCCCAGCACCAATCAATGTGTTTCAAACTCTCACACTCTGCGTTTATTTCCCATTAGAAGATCTGGAAATGAATGTTTTGGGCCCTGGGCCAGGATTTTTTTTTTTTTTTTTATGACTCTAGTAGAATAATATAGAATCAACTACAATAAAATAAAGAACAAAATATCAGAATGTATTACAGAGTAAAAGTATTATTCCATGAAACTTTAATTTCATTTGGGTCAAAAAGTTTCAGAAAACACTAATCTAGGCTGGGTACATTGGCTCACACCTGTAAGCCCAGCACTTTGGGAGGCCGAGGCGGTTGGATCACTTGAGGTTAGGAGTTCTAGGCCAGCCTGGCCAAGATGGTAAAACCCCATCTCTACTAAAAATACAAAAATTAGTTGGGTATGGTGGCGGGTGCCTGTAGTCCCAGATACTCAGGAGGCTGAGGCAGGAAAACCACTTGAACTTGGGAGGTGGAGATTGCGGGAAGCTGAGACCATGCCACTGCACTCCAGCCTGGGAGACAGAGCAAGACCTTGTCTCAATATGGAAAAAGAAAAAAAAAAAAAAAAAAAAAAAAAAGCAAGAAAGCAAGAAAGCAAGCAAGAAAGAAAACACTAATTTATATGGTCTAAATAGCTCTTAATATCCACCCCCTACACTTTCCCCCTCACTTCCCCCTAAAACAATGGCAAACACATAGAGCTAAATACACAAAAGAAAATTACTTTTGGTAGGAGCAGTTGCTTTCTGCATGCACTATAACAGAAGAGGAAATTGTATAGAGAAAATATGTTCTTTTCTTTTTAAAATGTGGGAGGCTGTATGAGTTTCAGAGATATATGAGTAACTTAAGTACTCTATTAATGACTTGCACTGAAATCCCATTACTAATTTTTACAACCAACAAGACATTTCCAACTAAACAAACACTTGTTCAGCAATTAGACTGCGGCTATTATTTTTAATGGAGCATGAAGATTATTGGTTTTGGATGCTATTATGCTCTTTGCCAGCTATAAATGTCTTAATATAGAGAATCAGGATTGCTGCTCCTGAACCCCCAGGAACTCACATGCATCTCAGGCGCACAGCGTCCCAAGAGGTCAATCAAAGCTGCATAGAAGGTCATGATCGCGTTCCCCATGTGGATAGTGTCATCTTCCTCCTCCTCTGTATCACTTCCATGAATGTTTCAAAAGAAAGAGAAAGCAGATGGGATAACTGACATTTCATGTTTATTACATATCTCTCCGAGGAAAGGGACTACTAGGTAACACATTATTCTTCTGATACATTTCATATATGGTATAAATGTAGAGCTTGACGTTTTTAAGGGAGAATAACGACTGGTTAAAGATCAAGCTTGAGATTCTAACACCAAGAACACATCTGTGGAAATGTTAGTATTAAGATTCCTTTGAAGGGAAAAGGAGGAATTGCTCATTTGATAGGTTCTTTTCCTTTCTGGTGGTAGTGTATTAACAAAGAGAATAACTGATAGAAGGATGTGTGAGCTTAGGCTATTTCTATAAATGGCACACATGTAGAAAAAGGGTGACAAAGATGTCATATAAGGTCACTTGTAAGGCATCCAGTACAGTGCTTTGCCCAGAGTACTTTATAAATGTTACTGCACTTGCTCAACTACCTCTGTACCAGCTACTCAACCTCCCGCAACCCCTGCCAAAGAATCCAACATATCTCCCTCCCCATCTCTGTAGGGAAAATATAATTACATGTTCTCTTGCTGATGAAAGCCAAATCTGGATGGCCCTGGAGGCTCACATCCTTCCTCCTTGGTAACTCAGCAGACAGCTGTCCCCACTGAATACAGCAGTCTGCAGAGTGACAGTGAGGCCTCAAATGACAGCCTCATTCCTGGGCATGCAAGGCTGTCCATGAGGCCCTCAGGTGTACCCTTGCTAGTGTGGTCCTAGGCCAGAGGTGTCAGGATACATTTTCTACTACCGAGAGAACCTAAGAGCTCCCTGGTTCCTTCACGGCCAACTGATAAACATGTAGCATGGTGTGTGTGTGTGTGGTGGGGAGTGCTCATTCTTGCTCTAGGAGTGCTCCCAGTCTGCAAATCTGGCTATGGTGAACATGGAACATCGATGCCCAGTTTATATGTAAAAGACAAAGGGTTTGCAGGATTGCGTTCACTCTATCGCTTCGTTGTTTAGAAATATGCCTCAATATTGGCCTCCCCATCGGGGAATCGAACCCCGGTATCCTGCATGACAGGTGGGGATGCTCGATACGCCTCAATAAAGCCCTATGTTATATCTTTACCAGAGGGACTAGCAGTGTGGATGCATGACCCCCCGCTGGAGGACATTCACCTACACAAATAAGCATCACACCTGGGATTTACTTATATTGATTACTGAAATCTAGTATCAACAATGTATAGCTACAGATAAATGTAAGAGAGTGACTGCTTCCCGTATCTGTCTCCTATACCTCAACTAAGCATTACACTCCTCAGAATGACACCTTTTCTCGATTTTACCACCATATCAGTTTAGTCAAGTCCCCCTTTTATTTGCAAAAGGTCTCTTTCTAATCATAAAATCTCTTTCTACCTACCTTCCCACTAAACTCTAGTCCAACCCCAAAGGTTCACCTCGTATCATTTAGAACAACCCACCTTGCCCTAGCTCCCCTGGGAAAATTCATAAGACGCATCTCCTACAACCTAGATTTCCCTCAGCTAAATCTACACCATCTTCTTCAGCTCTCTTTGTTCATTTGACCTATTCCGGCACCAAATTCCATCCATTCTTCCAAATCTAAGACATTATGTTTTCAAAGGGAGAAATCTTCAGCACCACAAGTTATGCTACAATTCATAGGATGCAGAATATATTTTGTAAAATTTCACATCAAGTAGTATGGATCACTCATGAGGGTGTGTTTATTAGACCTACAGTGTTTTACTGGATCCGCTATTTGGTGAGGGACCATCTCGAGAAGGATCCTCGGCGATTTTGATGGCTTCTTCCATTGCTGCAAGAAGCCCATTCCCACCTTCTCCTCTCAAAGCAGGACCAAAACACTCAGGCCTCCGAATAAGCAATCTCACCACGACATTTGCATTCTCCTCCACACTCTCCCCTAAAGTAGAATGGGGAAGATAAGTAAACAAATATGATTATATGGAAGTTCTGAACAAAAAAATGTTATACTAATCATTTCCTATGCATAAGAATAACTAAAATCCAACAATATACTGATAAAGCCAAAATGTAACCCAAATTACTAGCTTTGGGTATACAAGACACAGTAAATTTCTTTTCTTGCATTACAAATTTTCAGAGTAAAACCTTATGGAGGCATAAACTATTGATTCTCACTACCTTGTTATTATTATAGAATGACATCATAATCCAAACTATTATTGGAATTCAAAATAAAAAATTCATGAGAACTTATGTGCTTAAAATTTTAACTTAAATAAGGAAAGAAGTATATAAACAAATATTGTATGATAAGTGGTTACTGTGAAAAAACCCTATCGATTATAAAATATGTGATTTCTTTACTAATACTTCATGAAAGCGTTGAGATGAATCCTTATCATATAGACATGTCTCTCTGCAGTTTTAATAATAACCCAAACGACCTCAAGAAAACGAGTCCTACCATTACAGAAGACAGCAAATCTGAGAAAGTCAAGGTATCTCTCTCCTTCAACTGGATTCCACCCAATGTCTGGGTAACCCTTAGACACCAGCAACTGGCAACTCTGCAGTCCACAACCAGCCAAGTAACGAACTACCTGCAAACAACATGATTAACGAAGAGTTATCCCTCGGAGGAAAAGTCATTAGATGCTTCCATTGGATGCAATAAATGACATCCTCAAAGGATGCTTTTAAATAAATGCATTTTTGCAAGTTCTTTTTGCTCTCATGATAATCCACTTGAACTCCCTTTAGTAAAACCTTAGACTTCAGAAATATTTAAATATCATCATAAAGTGGCGTCATAATAAACATATTGACAATCCTACCATAAGCTTTGGTTTTTTTAAGCTTTCTCTAAGCAGACATTCATTTTAATGAATGCCACAAATGCATCTGCCCGGGGCTCACGACTCACGGATTGGCTCCAGTTGCTGTTTTATTTGCACCATTTCCTTAAACACATTGGAGACAATAAAGCAGCAGCCTCACCCCACGGTGCCTGCTGTTTTCATCCGCCCACAATTACCCACAGTGCCTGCTGTATACATCCACCCGCAATTACCTGCAGTGCCTGCTGTATACATCCACCCGCAATTACTGTCTCAGGGCAACCAAGTCTGTCTGGGTGGGGTAAGAGCTGCAGGATTATGTGTAAAACTATGAAAGAAAAATATTTCTGAATTTTATAGCATTTACTTTGAGACCCTTACCTATCAAAGTCATAAATTGCAAACATGTCTAATGACCTCTCGTGCAATGTAAAAACTGAATCCACCCACAATATTAAAAGATCTATCTGAGATGCAAAGGTATTTTAAAGAGATAAATTGTTTCCAAAATATATATCAATTTAATGGGGAAGCAGGTGTGAGAAAATATATAAAGACAGCAAAACCTAAGATTACAGTCAAATATCCTTGGTTCAAATCAGATGCGCAGCATTTACCAAACACCTCCTTTTGAGCAAGGTACTTTTACTTTTTTAGCCGAGGTTTCAGTGTCCAGGAAATTTTTGATAAGACAACACTTTTCAGTATTGATGCAATGAGCACATAAAATATTTTTGCCTGGCCTTTCCTCCTAAAATATTTTTGTTTTATATGAATGTTGGTCCTCTACAATATTTCATAAGAAATTCAATTTTAAAAGAAATCCCTAGAGAAGTCATTATCAACGGAAGTAAGACTGTTAGAGGAGCAACTTATCAAGCAAATTGAGTTATATCCAGCTCATGTTAAATCAGTTTCAAAAACAAATAGGTAGTATAGCTAAAAATGTTTTATATCAACTATAGCGAAGCAAGAGAACCAATGTACAATAAAATCATCTATTTGAAGTATAAATTCAATGAGCTTTGAAAGATGTTGTCATCTGTGAAAACACACCATAATCAAGATGCAGAACATTGCCGTCACTCCTCAGAGCTCCCTGGGCCCTTTGCAGCCCCTTTCTCCCCACACACCTTGTCCCAGGCAATCTGCTTTCTCTCATTACAATTTATCTCGCATTTTCCAGAACACGTGTACACGTAACAATGCAGCATGTATCTTTCTGTGCCTGGCTTCTTTCACTCAGCATATGATTTTGGGATTCATTCACATTGTAGCACATGCCAGTTCTTCATTCTTTTTTATCGTGGGATGACATTTCACCATATATGGGATGACATTTCACCATATATGGGTTTATCAACTAATACATTGATGATCGGTATTCAAGTTGTTTGCAGTTTTTGGCTATGATGAATAAAACTGTTATAAACATTCACGCCCAAGTCTTTGTGTGAACATACATTTTCCTTTCTACTGGGTAAATTCTTAGCAGTGGAAAGCCTAGGCGTATAGTTTATGGTAGGTTTATGTTTAATTTGTTAAGGAACTGCCAAACTGCTTTCCACACTGGCTGTGCCATTACTCATCATGACAGAAGTAGAAGAGAGTTCTAGCTGCTCCTTGTCCTTCTCAGCATTTGGTATTATCAACCTCATTAGCATTAGCCATTTTAATGAGTATGTAGATTAAAAGATTTTAAGTACGATATGGGGGAAACATGTCCTGAGGTGTCTCAGAGACTTCATGATCCTGGACCGGTATGTCAGGAGGATTTGGGGAAGAGTTTCACTCTTTCATGTCTTCAACAGCCATGCACTAAGTGTCTACCCAGTGCTGATGCTGTTCTCCAAAGTGGGGACAAAGCAGTTAACAGCAGAGGAAAAACCACTCTCACCTCCCTGGCTTGACATTAGAGTAGCGGATGAATTTTTAAAAATGCATAACTACATAGAATTTGATTAAATATATTAATAATTTAAAAAATGTTTATATAAATATAAACAAAAGTATACATTTGTATATAAATATAAATAAAACAAAAGTATATATTTGTGTATATAATACACAACTATTTACATCTCCAATGGTTGAAAACAAAGCAGTAAAGGAAACAGGAAGAGTTTAAGGAAGTGGAGAAAAAGTTTCAATTTTACATAGCATGGATATGGAAGAGCTGATCCAGAGGGTGACTTTAGAGCATTGACTGAAAGAATGCCTACAAAGAGCCGTGATGGTATCTTGGGTAAGGATGCTGCAGATGGTTGGACTAGCAGGTGGCAAAGACCCTGAGGCTGAGCACAGCTGGCGTGTTCCAGCTACAGCAAGGGGACAAGTGTGCCTGAAGCAAAGAAGAGAGAGTGCAGGAGAGCTGTAGGAGATGAAATCAGGCTGGTATGTAGGATCAGATGATGTAGGAGCTATTGCATCATCTTTGGTTTTTACTGGAGTGAGATAGAAAGCCTTTGGGGAGTACTGGATGGAGGATTGGCATGATCTTTTTAAGAGGGTCACTTTGGCTGATAAGGAAAGAACAGATTCCAGGGGAGCAAGGAAAAAAAATCAGGTGACTACTTGGAATGCTACTGCAACTACAATACAGGGAAAGTTTCTCTAAATGCTGGTATACACACATGTGGCTTAATATCCTTAGAGTGCATGGCTTTACTATATTGCTGATGCTTTGTGCTGGAATAAAGTATATGTGATATAAAATGTACATATGAGATGTCAAAATAGCCTTTTTAAAAACTGAAGTGTATCATTAAGTCAAAAATGGAAGCAGATATCATGAAAAGACAACAACACGTAAGAATACAGATACAGAACGTTGCTTCTTGTTCCATAGAAAAATGTTTGTGATCAGAGAAAACTCATTTTTTCAAATGTATTGTGCTTCATAACTTCTAACTACAATATAATGTATAGTAGAATTATATACAATGGAATATATAACATTATATAGTGTGCAATGTAAATTATAATATACTTTAATTCTAATATCACTAGAACATATTGTGTTGGTGCAAAATTAATTGTGATTTTGGCCATACTGTCACACTGCAAAACCACAATGACTTCTGCACCAACCTTAGTTATATTTAAAATATTGAGAAAGAACTATGAAAAAGCATAATTCAGACAAACACACAGGGCAGGAACATTGCTGACCTTTTCTAGATCCGGCTCACGCAGAGCTAATGCTAGTTCATTATTATCCATCACCGAAGCTGCAGCCACATCCAGTGGTGTTGAACCTCTCATAGCTGGGGAGGCTGTTAATTCAAATGAAGATGAAATATAACCTGGATTGTGCTGTATCTATAAACTCCATATAAAAATACCCTACCTCTTAAAATTTAATTTCTGAACACCATCCACAGTGTATTAATCTATAATGATTTAAAGTTTAATTTTTAAGTATTTTTAATTGACAAATAAAAATTGTATATATTGTGTACATGTTTTGAAATATATGTACACTTTATGGAATGACTCAGCTGAGCTAGTTAACATATGTATTACCTCACATACTCTTTTGTTTTTTGTAGTGAAAACACTCAAAATCTACTCTGGCAGCGATTTTCAAGAATATTATACATTAACTACAGTCACCAGGCTGTATAATAGAGTTTTTGAACTTATTCCTTCTATCTAACTGAAATTTTGTATCCTTGAACATCTCCCCAACCACTCTTCCCCAAACCTGGTAACCTCATTCTACTCTCTGTTTCTACGAGTTCGACTTTGATTTTAGAGCCCGCATGAAAGTAAGATAATGCAGTATTTGTATTTCTACACGTAGCTTATTTTTTGTAATGTAATATCCTCCAGGTTCATCCATGTTGTGGAAAATGACAGTATTCCCCTCTTGTTTTTAAGGCCAAATAGCATTCCATTGTGAATAAATACCACATTTTTCCTATCCATTCATCCACTGATAAACACTTAGGTTGATTCCATATCTCAGCTATTGTGAATAATGCTGCAATGACCATGGAAGTACACGTATCTCTTTGACATACTGATTATTCACTGCTTTTGGATATATATACCCAGAAGTACAACTGTTTGATCATATGGTAGTTCTATTTTTAATTTTTTGAGGAATCTCCTTAATGTTTTCTAAAATGGCTGTAGTAATTTTACATTCCCACCAACATGTATAAGGGTTCCCTTTTCTCCACACCCTCGCCAACACTTACTAAGTTCTGTCTTTTCAATAACAGACATTCTAACAGGTGTGAGGTGATAGCTCACGGTGGTTTCAATTTGCACTTTGCTGATGATGAGTGATAGTGAGCATTTTTTCACATACCTATTGGCAAACTGTATGACCTCTTTGGTGAAATGTCTATTCAGGTCCATTGCCCATTTTTTAACCAAACGTTTTTGCTTTTTAAATGTAATATGTATATTATTTTTTGACCTTAAAGATGAAATAAAAGTCATTTACTTACCAAGACCAACACTGCTGTTTTCCAGTAAATAACTGAGATGATCAAACATAGCTTTTTGATTCTGCCTACTTATACGACAGAAGTAACAGAGAAAACGGCAACAGTTGGCCACCATCTTGGGAAAGGTGATTTCCTACAGAAAAAGCATGTCATTAGCTCCTGAAAGCAAATGATCTTTATAAAATTGAGTTCAGATGTTGAGGTCTCAATCACATCATCAATCCCCATGTGTCCATATGTGGGCCAAACTTCAGATACTGAAGATCTTCAAATGTGCAGCAGACTATGACTCGCCTCATCCCTGAGTCAATGAAAATCAAGCCTGGCACTAATTCAGAAACTTCATTAACATCAATGGGTTAGATCAGAAATTGATTTATTACCCTATTCTCAAAGGTGAAAGGCAGATTCCTTTGTGATGCCTCACTACCACTATCAGCTGTGCTTCCACGGGCGGAGGTTGCAGTGAGCCGAGATCGCACCACTGCACTCCAGCCTAGGCGACAGAGCAAGATTCCATCTCAAAAAAAAAAAGGAAAAAAGAAAAAAAAAGTTCACTTTAGAATTCTACAACAAATACATCCAAGAGTATTATCATCAAATCTCAATCTGGATTGGAAATTAAGTTAAACCAACCAATGTTGGTATCATGGAGAATGGCTGAGTCTGAAGAACATGCTTGTGCTATGGACTGGTAGCATGATGGGAACTGACTTATAATTCAAAATTTTAAAGTAAATTAATACATAGAGTAATTTTTATGTTTCTAAGTTTCTAAATACCCCTAAATGAGATACTTTAGTTTCTAAATATCCCCTAAAGGAGAATAATTTAGAAGGCCAAAAATTACACAGCATAAGACAGGAAATTTTTTATCAAAATCAAGTTAAAAAAAAAAAAAAAAAAAACTACCAGTACGTTCAACTCTCTAAGGTTTGTGTGTGTGTTTTTTTTTTTTTCAAAAAGTGTTCTTTAAAAACAGTCACCCTAAGAGGATTTAAGAAATTCTCGTTAAGAATCTGCAATCTGGGCCAGGTGTGGTGGCTCACGCCTGTAATCCCAGCACTATGGGAGGCCAAGGCAGGCAGATCATGAGGTCAGGAGATCAAGACCATCCTGGCTAACACAGTGAAACCCTGTCTCTACTAAAAATACAAAAAATTAGCTGGGCATGGTGGCGGGCACCTGTAATCCCAGCTACTCGGGAGGCTGAGGCAGGAGAATGGCGTAAACCCGGGAGGCAGAGCTTGCAGCGAGCTGCAGTGAGCCTAGATCGGGCCACTGCACTCCAGCCTGGGCTCTGTCTCAAAAAAAATAAAGAATCTGCTATCTATATACTCCAGGAGATGATACTAAATAGCACTAAATAGCATCTCAGGAATCAAAGACTTTACCTTGGACTCTCCACCTCCAAGGACGTTCACCATGACCTCCATCACAGTCTCATGCATCCCCAGTGCCCTCATGAGATTAGGGTGCTGGTAAAACACCTTGTTATTCATAATATCCCTAGAAACGACAACGGACGTATGGGGTAAAGCTCAGAACAACATTTAAATAGTTCACCAAGTTTCTCATAAATCTTTTAGAAATAATTTATGCAAGTTGAAAAGTAAAAGCAATCACAGTATTTAATAAGCCACAAAAGTTAATGAATGTAATTGAGTTTTCCTAAAAAATACTGATAATTTACCAAAACTGGTTGACAAGTGTCTATTCTTTTTAATCGTAATAAACACAGTAAATATTAAACTGTTAAAATGAAATATTTTGGACACATCATTCCTAATTTTATGGATATCCAACCATGCATGTGTCCAACCTTCTTTTATATAAAAATATGAATTAGTGTTATACCATGTTTACATAAAAATTCTTCATATATAAGTATCTCTGCTTTTCATATATATGCTATTGTTAGTACTACATTCAGTATTTGCTATTTCTTTTCAAGTTCATATTATCATTCTGACAAATACTTAAAAGGATTTAAATTCTCCAAGAGAAACTGAGTATACATGAAGTCCAGGTACAAGTAATCTAACTCATTAAAATGGACATCCAGTTTCAAGAAACAGTATTAGGTGATACCTAAAATGTCTCATATTATCATTACTGCATTACATATTCTTGTAATATGTGTGTTCAGGTATTCCTAAGGGTCATAATGTTCAGGAGAAAGTATCATTCACTGCAAATAAAGAGCTCTGTTGATTTCTATTTTAACATAGATCAAATCAATGCCAAGAGTCTTTTCTATAAAACATTTTCTTGTCAGATCTACAGCAAGAATATAACATACAGCCTACAAGAAAACTGAAACTTCTCTTCAAATTAGTTCCCTTTAGTTGAATTACTCACTTATTCATTTAGTCATATGCAAAACTTCAGTTACTCTGGCTATATCAAGAAAGTGGGATAGTATGATTTTGTGTGTGTGTGTGTGTGTGTGTGTGTGTGTGTATATATATATATATTTTTTTTTTTTTTTTTTTTTTTGAGATGGAGTCTCCCTCAGTCGCCCAGTCTGGAGTGCAGTGGCGCGATCTCCGCTCACTGCAAGCTCCGCCTCCCGGGTTCACGCCATTCTCCTGCCTCAGCCTCCCGAGTAGCTGGGACTACAGGCGCCCACCACTATGTCCGGCTAATTTTTTTGTATTTTTAGCAGAGATGGGGTTTCATCGTGTTAGCCAGAATGGGATCGATCTCCTGACCTCATGATCCGCCTGTCTCGGGCTTCCAAAGTGCTGGGATCACAGGCGTAAGCCACCGCACCCGACCGTATATATCATTTTTAATGAAGAGGGCTTTTAGATAGCATAGGTCAGAAAAGCTACTTGGTGCCCGAGTCTAATATGGGTCTGACTTACTTCATGCCAGAACAAACTAAGGTAAACTAAGGCAGCTTTTTCCGTTTTATTGTCTCATTCATTCACATCTTTGAATGAAGTAACTTGATTTTAAAATCTCATTTGCTTTTAGTTTTAGGTAAATTAAATAGCAGTCAGGCTGTCATTTACTAAGAATCTCTCTTGTGTTAAATATTTTGAATACCATGAAAAGAAGCATTTTGCTTTTTAACATCATTTTGAGTTTTATCACTACTGAATGATTTACTTTTTAATGGCACATATCACTGTTGTGTGTTAAGAAAGAATGTGATCTCCATTTCCTGGAAGGTTTCTTTTTCACTTGGTTAATTAAGATAACTTCTTATGAAAGGCTTCCTCGGGTTAGATTTAAATATTAGTACTCAAATAAGACCTATCTATGCTCATACAGTTATAAAGACTATAATATTTGCTTTTCTCAATTGGCTTTTTTGCTTTCCCTTTCTGTCCCATTAGTACATTTATTTTTAGTGTGCAACAATTACCATGAATTTTTAATAGAACCCTTCAGTCAATTTTTATAATTTTAAATACTTAATAGGTCCATGAGCAAGATGCAATATTGTTTTTTGAGTTAAATGTATAGAAATGATATGAAACAATCTGTATCATTATACATTTGTTTTCTTCCCTCAGGATTATATTTGAGTTCTGTCAAAAAAAACCCTTGTATTCTATTTTATTCATTTTTTTCAAAGAATTAACTCTAAGTTTCTTTGATCAATTTTATTGTTTCTTTTGGTCTATTTTATTCATGTAGCAGTTACCTTTATTATCTCCTCTTTAGCCTGATATCTATGTAACTACATGAGCTTTTTTTTCTGCTAAATATTTGTCTTTTCATCACTGTTTAACATCCTATCTTCCAGATTTCTACATTTTTATGTTTAGGTATTGTTCTTAATGAACATCATAGAGCTTTACATAATTTTTATCTTTGTTATGATTTTGATTCCATCTTATTTTTTCTTTATTTTTAATTATTTTAAAAAATATTTTAGATATTTAGGGGGTGCAAATGCAGATTTCTTAAATGCATATATTGTGTCACGGAGGAGTCTGGGTTTTCAGTGCAATACAAAAAAAAAGCCTGGGCTTTGGTTGTACCATTACCTGAGCAGTGAACACTAATCAATAGGTAATTTTTCCATCTTATTTTCAAATCCCCAAACTATACAAGCTTATTATTAATGATTGCTTCGATTTATACATGTATAAATCAGTAGTACACTCAATACGACTTATTGCATCCCATTCTTTTTCTCTGAATTCCGTTTTCTTCTCCCTAATGTATATATTAACATGTAGCATAAAAATTTTAGAAGGTCTTCCAATGAGGGTCTGTAAGTAAATATTCTGAAATATCCTTGTTTTATCCTCACTCTTGAATATAGGATATTAACCTTAACCCCCAAATCCACATGAAATGCAAGCTCATGATGCTGAATTCTCAGAAAAGTTGTTCCCCCTACCCCTTCTTTTTCCAAGGCCCAGTAGATAAAGACAAGCTTCCTTATCATTTCCTGCTCATACTTCCCACTACCCACCTTGGATTTCAATGTGTTTTTTAATTTCTTTTTTCAATGTGTTAAATGCCACATAGACCTATGGATCAATGTGTTTTTATTGTCCTATGTTTTTATATATTATTGTACATTACTATGAGACTTAAAAAAAAAACACTCAAAGATATTGGCTGTGTGCCACACTGTGAAATTAGTCTTGTTTCATCACTGAGCAATTTTCTAACTTAGCTTTTGTTTCTATCTCTAGAAAAACAATTTAGTATAATGACCATATAATCCAGACAATACATTTTTATCAATGTAGCTACTGTATTACTATAGGGATAAAAATTAGAAAGAAAACATTTATAAGACAAACGGTTGTAGTCATTAAATAATTTACCCTAATCCGCGAATCATAAGCTTCTCCTCTTCTTTGCCCATTCTCACACTCAGCAGGGACCGAATCTGACCAAGGGACGCCAGCAGGTTGATGGTGTCCTCCACGGACACACCATTTATCGTGTAGGTCTTTGGCAGGGCCCGAACAAGACCCCCAATGCCATCATACTGCCGATGGAGCAACACAAACATGGCCCTCACCAGCTCGGGGTCTTCAATGACAGACTCCTGAGCCCATCTGACCATGGTCTCAGAGATCAGCTGCTGCAGAGTGGCTGCCAAGTCATTATGGATATTTTTTAAAAGAAAAATAAGAGAAGACAAATCAGTTGGACATTTCAAGTCCATATCCTGTACCCCCAAATTGGCATTTCTATTTGTACCAGACTTGAAAAGGCTCTAGATATTCTTTGAAGAAAATAACCTTCATTAGATGATACATATTTCAATACAGATCAGTTACAATCATGCAAGGATAAAACAACATACAAACCTTTCTTTAAAAATCATTCTTATAATTAAATAAGCTATAGTTATATCACTTTTTCAATTACTATTGGCAATTCATACGTAACTGAAGGTATGGTAATTAATATAAGGTGTCCTACTACTTTTATTTGTTTTGTTCTATTATTTTCTTCCCAGAAGGCCTGACATCATTTATCCCTATGAAGTTCAGTCATGGACATTCAGAAAGTATCTGTTTATCCAATTGTCTCCTCAGTTGAGTCACCTGCACCAGTGACCACATATAATCATGTTTTCACCTAAAGTTGTATCCATATTTGTCATTTAAAATGTCTTCAAAAGGATTTGATTGTGAATTTATATTAAAGTGAAAAGTTACTACATACATAGAAAATTACTTTGCAATGTAACATGAAACATAGTAAATTTAAAAGCAATAGAAATATCCAAATCTTTTAAAATAAACAGCAAAATTACCAAAATTAAGTGGCGTGACCAATTTGTGCACGATGAGGTACTTAATCCTAGCATTAATATGCTGGCTTATTTTCAAATTAGGCTGTTTTACTTTCATCTAGAAATTACTTAAGCAAAAACAAAAACTACCATTTTTAACCAAATACAAAATGCAAATAAAATGCCAATATAATCCCCTATATCTCAAAACCACACTGTCATTTTAATCACTCAAGATCATAAACTTGATAATAATAGAAAGTGATTCATAAGAAACGTTGAACTCTGCCATGCACAGTGGCTCACGTCTGTAATCCCAGCACTTTGGGAAGCCGAGGTGGGTGGACGGCTTGAGACCAGGAGTTCAACACCAGCCTGGCCAACATGGTAAAACTCAGTCTCTACTAAAAATATAAAAATTAGGTGTCTTAGTGCATGCCTATAATCCCAGCTACTTAGGACACAGACAGGCAGGCGGAGGTTGCAGTAAGCCGAGAAGCCGCCACTGCACTCCAGCCTGGGTGATGGAGCGAGACTTTATGGAACTCTGATTTTAAAGAAAACTTGACTCAAATTTGTGACTGTGACACTGAAAAATAAAGTTAGAAGTAACTGTATGAATAAAGGTTTTCTGTTTTAAGTTAGTAAGAAAAAAAAAGTGCTGTAAAAGTTTTCATAAGTTTATTATTATTTTTTTTTTAATTTCAGGGAAAGCTATTAAGAAACCATTGCTGCATCTTAAAATCAATGCAGTCTAGGGACATGGATGCAGCTGGAAACCATCATTCTTAGCAAACTATCACAAGAACACAAAACCAAACACCGCATGTTCTCACTCATAGGTGGGAACTGAACAATGAGATCACTTGGACTCGGGAAGGGGAACATCACACACCGGGGCCTATCATGGGGAGGGGTGAGGAGGGAGGGATTGCACTGGGAGTTATACCTGATGTAAATGACGAGTTGATGGGTGCTGACGAGTTGATGGTTGCAGCACACCAACATGGCACAAGTATACATATGTAACAAACCTGCACGTTATGCACATGTACCCTAGATCTCAAAGTATAATAGTAATTTTTAAAAAATTAAAAAAAAAAGAACCTATAAAAAAAAAAAATCAATGCAGTCTTAGAAGAGAAGTAAAAAGCAGGCTGGCTAGATCCCTCAGACCTACTCAGAGTGCGGTGCCCGAGGGACTCAGAGCCTAAGGGTGCTTGTTTGGTTGTAAGGAGTAGCAGCCATTATTCTTAAATAGGATATGGACCAACCAGAAGTGTATAACAGTTTAGGAAATATTTCAGAACCAAGATATAAAGACAATATCTGTTTAAATTTTAACAAAAAAGTTTAATTTGATGCAATAATATTTGAAAATCAACCTCATATTTAGAAATGAAGGCTAAATTACCATACTTCCTTTTAACTTTCTCTTTATAATCTCTGATAAAATACCTAAATTTCTAGTTCTCTATGGAGACTATCCATCCTTATCAAGCTGCTACCTCTCAGTCTGTTGCTAGACACATAGACTGATGCTGCTGTCTATTTCTGGGAGCTACAGGCATCTACTTAAGAGTCTGATTCTTGGAAGTTGCAAACTCAATTATCTCACTGGCTCATCTAGTAGAACATTCGTTTAAAGGATGAGTTAAGTGTTAGCCGTTGGGTCATTTTGCCCGTGCCCTCTTAGACTGCTTACAGGACTTTTTGGAGTCACTCTCAACTGGTTTTTCTGCTTGCTTCTTCTTCAGGTATGTCACCTTTTCTACCAGGGATAGCAGACGCCCTCTAATTGTTAAATCACTGTTTCCATCCAGAGACCCATCTTCATCCAGCTCAATTCCTAGTATAAAAAAACAGAGAGTCAGAAAAAAAAATTTAAATAATACACTTGGGCAAATAATTCTGAGGCCTTGCAATTTCTTTCATGTACAACTTAGAGCAACGTCAAAAAATGTCTGACATTAAGTTAAGCAATCCTGCTTACCAGCCCGCATAAATAACGTTCACTTGTCAGCCTCTTTTCTTCCTCTGTCTTTTTGTTCTATTCCTGTGGGCTCAGGGCTACCACCCAGAACAAAATATAACACTGAGCAGAGACCAAAAAGACTCTCTTAGGGGCAAAGCTCAATCCTGCTATTTTGGCTGACCCCTGGTCATCTCGGACTTCAGATACTGTCTGCCTAGACTTACAGTGCAGCCCTGCCTAAATCACTCCCCCGGGACTTTAATTCTCCTCTCTTGCCTCCAAAAATTTTAGCAGCATTTTGGTTAGTTGAGAAACAGAGAGAACAGGCATAATTAGGTACCCTAAACCAGGGAATGCTTTATATCTGAAACAATAATTCTAAAGTTTTAAAGTATGCCTGTATTTCTATTCTAGGGATACTAGAAATACAGGGATTCTTGTAGAAAAAAAAAATATATATATATATGTACATACACACATTTCTATAAGGGATACTTGTAGAAATATATATATATACACACACACACATACACACACACATACATATACACACATGTAGTATAATTTTCTGGGAGTCATTTAGTGGTACTTCATTCATAAACCAAATTAATATGCAAAGTGGTGTTTTTATTATCTCCATTAAAATAAGATAACCAAAGGTTAAACCAGTGGTATTATTTTTATCTGTAACTTTAAAAACAGCTGGTTCATTTTCTTTTATTGAATCATCAGACCTCATCTACACCACTGCATAAAGGAATAAAAACACACACACACACATCCAGAATACCTAATCGATTCCATTTTTAAAGTTTTTAGAATAAAAGGAGGGGAGATTTCCCTTAACAGATCTGGATTACTGACACACAACTCAGTGTAGGGTTTCCATAGGCATTCACTAACTTCAAAAGATATAGTCTAAATTTTCCAGAAAGTACTCCCTCAACTGCTTTAAATACAACTGTTTGTGATCAAATTTCTTTCTTAAAAAAGAAAAAAAAAAAAGCAGTTTCATTGAGGTTACTATAAACAAAACTGTACATGTTTTATCTGTGCAACATGAGCTTGGACATACGCATGGGCTTGGACATACGCATGAGCTCGGACATATGCATGAGCTTGGACATATGCATGAGCTTGGACATACGCATGAGCTTGGACATATGCATGAGCTTGGACATACGCATGGGCTTGGACATACGCATGAGCTTGGACATACGCATCCATCTATGAAACCATCACCACCAGGAACAGACATAAATCCATCACCTCTAAGTTTCTTAGTGCTTCTTTGTTTTTCTTTTGGGGCGGGGAGTTTGTTTGTTTGTTGCTGTTTTAAGAATACTTAACATGACATCTACCCTCGTAACAGAATTTTAAGTGCACAATACAGTATTGTGAACTGGAACCACGCTGTTGTGCCGTGGATCTCCAGAATTCATTCATCTTGTATAACTGAAACTTTGTACCCATTGACTAAACCAACCTTAACGTCCCTGCCGCAGGCGCCTGGCCACATGTCCCCCTTCCCATTTCCTGCCACTGATGGAAAGAGGAAAAAGAGAGAAAGAATTTTGGTCACCTTCTGTTCAGTTTAACTGCCTCTCTGATTTCTCTATCCCTCAGGACTCCCCACACAGGGACAGTTATTTTGCCATTTTGCCATAATAAATGTTTTTATATAACATTAATAAATGTTTTTATATAACCTTCTAACAGGTATTGTGTGTATTCGTGAACATATTTGCATGTACGCTTAATTTCGTCTCAGGATATATGGATTAAAAACACATAATAAGAGCTTTTATTACAAAGACCTTACCACAATGCGTCATCAAATCTTCATGGAAATCCAATAGTTGGTCACGAATTTCTTCTGGACACGGACATTCACTTTTGTCATCCTTAAAATTGAGAAGCATATTGATCTGAAAGTTTGAAAAACAAGAAAGAGGAAGAAGGAGAAAGAAAAGAAAGGTGAATTCAAGAATGGCACAGCAGGGCTGGGCGGAGTGGCTCACGCCGGTAATCCCAGCACTTTGGGAGGCTGAGGCGGGCAGATCACGAGGTCAGGAGTTCGAGACCAGCCTGGCCAACATGGTGAAAAACCATCTCTACTAAAAATACAAAAATTAGTTGGGTGTGGTGGTGCACCCCTGTAGTCCCAGCTACTTGGGAAGCTGAGGCAGGAGAATTGCTTGAACCTGGGAAGCGGAGGTTGCAGTGAGCCAAGATCGTGCCACTACACTCCAGCCTGGGTGACAGAGTGAGACTTTGTCTCAAAAAAAAAAAAAAAAAAAATGGCACAGCAACTACCATAAAAGCAAAAATGCTCAAAATCTCTGATTGTTCATAAATTATTCCTCCACAGGTGTCCATCACACAACCCAACCAGTACTGCAGAATAAATCAAATCATTCATAGCTTAACAAGCTGCAAAATAGTTATATAACCTTTCTTCCTCTTTCTCAAGTCCACAATATGTTACACTCTTGTATACTTTAAGGATTCTTAACTAAGAGATCTAAAGGCTATTTTTAAAAAGTGTTGTATTATGCTTATCCTAAATTTCCATTATTTTCTAGCTAACACCTCTACTTTATAGAGCATTTATTGAATATTTAAAAGAACTCTTTTTGAGAACACAGACACAAAGAAGAAAAAATATAATTGAAAAGTAACATTGGTTTGAGTATCCCTTATCTGAAATGCTTGGGCCCAGAAGTGTTTCAGATATAGGATTTTTTTTTTCAGAGTTTGGAATACAATCATCCTTTAGAATCCACAGAGAATTGGTTCCAGGACCCTCCATAGAGACAAAAAGCCACAGATGATCAAGTCTCTTATATGAAATGGCACAGAAACTGCATATAACCTATGTATACTCTCTCACATATTTTAAATCATCTCTAAATTACTTATAATACCTAATACAGTGCTGACACATCACTTCATTTAAGTGGATTAGACATAGTACTGGGTGTACAGCAAATTCAAGTTTTGTGTTTTGGAACTTTGTAGAATTTTTTTGAATACTTTCAAAATACAGTTGGTTGAATCCACAGATGTAGAACCCACAGATAGAGAGGACCAGCTCCATTTGCATACAAAGGTGATATTTTGAGGATAGAACCCAAGTCTAAAAATGAAAGTCACCTATGTTTCATACACACCTTACACACATAGCCTGAAGGAAATTTTATAAAATATTTTAAATAACTTTGTGCATGAAATAAACTTTGTACTAAATATTCACATGTGGAATTTTCCACTTGTGGTATCATGTCAGTGCTCCAAATGTTTTGGATTTTGGAGTATTCTGGGTTTTGAATTTTCGTATTAGGCATGGTTAATCTTTATAAGGGATAACTACGCTGCTGCTAACATTAATGGTTCAGTTAAACTGTGGGAAATTTTCTTCCATTTATGTTTGAACAATAATATTAAATTTATAAATTTGGAAAAAAAAGATGCTTTCCCATAATTTTCCTTTAAGAAACTATTTTAGATTTTCTTTTTGGCATTTATGTGATTTTTTTCCCTAAACGTTTATTTTGATATAATTACAGATTTATATGCTATTGTAAGAAATAATACAGAGAGACTTCAAGTACCCTTTATGCAGTTTCCCCAATGGTAACACTCTGCAAAACTGTAGTACTATATCATAATCAGGATAGCAACTTTAGTGCAGTCAAAACAGAGGATAATTCCTTTATCTCAAAGATCCCTCCCGTTACCCTTTCATGACCACACCCACATCCCTCTGTCTGCCCCTCATCCTTAACCACAAATTTGTTTTCCATCTCTTTGGTTTTGTCATTGCCAGAATGTTACAGAAATGGAATCTTACAGTGTGTAAGTGCGTATTCCCATATGATCCTTTAAAAATATGTATTTAATCGACAAATATTAATTGTACGTATTTTCGGGGTACCATGTGATGCTTCAATACATGTATACATTGTAGAAAGATTAAATCAAGATAATTAACATATTCATCACCTCATTTACTTATCGTTATTTCAAAGGTGAGAAGAAAAAAATCCCATATGATCACTTGGTGTCAGCAGGGAGGGCCGTGGTAAGTGGTTTCATTCCTGGTATGGGTAATTTGTATCTTCTCTTTTTTTCTTTGTCAGTTGTTTTAGAGGTTTGTCAATTTCATTGTTATTTTTTAAATAACCAGCTTTTGGATCCATTTTTTTCTATTGTCCTGTTTTCAGCTTCATTACTTTCTGTTATTAGCTACATTAGTGACTTCTGTCTGCTTGCTTTAGGTTTATTTTACTCATTGTTTTCAAAATTCTTGAAGTGGCAGGTTAGATTATTGATCTGAGTGGTTTCCACTTTTTAAATGTAAGCACTGAGTGCTATAAATTTCCCTCTTGGCCTTGGTTTAGCTGTGGCACAAATTTTCAAATGTGATGTGTCCAATTTCTTTCAGTTTAATGAATCTTTAAATTTCTCCCCAGACTTCCTCCTCAAACCACAGATTATTTAGAAGTGGGTCGTTTAGTATCTCTAAGACTTTGGAGATTTTCCAGTTACCTGTCACTGATTTCTAATTTGATTACAATGTGATTAAAAAAATGTGTATGATTTCAACATTTAAAAATTTCTTGAGGTTATTTTATGGCCCAGGATATGTTCCATCTTAGCAAATGTTTTATGGACACTTGAAAAGAGTGTGTACTTTGTTGTTGGGTGGAGTAGTCTACAAATCTTGATAGATCTAGTATTTGATAATAGTGTGGAGTTTTCCCATATCATAGCTCATTTTTCTGTTTAGCTGTTCTATCAACTGAGAGAGGAGTCTTGAAGTCTGCAATAACTTTGGATTTGTCTATTTCTTCTTACAGTTCTATTAGTTTTGCCTTCACATATTTTGCTCTATTGTTTAATTCATATACATTTATCTTCTTGGTGGATTGACCATTATGTATTATCTTTGTCTCTCGGTAATTTTCTGTGCTCTGAAGTCTACTTTATGTGACATAGCTACTTATGCTTTATTTTGATTAATATTTTAATAATACATATTCCTTTAACTTTTCCCTTTTAATCTGTATACATTATTACATTTGAAGCGAGTTTCTCATAGCAAGTATATAGTTGGATTGAGTTTTTTAAATTCACTCTGCCAATTTCTTTTAATTGGTATATTTAGATTACTTATATTTGTGTAATTATTGATATGCTGTGACTTCAGTCTGTCATTTCACCTGTGGTTTTGTTTGTTCTCTCTGATTGATTTTTACTGACTTGCTATGCATTACCTGAAGAATATTTAGCATCCTATTTTGATTTATCTGTAGTACTTCTCAGGGTATCCCTTTGTACAGCTTTTCTAGTGCTTGCTCTGTGTATTACTTTATATACAGACCTAACGTACAGTCTACTGGTATTGACGGTGTACCAGATGGTACAATGTCGACACCAGTAGACTTCAGTTTCAGTGAAGGATAGAAACCTTATCTCCCTTTATGTTCCTTTATTCTCCTCTGTTTATAATTTTTAAATATTCCTTATACATGTATTTAGAAACACATCAGTTTTACGATTTTTGCTTCAACCATCAAACATAAATTAGAAAACTCCAGAGGAGAAGAAAATGCACTGTATTTGCCATATTATAACATTTCCCAGTGTTCTTTCTTCCTTTCTGAATTTTCCAAATTTCCTTCATTTTTCATTTTCCTTATATTTAAAAAAATCCTTTAGCATTCTTTTAGTGTAGGTCTGCTGTGGTCAAATTCTCACAACTTCCTGTCATTTGAGAATGTCTTGATTTCCCCTTCGTTCCTTAAGAATATTTTCTAGGTACACAGAACTCTGAGGTGATAGTCTCTTCTTTCAGCATTTGAAAATTGTTGTGCCACTTCCTTCTGCCCTCCATACTTTCCATGAGAAATCTGCTGTCACTCAAATTCTTTTTCCCTCTGTAGGTAGTGTCATTTCTTTAAAGACTCTGTCTTTATTTTTTTCAGAAATTTGACTATGATGTGTCTCGGTATAGATTTATGTTTATCCTATATGGAATTTACTCATCTTCTTGAATCTCTCACTTCATATCTTTTACTGACGTTGAAAAGTTTTCAGCCATTATTTTCTTCATTTTTTTTCAGTTCACCCTCTTTCTCCTATCCTCTGAGACTCCAACATCACAAATGTCAGATCTTTTGTTATATTCATCTTTTCTTCAGATGGAATAGTTGATATCACCCTCTCTTCAGTTCACTGATTGTTTCTTCTTCTCCCTTCATTCTGCTTTTAAGCCCATTCATTGACTTTTAAAATCTCAGTGATTACATTTTTCAGGTTTAAAATTTCCATTTGGTTCTTTGTTATATATTTTGTTTCTCTGCTGCTGAGGCTTTCTATTTTTTTTTTTTTTCCATTTTGAAGGAATTACAGGGTGATTGCTTTCAAAACTTCATCAGATAATTTTAACATCTTTGTTGTCTCAGTGTTGGTGTTTATTGATTGTTTTTTTCACTCAAGTTTTTCTTGGTTCTTCACACACATGATTTTTAATTGAAATCTCAACATTTTGAGGATTATGCTAGGAGCTCTGGGTCTTATTTATAACTCTGTTTTACCTGACTTCCTCTGACCCCATCCAGCAGGAGAAGGGCTTAGGGTACCTTATTGCTGCCAGGTGCGGGGGGGAAGTCCATTTTCCCACTCAGCCTCCTTGGACATCTGGAGGAGGGAAGGGAGCCTGTTACTGGTGGGCAGGGGTAAAAAGTTCTGCTTTCTCACTAGAAAGGGTAAGAGTGTCTTGTTACTTCTCCTTCCACAACCTCTACTGATACTTTGGAAGAAATGGGCCTTGTTACTATTCAGCGGGGATAAAGTCGCAGCTCTGTCCTCCACTGGGACACCTTGTTACAGCCTGGTGAGAGTGGAAGTCAAGGTTCCCCACTCGGCCTGTGCCCAGTGTGGGTGGGGAACAGTTTTCTCTGTGGTTTTTGGCTGCAGTAGTGCAGTTATTATCTAACACATTTCTGTCTTGCTAAGCTGCCCCTTTCCTGATCCTTTGTCTAGAGAGAGAAGGCTTTTGTTGCAGCTTTTCTTGTCTATGCTCATTGGTGTTTCCTGGTTGCCGGCTTCTTTAGCTTCAAATCTGGGATAGATGAGGCAAAAAGAAAACCCAGGGAACTCACCCCCATGTTGTTCCTTGGGTCCTGAGTTCTGTAGTCAACCTTCCTTCATCTATCTTTCAGAGTCTTCTTGTATTGTCTTCTTTGTAATGTCCAAGGTTTTAGTTGTACTTAAAAGCAAGAATCGGGAAAAGCACATGTACTCCATCTTTCCAGAAGCAGAAGTTTCCCAACAATAGTTTAACAGAGTTAATCTGGAAGAGGCTGGACCTGTTCTCTGTTCAATAAATGCTGTTTATAACAATTAAGAAAATTCCACAGCCCTTTCCTCAAAGAAATTACATTCTGGTGAGAAAAAAAAATTCCGTAATTAGTCCCTATAAACACTTTCATTCTGAGCTACCCTGGATAGAGAAGAAAATGGTAAGGGTAAGAAATCAAAAAAGACATCTGTGAATTACATTGTTTAACCACCATCCCTACACCTTGGTAACTCCCCACACTCTGAGGCAGATTCCAGAAAATTCACATCCCCAAACTAGCCCAATTTTCTGATTCAGGCAGGTGCCCTTGGTTCTGTTGTACCCTCAGGAGGCCTGACTTTGGAGGTAAGCAATGAGAAGAAGAACCACAGACAGGTCATCAGTCTTCCGGCAAGCAAGGTGGAAGAGACACGTGTTTCTTCTATGGAAAGCCTCTAGCATCAAGTCCTAGGAATCAAAAATTCCTATGAGTGGAAGATGATGAAGACCCATTTGTGGCTGAAATTTGCTCCTATCAAGAATTTCAGACTCTGGCATATCTTGGCCTTCTCAAAGAGTCCGTGATATACCTGATATCTTCTAATAAGTCCCTCTTTTGTTTAACCAAAGAAATTTTTTTTGGTGAAACTAATACTACTAACTAAATCAACTTGATGAGTTTAAACAGAACAAGGAAAGCAAGACATGTGACTTATGATACAATTTTGCAAGGCACAGATCCTGAATGACTAAAAGCCAAAATAAATACAAAGAATTTTCATTTAACTTCTGTACCTGCTCTTGAGGTGGTGATCTGAATTCCTTTGTTTTCCTGGCTGTGAGTGCAGCTGACATGTTTAAGGCTTGCATAACTTCGTTGTATCGGAAACGTTGATTGTCTTGGAGCTTAGCTACAAAATCATCTGAAAAGGCTACAATGGCTTCTATCCGGTGCCGGACCTGGCAGTCACAGAGGTATTGAAGCAGTAGGCACATCTAAGAAGACCATCAAAAAAACGTCAAATTTAATTTCTAAATCCTTTAATAATGTGCATCAAATCATGACCTGTGGTAAACATCCTTAGTTGCTTACTCTTCTCTCTTAGAAACAGAATCCTGATTTCGTATAGGCAGCAATGTGCTTGGTCCCAGGAGATGAAGCATAATTTATCTAAGCAAAAATGGCAAATAAATGTCCCTTTAGTGGACGCTAATTGATATGGTCTGGTTATTTTCCCACCAAAATCTCATCTTGAGTTGTAATAACCCCCACATGTCAAGGGCGGGGCTGGGTGGATATAACTGAATCATGAGGGTGTCTTCCCCCATGCTGTTCTTGTGGTAGTGAATAAGATCTGATAGTTTTATAAATGGGAGTTCCCCTGCACATGCTCTCTTGCCTGCCGCCATGTAAGATGTGACTTTGCTCCTCATTTGCCTTTTGCCATGACGGTGAGGCCTCCCCAGCAGTGTGGAACTGGGATTCAACTAAACCTTTTCCTTTTTACAAATTACTCAGTCTCAGGTATATCTTTATTAACAGTGTGAGAACGGACTAATACACTTACCCTCCCAACCTCCCTTTCAGCCACAAGTGCAATGGCCAATGAAATATATAAGGGAAACTTTGCTAAGGGTCTTCTGGGAAAGATATTCCATCAGTGATAAGAGACTAGAATTCCCTTCTTTCAAAATGAGTGTAACTGGGTGATGACATGATTACTGCAGAAAGAATAAGGTGAGCATTTTAGGAAGAAAACCACAGGCTGAGGATCACAGAGCAGAAAGATGTTAAGATCTGGGTTACGGATGACATCATTGAGCTGCTGTACCAATTCCAGAAATCTAAACTTAAGACAATTAAGTGGTGAATGCTCATTCATTCAGTGGTTAGCTGGGTCTTTCTCCTACTGAAAACCAAAAGGATTTATAACTGAGTGAGTATGTTGGTAGAAACATTTTTAAAAGAGAACACTCTGGCAAATATTTAAAAAACTATACTCTCAATACTTATTGTGATATAAATACATGACAGTGTCAAAGAGGACCTTAAAACCCTCTGTGTCACCATCTGCAATATAACCATTTCTCTCAATGCTGTCTCTGAAGTAGTCAGTGTCCATCCCCTTTTCTCCATCTCCTTTGCCCCACCCTCCTCTGAGCATGGTCTCCTAGAGTCTGGACCAGCGTGAAAGCCTTCTGACTAATCAGATACTAGATCACTCTCTCTTTCCTCCCTCCAGTAGCCACACTAGCCTTTTCCTGCCTCAGGACCTTTGCTGGGCTATTTGTTTTGCATGGAAAGCTCCTAGAACACCCTGCCCCATTCCTTTTCCTTGTAATTGCTGAGCATAACTCTTAAATCTGAACTCAGCTTAAAAGTCACAATCTCTGAGGGGTCTTCCCCCTTATCTTTCTAACAGTAATCCAGTCTAAATGTTCTTTCTTTTAGTAATCCATTATTTGCCTTCAAAGTATTTAATGCAATTAGCAATAAGATTTTTTAATGCATAAATGAGTGCATATTTCCTTAGAGGCTGTGAGTTTCTGAAAGGCAGGGTTCACTTGTGTTTCCCTAAGTGCATACCCAGAGTAAGGCTTCAGTCAATGCTGACTAAAGGAACGAGGAGCAAAAAAGCAGGTCAGCGATGCAAACATCAAATTGACTTTAATAAACAGAGGAGACATTAATAAAGGACCCTTTAGACATCTTGATGAGCATCAAGACAGCCAATGTGTCTGATTCCTTAAACACATACTAAGGTGGCTGGGTGCAGCGGCTTACACTTGTAATCCTAGCACTTTGGGAGGATGAGAATGGAGGATCACTTGACACCAGCCTGGGCAACATAACGAGACCTCATTTTGACTAAAAATAAAAAAAAATTAACTGGGCATGGTGGCATGCCTACAGTCCCAGCTGCTGCAGAAGCTGAGGCGAGAGGATGGCTCGAGCCCAGGAGATCTAGGCTGCAGTTAGCTATGACTGCACCACCACCACGGCACTCCAGCCTGGGTGACTGAGACCCTGTTTCAAAACACCAAAACAAAAGCATACGAGGGGAAAGTAAAGCCTTGCTATGTGACAATGGGTGCATCTACTGGTAAACGAGCATTCTAAGGTTGGTAAGAGTGGAAATAGGGGTAGAAAGGGGTATTTGATGGCTTGTATTTCAGGTATTCCAATGTAATGAAGGTAAAACATGTATGAAACAAGAGGAGATGGCTAATGAATAAGGCGGAGAAGAACAGAAAGTTAATTTTATGAAGAACTACCATTACACAGGAATGCAAAGAAATAAACACACATCCACAGAAAGAAACAAAGGCATGTTCCAATACCTTAATGCTTAGTCATTCTGAAATTCACCCAAATCTCTTGTTCTGATTACCTGCAATTTAACTGGCTCTGGCAGTTTCATTTGGAGCAGGCCTTCCTTGGGCCGCTTGCCCCCCTTGGCTTCTTCCTCACCAGCTCCTTGCAGCTTTGCGTCATCCACACTGAGCTCTTTCTCCAGTGTATCACTCTCCTCCTCTGGAGTGGCCGCTTCTTTAAACACACTGGGCTCGATAAGCTGCAAGATGTGCTTCAAGTCCTCGTTGTGGAAGATGCCCATGATTAGCAGGGTATAGAAAAGCTTGATGAGAGGCACAAAGAGGAATTCAGTAGTCCCTCCAACTGGGTCCCGGGCATGAAGACTGCCCTCTTTAACAGCTTCCGTCAGCATCTGTATGGTCTTGGCCTTGAGGATGTCCAGTGGGAACTCTGGACTATACTGGTAACATTCATTACTAACACTTACAAAACTGGGGGAGGAAAACTGCATCCGTGGCCTGAGAGAGGTGCTGAGGCCGATCCCTGGAAGGCCATGCTTTTTGTTCTCATCGGGGAACAGGGTGATGCTCTTCGTCTCCTCCGTCATGGGGACAATGTACTCGTTGTTCATCATGAGCCTGGCAGTGGCATAGGAGCTCAGGTGGATGTCGATCAGCAGGTCATAGTAGCCAGCACGCAGCAAGCCAGGCATGTACTTGTTCTCAATGGCGTAGAGGAGCTGAGGTTCATCCACGTGGCTGCACAGGGCGTGGGCCACCCGGTGGTTCCCAAGAGCACAGACAGCTGAGTAGAGCCGCAGAGTGTGATAGTGAAATTTCAGCAACTCCTCCTGCTCTGTCAACTCCAAGATGTCAACAGATCTGTAGAAGGGAGGAGAGTGGTAGTAAGATTCGAAATGAATGATTTTTGAAAATCTGACTCAGAGGAGAAATCAGTATACATTGTAAATTTGAAGGCAAACAGTTATGGGAATAGACAGTGCAGGCTGAACATCCCTAATGTGAAATGCTTGGGACCGGAAGTGTTTGGATTTGGGGCTTGATTCAGACTTTGGAATGTTTGCATTATACTTACTGGTTGAGCATCCTGAATCTGAAAGTCTGAAATGTGAAATACTCCATTTCCTTTGAGCATTATGTTGGTGCTCAAAATGTTTCAGATTTTGGAGCATTTCGAATTTCAGATTTTGGGATTTGGGACACCCAACCTATGTCTTCTTTTAGTTTTCTTTGACATGTTTAACGGCTGCATAGTACTTTTAATCATTTCTAGATGTTTTACAGATTTTCTTCTACATAGAATTTGACACTTTTTTAGCACCTCCTTCCTCCTCCATTGTATCAAGGATCTGTTGCTGTGAGCTGAGATTGCGCCACTGCACTCCAGCCTGGGCAACAGGGCGAGACTCCACCTCAAAACAATATATAAATAAACAAACAACAAAAAAGTCTCTAGCAGAGAAATTTCTTTCATATGTCATTGTCATTCAATTGTTCATCAAATATCACTGAGTGCCTATTATGTATTAACACTGTGCACTGATGAGACAATGGTGAATAATACAGTCATGATTCCTGTCCCCAGGGAGCTTATATCCAATTGAGGGAGTAAACCACCCCCGCTGATCAAAATGGAGCAAATTAAATGATCAACTGTGACATGTGTTAAGGAGAAACAAAGCACACACTGACATACATCTACTGCCATAGCAAACTTTAAAATATTAATGATTTGTCATGTTATTGGGGCATCAGATTCTTCTCAACCACGCTGGTTAAGACTTCCTTTTTTGGAATTTGGATTTTGAAACTCACCATATTTTTCTGCGGCTGCTAGAAAGAATGAAATTAATGCGGGCCCCGACTCTACCAACCGGTGTGGTATAAATGACTGTGTGTCGCTCTTAGCCTCAGTTTTATTTTCCTATCCATATCTTTTCTACGGCCTGATGCCAGTGACACATTTTTATACATTCCTGTTGCATATGATTTGGAAAACTCCCTTAAGTCCTTTATGAACTTTAGTGGGAGTTTAAATTATCCATTCACATACATATACATCTATCATAGGCAATTAATATAAATTATAAACTACTGAGACAAGGTGTTATGTTGGTTTTCAATGATAGCATGCCAAAATGTTAAATTATAATGTTAAAGTTCCATGCTCAGTAGAGACACAACATTTTCCTTCACAAACAAGAATTCCTTCCCAAATGTTATATTTGTTTTGGTTGTTCAATATTTTCTTAAAAAACATCATCAGATGAAAAATTATGATAAAACTCTTCTCACAAAAAAGAATAAAATTAAAATCAAACTGAACCATCTCAAGAGTACGTTATGAAAGATATCTAATTACATTAAATATGTAAATACATATTTAACGCATAAAAATAATTAACTAGTCAGATTAATTTTTTTGTTTTTCTTTTGTTTTAAAACATCTTTGATGAGCTGTAATTTACATGCTATACAGTTTACCGACTTAAAATACATAATTTAATAGTTTTTGTATATTCATGGAGTTGTATAATGATAACCATAATTATCGTTAATTGAGTTTAGAACATTTTTATCACCCCAAAAGGAATTTAGTACCCATTAGCAGTCCTGTTCTGCTCCTAGCCCTAGGTAACCACTAATCTACTTTCTGTTTCTAAAGATTTGTCTATCATGGACTTTCCAATTAAATAAAATCCACACTAGTAGGATTCTTTCACTTAATATGCTTTCGTGACTGGTTTCTTTCACTTAACATAATGTCTTCAAAGTTCTTGCATTTTGTAGCATGTATCAGCACTTCAATCATTTTTACTACCAAATAATATTATATAGATATATCACATTTTGTTTATTGATTCATAAGTTGGTGTACATTTGGGGTTCCTTTTTTTTTTACTATTATTCATAATGCTTCTATGAATATTCATGTACAAGTTTTTGTGTGGACATATTTTAATTTCTCTTGGATATATATGAGTAGCAGAAATGCTAGATCACATGGTAATGCTATAATTTTATTTTTTGAGGAACTGACAAACTGTTTTCCAAAGCATAGGTTAAATTTTAAAGATATTAAAATCAAAAATGCCAAGAACATCTAAAGATATAAAAATGGACCTGGCTTCAATAATTATTTTCAGATTAAAGACTTAAAACATACAAATACGATTGTGCATTACTTTCATAACATGTTTTTACTCAGTTTGTGACTGAACATTTCAATGGTATTTTGGGAAGGAAATCTTGGCCCAAAACTTAGAAACTTAGCTCCTTATTGATAAGAAGTACTGCTTAAATGAAATCTCTGCCATTTAATTGGCTATCACATGGAAAAACAGAAAATCATAAACAAAGCTATCTTTGAGTATTTATTATACTTCATGTTACTATTATTACTGCCTATACTAGAATGCATATAAAATTGTTTCCAAGGCACTCACAGTATTTCCCCAATTTTCTTTCATTAATATCTCTTGGGATCAGTCTTTTACATCTATAAAATGAAGGGTTGAACATAGGAATCATAAGGGATTCCTATGATTCCATCTCTAATATCTCACAATTCTCTACTACAGTACTCTTCTAAGTCATAAGTTGGATTGCAGTTGCACCTGTCTGAATTTTTATTTGCTGTTGTCTGGTAAGTAACACAAGAGTGAATGAAGAAACCATCATGGGGTACCTTCAACTGCAGAATAATTTTTTTCAGTAACAAAGTGGTTGAGAAATAAACGTAAACTTGGAATACGCAGAATAATGACTCCATTGCCAAAAGAATTGAGACCTTCGTAAATTTCATTTTGTTTCTTTAGAACCACCCCCGCCCCGCACCACTACCAGAAGCCCCGGGCCGCAGGCTAATCCCAAGCGTCCCAATCAGAATGTCACGGATTCATGGGGCTGACCTGTTTTCCTCAGGGATATGAAGAGACATGAACTGCAGGGGATCCAAACACTGCACCAACCAGCCTTGGCGTTCACTTATTCGAGACACATCTACCTTCAAAAACTGGTTGGGCATTCTGCTCCACAGCACGTGTGACAGGAACTGCACGTGGAGGCGCGGGGGACACTGCGGCACGGGGTTCTTGTGCTCACTCTTGAATAATCCCGCCGAGAGAGGCATCACATTCTAGGGGATGAGGAGGCAGAAAAAGAATGAATTTAGAGCATCCCTTGGGGTTCACAAAGTAAAGACTAGAATTCTGCAAAGGACAGAGACAGGGAAAGTAAGACAGCCCTATGAGTCAAGCAAAGTCAACATAAGAAATCATAGAAATTGGGTTGAAAAGTTTCTGAAAGGACAAACCAGGAAATATATTGTGAGGAAAATACCTATACCTTCAGGGCACTCAAACAGGTTTCGGGATGTGGCTTTCCCATATACTGAACGGCACAGAGAGAAGGCCAAGCACAACCAAGCATACCCATATATCCTTTATATTTCTTTACTAGGCTGGGACCTCAGGGAGAGCCAGCAAGTCTTTAGGGACTTTCAGGGCCAAACTTCCTGAATGACAGATAGGTCACATCTCCCTGGCTCTCTCTCTCTCAATATCTGTTGTCTGTCACCCAACTCGTCCTTCAAACACTTCCTCTAGCCAGAAGTATTCCAGATAAAGCTCAACAGATAAACCTGACTACCAACCAAGAAAACAGAATATGATAGGCATTAACAAACATATTTATTTCTCCTCCACCTCCAATGGCATCGTCAGCCATCCTTAATTCCTTCCGTCGGCTGTCAAAGAAAAAGAGTTCTCTACTCTGCCAAAAGCCTCTTCATTTATCTATGATCTTGACAACACCGATGTCTGCCTCTTATGGGATTTTAGCTCATATTTCTGCATTACCTTCTATCTATCCTTCTCCTCTAGAGCCCCCTCAATTGCATGCTCTAGACTGTTTCATTCTCATACTGCTTTCCTATTGCCCTCTAACAATAGCGGGGGGAAATGTCAAGTACTGGTTTAAATACTGATGATATGTTAAAGAATAAAACTAACCAAACCCCCGCCCTCAAATAGTTTCCATTTTTCTCACTAAAAGTATGAAATAAAATCAATAAGTAATTTAGATGAATTAAATGGTATTTTAGAAGAGATGTCATAGGGCTGGGAGTTTGGGGAACAGAAAGCCAGAATGGAGGAACCAGAATGCAGGGCAGCAATTTTAAATGGGGTTGTCAGAAAGGGTGTCATTGAGAAAGTGACATTTAAAGAAAGACTGGGCTTGGCACAGTGGCTCATGCCTGTAATCCCAGCACTTTGGGAGGCCTAGGGAGGTGGATCACTTGAGGTCAGGAGTCCAAGATCAGCCTGGCCCACATAGTGAAACCCTACCTCTGCTAAAAATACAAAAATTCGCCTGTAAAAGATATTAAAATGGTGGCGTGTTCCTGTAGTCCCAGCTACTCGGGAGGCTGAGGTGGGAGAATTGCTTGAACCTGAGAGGCGGAGGTTGCGGTGAGCTGACATTGTGTCACTGCACTCCAGCCAGGGTGACAAGTGAGACTCTGTCAGAAAGAAAGAAAAGGGAAGGGGAAGCGGGGAAGGGGGAAAGGGAGGGAGGGAGGAAGGAAGGGAGGGTGGGAGGGAGGGGGAGAAGGGGAAGAAAAAAAGGAAAAGAAAAGAAAAAAGGAAAGGAAAGGAGAGGAGAGGAGAGGGGAGGAGAGGAGAGGAGAGGAGAGGAAAGGAAAGGCGAGCAGTCTAGTCCAGTCTGGACTAGACTGGACAATTTGTGATAGCTATCACTCATCCAATGGAAATGTCAGTAGAAGTCAATAGATGATTGAATATATCAGTCAGGCTTCTGAGAAACTACCACTCTTTGTCCAATTTTGTTAAAAAAAATAAAGGTCATCTGAACTTGCTGCCTCCTTTCTCTCATTTCCAATCTTGAATTCACTGTCACATGGCTCCTGTCATCATTTCTTAATATAATAATTGAGACAAGGTCTCCCTCTGTTGTCCAGGTTGGAGTGCAGCAGCACAATCACGGCTCACTGCAGTCTCCACGTCTGCGCTCTCAAGTGATCCTCCCACCTCAGCCTCTGGAGGATTTAGGACTACAGGAGTGCACCACCACATCTGCCTAAAATCATTTTTTATTTTTTGTAGAGATGGGGTCTCACTATGTTGCCCAGGCTGGTTTCCAACTTCTGGGTTCAAGTGATCCTCCTGCCTCCCAAAGTGCTGGGATTACAAGCATGAGCCACTGAGACTGGCCCCTCTCCCACTGCTTTGCTGAAATTCTTCTGGCAAGTCCACCAAAGCCCTCCTCATTAACAAAAGCCAGGGATTCCTTTAGTCCGAGTTGTATTAGTCCATCTGTAGCATCTGCTGTTAGCTACTCCTCTTTAGAAAACTCCATCCTCGCTTGGCATCTACTAAAACGTCTCTTTCAGTTCTTCTCCAATATTCTCGACAGCTCTGCCCTCAGCTTATCTCATAGGTTCCTCTTTTTTAGTCGATACAACCAGGTTCTCTCCTCAGTCATCTCTTCCCACTGTCTACATCTGCTCTCAAATCTTCCGTTCACACTCAAAGATGAATTACAACTGATTTCTTGATGATGAAAATTGTAATCTCCAGCATAGCTCTTTTTAGCACAATTGTGCATACATATGTGTGTATAGGTATGCATATGTATGTACATCATATATAAATTTGTGGAGCAGATACCATGTATAAAGCATTGTTCAAGATGTTTAATTATATTAACTCCGTAAAAGATATACTGTGAACCCCATTTTATAGAAGCAGAAACTGAGCTCACATACTTTAAGAAAGATGTCCAAGGTCACCAAGCCAGCCTAATAAAACTACTTACTCTGTTCACTCCAGTGTGTGCCTGGACCCTCAACTTTACAATTGCAAAAGTAAGTTTAGCTTTTTTTTTTTTTTTGAGACGGAGTCTCGCTCTGTCGCCCAGACTGGAGTGCAGTGGTGTGATCTCAGCTCACTGCAAGCTCCGCCTCCTGGATTCACGCCATTCTCCTGCCTCAGCCTGCGGAGTAACTGGGACTACAGGCTCCCGCCACCTCACCCGGCTAATCTTTTTGTAATTTTTGGTGGAGACGGGGTTTCACCGTGTGAGCCAGGATGGTCTTGATCTCCTGACCTGGTGATCTGCCCGCCTGGCCTCCCAAAGTGCTGGGATTACAGGCGTGAGCCACCGCGCCATCAGTCATTGATTCTCACTCTGCTTGAGATCCTGAGTCAAATTCATCTACAAATTCTGTTAGTCCAATTAATTGTTAAATCCTATTCATTTCTTCTATAAAATATTTTCACATTTATCATTTTTCATTCTGACTTCCATGGCTCTCATCACTGTCTTCCACGTAGACAGTATTAAATTATTGACTCCTCATTGCTACTGACTCTTCTCCTTCTTGCCCACCTCCACGTTAACAATAATACATTTTTCCAAAACAAGTTTCATTATGCTCAATTCCCTTCTTCAAATTTCCGATGGATTTCCCTTGTCTGTGTAATAGGTGCTAACCTTTTCACACGGCACACAAGACCTTTTCAGCTTGGTCTTGTTCTACCTTTTATCCCTCTTAATCTCCAGCCACATTCTGGAAGGCATCCTTTGTTACGGTTACACTGAATTACTTAACCTTCAGCATGTTCACGCTTACATATTTTTGCTTCTTCTCCTGCCTAGAATGACCTCTCCTAATAAATGTACCCCAAGAGCTCCTATTTTACAGTTAGTAATCAAACTAAATGCTACCTCTTCTTTGAACTTTATCTGATCCAACCCATCCAACTGAGTTGTTCTTTCATTTATATTACTGGAGTATTCCATACAAACCACTATTTTAGGTGGCATGGTTTCAGGTCTTTAAGTCCATTCATTAGCTCACCTATGAGTTCAATGATTACTGCAATGTGTGTAATTTGGCAATTTTTCATTTTCTATAGGCCTTGTATTGAATAGGCCTTTTATTGGATAATATACATATGATAACTAAAGATAAACACTTTAATTATTATGTTACCCTTGTGACCTCAGATTTTCAAGCATGGCTATCTTTTCTTGAGAGAATGATTTATTTCATTCATATCAGTACTAATATACTGAATTCATTTCAGAATAAATGCTATGTCCTAATAGAAAATAAAACAAATATAATACTAGGAACGAGTTTTACTACCTTTATTCTTCCCAACTCAAACTGGAAAACATTGGGACTTGTAGCTTGTGCAAAAACCGCAGGAAATAATTTTGTACTCGGCTCCACCTGAAATACACAAATGAGTTTAATAATGTTAGTAATGAAAGAAGACAAGGGAAAAATAATTTCTTTATAACAACAAAGGAATACTTTACAGAAGGAACCCAGAGATTTTCCTTTCTTGCATATTGATTGATGTGCTCCTTCAATAATTAGAGTATTTCGTTACTATGTGAACACTGCTGAGGGAACATACTGTGTTTACTCTGAAGGGCTTATGGCACTGTCATTACTTAGCGGAAGTAAACATACATAATTAATTCAGTGTTTTCCATTTTCTTTTAATTTCTAATTTACTGTTTTTTAATTGACACATTGTACATATTTAATGGAATGCAATATGATGTTTTGATACGTGCATACATTGTGTCATGATCAAATCAGGGTAATTAGCATGACTATCACCTTGAACACTTTTCATTTCTTTGTGGTGAGAACATACAAAATCCTCTCTTCTAGCTATTTTGAGATATACAATACCTGAGGGTGGACCATAGTCACCCTACTGTCCAATAGGACACCAGCACTTATTCTTCCTTTCTAATGTTAACTCTATATCCGTTGGATATCCACTCCCTCTCCCCCACTTTCCCCTACCCTTCCCCAGTATCTGATAATCACTATTCTATTCGCTACTTCCATGAGATTAACTTTTTTTGATTCTACATATGAGTGGGCAATGCAGTATTTTTCTATGTCTGGCTTATTTCACTTAACACAATATCCTCCAGGTTCACCCATATTGGAGTGAATGACAGGTTCTCATTATTTTTTATTATCAAATAGCATTCCATTGTGTATATATAGCACATTTTCTTCACTTACTCATCCACTGATGGGCACTTAGGCTGATTCCCTATCTCAGCTATTGTGAATAGTGCTGTGATAATTATAGGAGTACAGATATCCCTTCCACACACCGATTTCATTTCCTTGGGATATATACCCAGTATGGGGAATTCTGGATCATATGGTAGTTCTGTTTTTAATTTTTTGAGGAACCTCCATACTGTTTTTCATAATGGCTATATTCATTTACATTCCCACAAACAGTATATGGGTTTCTCTCTTCCTCAGCATTCTTGCCAACGCTTATTATCTTTTGTCTTTTTGATAATAGCCATTTTAACTGGAATAAGGTAATCTTGTGGTTTTGATTTGCACTTTGCTGATGATTAGTGATGTTGAACATGTTTTCATATGCCTGTTGGCCATTTGTATGTCTTCTTTTGAGAAATGTTTACTAAGGTCTTTTGCCCCCTTTTAAATCAGATTGTTTTTACTATTGTTGTTTGTGTTCCTTATATATTCTGGATATTGATCCCTTATCAGATGCATACTTTGCAAATATTTGGTACCATTCTGTAGGTTGTCTTTTCACTCTGTTAATTGTTTCCTTGGCTGTGCAGAGGATTTTTAGTTTGATATAATCCCACTTGTCTATTTTTGCTTTTGTTGCCTGTGCTTTTGAGGTCTTGTCCAAAAACTTCTTACCCAGTCCAATGTCATGAAGTGTTTCCTCCATGTTTTCTTCCAGTAGTTTCATAGTTTCAGGTCTTACATTAAGTCTTTAATCCACTTTGAGTTGATTTTTGTATATGGTGAAAAACAGGGGTCCAGTTTCATTCTGCATGTGGATGTTCAAATTTCCAAGTACCATTTATTAAAGAAACTGTCCTTTTCCCAATGTATATTCTTGGAACCTTTGTTGAAAATTAGATGGATAGATGGGTTTGTTTCTGGGCTCTCGGTTCTGTTTTATTGGTCTATATGTCTGTTTTGGTTACTATAGCTTTGTAGTATAGTTTCAAGTCATGTAGTGTTTTGGTTACTATGGCTTTGTATATTTTCAACTCAGGTAGTATGATGTTTCCAGCTTTATTCTTTTTGCTCAAGATTGCTTTGACTACTTGGGGTCTTTTGTGATTTCATAAGAAATTTAGAATTATTTTTTCTATTTCTATAATAGAATAATAATGTCATTGGTATTCTGATAGTGACTTTACTGAATCTGTAAATTACTTTTTGTACTATGGACATTTTAATAATATTAATTCTTCCAATCCATCCAATCCAACAGCATGAGATATCTTTCCATTTATTTCTGTACTCTTAAATGTATTTCACAAATGTTTTACAGATTTCAGTGTAGAGTTCTTACATCTCCTTTGTTAAACGTGTTCCTAGATAACTGATTTTTTTGTTTTTGTTTTTGTTTTTTGAGATGGAGTCTCGCTCTGTCACCCAGGCTGGAGCTCATCTCACCGCAGCCTCTGACTCCCAGGTTCAAGTGATTCTTCTGCCTCAGCCTCCCCAGTAGCTGGGATTACAGGTGCCTGCCACCATGCCCAGCTAATTTTTTGTATTTTTAGTAGAGACGGGGTTTCACCATTTTGGCCAGGCTGGTCTAGAACTCCTGACCTCAGATGATCCACCCACCTCGGCCTCCCAAAATGCTGGGATTACAGGCGTGAGTCACTGCACCCAGCCGATAACTGATTTTTAAAGCTATTGTAAATGACATTGTATCTTGATTTTTTTTCTCAGAGCATTCACTACTAGTGTAAAGAAATACTGATTTTTGCATGCTGATTTTGCATCCTGCAAATTTACTGAATGTATTAGTTTTAACAGTTTTTTAGTAAACTTTTAAAGCTATTTTTATATATAAGATCATGTCATTTACACACTGAGACAATTTGATGACTTTTTTTTCCAATCTGGATGCCTTTTATTTCTCTTTCTTGCTGAATTCTCCAGCTAGGACTTCTAGTAATATGTTGAACAGAAGTGGTGAAAGTGGGCATCTTTGTCTTGTTCCAGACCCTAGAAAAAAAGCTTTCAACTTTTCCCCCATTTAGTCCTAGGCTTTTCTTTGATGGATACTTTTCATTACTGATACAATTTCTTCACTCACTATTAATCTGCTCAGATTTTCTATTTCTTTGTAAGTTAGTCTTGGTAGGTTGTATACATCTAGGAATTTATCCATTTCTTCTGGGTTATCCAATTTGTTAGCATATGATTTTTCATAATATTTTCTCATTACCCTTCATATTTCTGTGGTACAGGTTGTAACGTCTTCTTTTCAATGCTGATTTTATTTATTTGAGTCATCTCTTTCTTTCTTCGTCTAAAGGTTTATTGATTTTGTCTTTTCAAAAAACCAACTCTTCGTATCATTGATCTTTTGTATTGTTTAGTCTCTGTTGCATTATTGTTCCAATTTTTATTATTTATTTACTTCTATTAATTTGAGGTTTAGTTTGTTCTTGTATTTGTGGTTTTTGGAGGTGCAATATTAGGTGGTTTATTTTTTACTTTTTAAATGTAGGCATTTAATACTGTAAACTTCCCTCTTAGAACTGCTTCTGCTGTATCCCATAACTTTCGGTATGTTGTGTTTCCATTTTTGTTTGTCTCAAGAAAATTTTAAATTTCTTTTTTAATTTCTTCATTTGCCCACTGGTTATTCAGGGGCATGTTGTTTAATGTCTATGTATTTGTAAAGTTTCCTCAGTTCCTCTCATTATTTATTTCTAGTTTTACACTAGTGTGATCAGAAAACATATACAATATCATCTTAAATTTTTAAAGATTTGTTTTGTGGCCTAACATATGATCTATTCTGGAGAAAATCCCATGAGCAGTTGAGAATAATGTGTATTCTTCAGCTATACAACTGTTGCCTAGAATGTTCTGTAAATGTCTAGTATGTCCCCTTGGTCTAGAGTGCAGTTTAAATCTGCTGCTTCCCTGCTGAATTTCTGTCTGGATCATCTGCTGCTGCTGAAATTGGGGTGTTGAACTCCCCTACTATTATTGTGTTGAAGCCTCTCTCTCCCTTTAGATAAAACATACTTCATATATTTTGATGCTCCAGTGTTGAATGCATATAAATTCACAATTGTTATATCCTCTTAATTGATCCTTTGTTTTTATTAAATAATGACCTTCTTTGTCTCTTTTTTACTTTTTTTGAATTAAGTCTATTTTATCTAATATAAGTGTGGCTACTTCTGCTCACTCTCGGTTTCCATTTGCATTGAATATCTTTTTCCATCCCTTCACTTTAGGGCTATGTCTGTCCTTACAGGTGAAGTGAATCTCTCGTGGGCAGCATAGAGCTGAGTCTTGCTTTTTATCCATGCAGCCACTCTATATATTCTAATCAGGCAATTTAATCCATTCACATTCAAGGTTATTACTGATAGGTAAGGAATTATTCCTGACATTTTGTTCATGTTTTCTAGATCCTTCGTTTCTTTCTTTCTCTCCTGCTTACCTTTGTGGTTTGGTAGCTTTTTGTGGTGCTATGCTTTGATATCTTTCCCTTACTCATTAGTGTGACTGCTGCAATTTTTTCTTTGTGGTTACTATGAAACTAAGATAAACAATATTGTAATTATAATAGACTATCTTAAGCTGGTAACTTCGGTCACATAAAAACACTCTGGACTGGCTGGGCACAGTGGCTCATGCCCGTAATCCCAGCACTTTGGGAGGCCAAGGTGGGCAGATCATGAGGTCGGGAGATCGAGACCATCCTGGCCAACATCATGAAACCCCATCTCTACTAAAAATACAAAAATTACCTGGGTGTGGTGGTGCATGTCTGTAATCCCAGCTATTTGGGAGGCTGAGGCATGAGAATTGCTTGAACCCAGGAGGCAGAGGTTGCAGTGAGCTGAGATCGCGCATTGCACTCCAGCCGGGTGACGGAGCAAGACTCTGTCTCAAAAAAAAAAAAAAAAATACTCTGGACTTTTACCCTCCCCTCACAACTTATATTTCTGTTGACTTAATTTACATCTCTCTATATTGTGTGTTCCCTAACAACCACTTGTAGCTGCAGTTACTTTTGACAATTTTGACTTTTAACCTTCATACTAGGGTACTAGAGGTTTGAAAGATTTGGCATAGCACCGTTTCAGTACTGCAGTATTCTGAGTGTGATTTAAAATTTACCTCTACGAATGGGTTTTATATTTGTACATGTTTTCATGTTAGTAATTACCATCCTTTTGCCTCCAGCTATAACACTGCCTTAGGCATTTCTTCTAAGGCAGGTCCAGAGGTGGTGAATTCATTCCGCTTTTGCTTATCTGTGGAGTACTCTATTTTTCTTCATTTCTGAAAGATAGCTTTGCTAGACATAGTATTCTTGGCAGGCAGTTGTTCTTTCAGCACATTGAATATACCATCTCATTTCCCTAGCCTTCAAGGTTTCTGCTGAGAAACTTGCTGATAGTCAAATGGAAATCCAAGTATATACGACTTGGTGCTATTCTCTCACTGCTCTTAGAATTCTCTCTTTTTCTTTGATATTTGACAGTTTGCTTATAATGTGCCTTGGAAAGGACCTTTCTGGGTTGATTCTCTTGGGATCCTTTGAGCTTTCTGGATCTGGATGTTCATATCTTTCCAAAGACGTGGAAAGTTATTAGTCATTATTTTGTTAAATGTTTTCTGTGCCTTTCTCCGTTGCTCAGTGGCATCCCATAAGTTCTGCAGGCTTTCTTCCTTCTTTCTTGCTTCTTTTTCTCCCTCTGGATGGGTTATTTCAAAAGACCTGTCTTTGAGTTCACAAAATCTTTTTTACGCTTGATCTAGTCTGTTGCTGAAACCCTCAGTTGTGTATTTTATTTCATTTATTGAATTCTTGAGTTACAAGATTTCTGTTTAGTTCTTTTCTACTATATGCATTTCTTTGTTAAATTTCTCATTCAGATCATGAATTGGTTTCCTGATCTTGTTGAAGTATCTGCATTTTATTGTATCTCACTGAGTTCTCTTACAATCATTATTTTGAATTTCTTTTCAGGCATTTTGTAAATTTATTTTGGCGTCGGGCATCTGTTACTAGAGAATTATTGTGTTCCTTTGAAGGAGTCGTGTTTTCTTCCATTCACATGTTTTTCATGTTCCTTTGATATCTGCTCATCTGGTAAAACAGTAGCCTCTTCCAATTTTATGAAGTAGCTTTTGTAGGAAAATAGTTTTTCCTGTAGATGGATTCTAGGGTATCGGTTGGGTAGAATACACTGGTTTTGGTTCTGGGTGGATGCAGTAATGTAGTATCTGTGCAGATTTTTCAGATGTAATTTATGTCAGCAGCATCGGCAAGTACCTCAGTGGCCTAGCTACAGGCATTTGTGGTGATTGTGCAGCTTTGTTGGGGTAAGGCCACCAAGGTGGTTCTCAGGTCACAGGAGTGCAGTGGCTGGGACAGCTATGGGGAGGGCTTGCTGGGGGCAGGTCTGCTTGGCTGGCTTTCAAACCAGGGGCACATGTACATGTGTCTATTTTACTTTTTGATCTTACAAACTGTGTTTCCTTTAATGGGGAAAAAAGTCTTCCTCCCTAGAAGCCTGATATCATCACTGACCACGTACCTGATAGTATGTGCTCAGTTCCTTGCCATTGGCAATGAACGTGAGCAGCCCGCTGGCAGCATCCACCACACAGCCGATCTCCAGTCCATTATTGTTGCGTCCTTGCCCGGGGCTCATGCTCTCACCCGCACATACCATATAGCAGTTGCTGCGTTTGATGCTGAATTTCAAAAGAACATTTTTATCTTTGTACAACCACAGATAAAAGAGAAAGCAGGTATATCTTGCAAACTAACTAAATTATGCTGCGCAAGCAACAAGCTCATGCTGTAATGGGAGAGGTGCACAATGGGCCCGATTCTGTGATTTTGAGCAAAACTCCATTGACTGCAGTGGACGTTCTGAATCAGGTCTTATACATCTCTACATTTCACACCTAATGAAGACAGGTCAACAAGTTGGAACCAAGTAAGAACTGACCTGCACCTTCTCTCCAAAAACTCAAACCAAACTAGACCTTTTTTCTGGGTTCAAAAAAGTTTAACTATTTAAAAATCATCCATATTTGTAATTTTCATCTCATGGATTTTTTTTTTTAGTTTTTTTTTTTAGTTGGTTTTTTTTTTTTTTTTTTTTTACAACTTGTTCTGAAATGGGAAGCATTTGTTTCCAAACACTGTCAAAGTCCTCAGGCAAATTCCACATAAGCCTTCAGTGATTTGATATATTTAAAATTTGGCTAAAATTTTGCCCCTTTCTGGACAATTCCCAGTGATCTGAGAGACAGACTTATCTAGAATATGCAAACAAACAAACAAACAAACAAAACTCAGTGATGTTAACCACAAATGCCACCTGATTTTCACCTTCCCTAAAACTTTTACTAGAGATGGTAACAGAGTTGAGTATTTGAGCCTTATCAGCATTCTCTTTCTCTGCCACTATACAGTAAACATATTAACAAAACTAGCAAAAAAGGCTAAAGGCAGGCAAGCAGAAGGAAAAGAACAAAAAGGCTGGGACAAATCAGTTTTTGAGTAATCAAATGTAGGCTGCATTTCTTCACACTATGTACGTAAAATCCAGTGACCCTTCCCTATCTTCCATTTCCTCCAACAAAATCATCTTTCAGTTATCCCATCCCTATATTGAGTTCGTTAGTTATACTGCTGCCATCCCTGCAAATTAAGTGTGGCCCCCAAAGAATATTCCTGGAGACACGTGGTTTTTTTGTCCCATACTTATGTAAAGAGCTCTTCATTAGAGATTTTGGCTGGGCCCCCATTGCAAATGCTAGGTCCATTATGCTTCATATGTTACAACCCGAGGGCAGGAAAGTGAGTTTCCCAAAAAATGATGGTGCAAGTATAGAAGAAAAGCAACGTTATAAAGGACTCTTTCTGAGACCTGTCACAGCAGATCAGAGAGGATGCATGGGCACAAAAAGTAGAAGCCAATGGTCAGATCTTCTCTTGTCTTATTCTGCAAGGAAGATAGCCTTCTTCACTTTTTTGAAGGTTTGGTTTGAGTTTGGTTTGTTTTACAAATGAAAAAAAGATGGCACAGAAAGTGTAACTGACTTACCCAAAGCCACACAGCGAGTCAATGGCAAAGCTGAGGAAAGAACCCACTTCTCCTCAGTCTGAGTTCAAATGCGTCCACCTGGTCTAAACTACCAGCCCACATTGTCTTCACAGTTTTCTCCCCACCACGTAGCCAGTTCCCAAAATATAGATCAAGTCATTGGTTAAAAGCCTCACATTCACCCATCTCTCATCTCTAAAACAAAGGCTAAGTATTGGTAACCCAAGCTGTCAGTCATGTTACCTGAAGGAATATATGATCATTACCCCAAAAGACTGCACTGGTCTTACTGTACAATGCTTGCACGTTTAATACATTTAGATTCCTTACTGGTTTGTATGAGTAACAAAAACGACATTGACATTAATGGCTTGATTATATTGTTCCTACAAATAGAAATACCTTGGTCACAAAATACAAGGAAAAGGAACAGCTAGGTTCAGCAATATGTTTTTCACATGTCATTCTTGTAAAAAATTGAGGAACACCAACCTTTCATGCACTTTTCCTTTTTCATCTCCTAGAGTAACTGTTACTGTGCGAACTCTGTCCAAGTCAAAGCCTGTGTCATACTGATGGAAATCCGATGTAATCCAGCCCACCCAGACATTAGCAGGTTCTTGTCCAGGGAAGATTCTCACTGAGTAATAGTACTGTGAAGATAGCAAAACCAAATATTGGCAAAATAAAACTAAACAAAACAAAACTTGGATTTGCAATCCTAACTATGTCTAACTCTGTGATTGACTTAAGAATTCACTTCTTGATTTAAAACCATTTGGGTGAATGAAAATACTGAAGGCACAAAGGACTAACACTACAAACTAAGAGATGTCTTTTATCAAAGATCCTGAATTAAATCAGAAATAACAGGAAAGAGAGAAAAGACATGATCTGAGCAAACGTGCTAAATGATTTAAGTCTTTTTATGCTGGTGAGCATGTGTGTGTGTGCGCTACATGTGTGTAATATATACACATACATATATACATGTACATATATATACAGTATATGTAATAAAATAATGAATCCATTAAGCATAGGGAAGCTTCAAATTCTTCAAGCTTATACATGTATACAAATCTATGCTCACTTTTTTTTTTTTTTTTTTTGAGATAGACTCTCACTCCGTCACCCAGGCTGGGGTGTAGTGGTGTGATCTCAGCTCACGGAAGCCTCTGCCTCCCGGGTGCAAGAGAGTCTCCTGCCTCAGTCTCCCAAGTAGCCGGGACTACAGGTGTGCACAACCACACCCAGTTAATCTTTATATTTTAAGTAAAGTCAGGGTTTCACCATGTTAGCCAGGCTGTTCTCGAACTCCTCACCTCAGGTGATCCACCGGCCTTGGCCTCCCAAAGTGCTGGGATTACAGGCATGAGTCAGTGCACCTGGCCAATGTTTGGGTTTTTATACTTGTCACCCACCTTTTTGCACATTCTTGGCCTTTCCTTTCTCTGACATATAACATTTTGACACTTTAAATTCACTGGTTTTTTTTTTGAGACGGAGTCTCACTCTGTCGCCCAGGCTGCAGTGCAGTGACACCGTGTCGGCTCACTGCAACCTCCATCTCCTGGGATCAAGCAATTCTCCTGCCTCAGCCTCCCTAGTAGCTGGGATTACAGGTGCCCACCACCACACTCCCCTAATTTTTATATTTTTAATAGAGACAGGGTTTCACCATGCTGGCCAGGCTGGTCTCGAACGCCTGACCTCAGGTGATCCATCCACCTCAGCCTCCCAAAGTACTGGGATTACAGGCTTGAGCCACTGTGCCCAGCCTAAACTCATTTTGAAATAGTTCAGAACATGTGAACATCAAACTAAAATATGGGAGCACTCTACAATGAACACAACTAAATATTTTTTCAATGTAGCATTTTAGGAGAAGTAGCCTTGAGAATTTAAAATGGAAGAGTGCAAAAGCTTGACCTCTCACAAATTATGATAATTGATCTTCCTTTAGACAATTCAGTAAGATGAAGAAAGTAGTTGAAAAATTCAAGGGCAACTTAAAATTTTGTCAAGAAACAGAATAGCAAAATTAAGATTATGCATGCCATTAAAAATATTTTTCCTAAAATAGCTCTTTTATTGCATAATATCTATCATAATACATAAACTTTTTTCAAACTTTCAGTCCCCAAAATATATCCCAAAATAGAAACAGACATTTAAAAAATAATATTACTAAGTATGATGAATCAGTATGTGTTATTTGAGATGTAAAGCATAATGAGTGACAATGAGTGACAAATAGAAATAAATGACAAAAGCTGCAACCTCATACCGTGGACGTTTGCATCAAGAAATCATAATCATCCCGATCATCAGCAAGGACATCTTCGGTGAGTCTTGCAGAATGGCTCGTGCTGTAATCTGGCTTTGTTCTTCTAAGCAAAAATCTGAAATATTTTAGAGGACTAACAATAAGCAACATTAAAATGTTCTGTCTACTTCAAATATGAGCATAGAATCAATTGAGTTGCCTTAAACCTGGGCGATTTTGCTCCCTGGGGGACATCTGGGAATATCTGGAGATATATGTTTTTGGTTCTCACAGTGTGGGGGATGGAGTGCTACTGGCATCTAGTGGGTGGAGGTCAGGATGCTGCTCAGCATCCTTCAGTGCCCAAGGTGTTTCCTCAACAAAGAATTGTCTGGCCTAAACTGTCGATAGTGCTGAGACTGAGAAAATCTGATTTAGTATAAGAAAGGATGTTAAAATAACTTGCCGCCTTTATCATAAAAAAATACTATTTGGAGAAAATACTCTGCAAGTTTCAGGCAAGAATGTAAACATAGACATCTTAAAAAATAACTATTGAGATAGATAGCATCTACGCTAACAAATTAGATGACTAACAGGTTGCTTAATTTTTCCTTATAGAATCCTTTGCACAAAGAGGAGGGGGAGGGAGAGGAGGAGGAGGGGGAGGAAAAACCTTACACTAGGAGACCCTTTACTCTGGACTGTAACCCTCCTCACTTAACTACAAACTTAAAATCACAGTGTATAAAATAGTAACCTTTGTTTCAGACGAGAGGGCTTTTCCTGGGCATAATCTTTGTGGTTATTAAACTCTGGCTTGGTAGCTTCTTTGTCTTTGTCAACACGATCGGGCACTAGATGGCCATGAGCTGTCTTCATCAGAACCTCAAAGTCAGAATCAGCATCATAATCTTCCAAATCATTCTTGGGCCCAAAAAGGCCAGCCCCAGGGAGCCCTCCAGCCACAGTCTTGGAGAAGACCTCCGCGCACTCGATCGGCATGCTCAGGCGATAGAACATGATATCAGTGTGGCTGTTCTGAGAACCAAAAGACTTCTGAGTGACCTTTAAACATGGGGAACTGTCTATGGTGCCGTCTATTCTGGTCACCTAGCAAATGAAGAAGCAATAGGTCATATTCCAATCACCGTTGTCGATTTCCTGATTCTAAAGATGCCTAAGGCACATCACGTTTTCAGAATCCCAAATCAGTCCACGCATGGCATCATTTTGTAAGAGATAATTAAACAGATTACTGTGCTATGGATATAGTCATAGAGTTCTGCTTCTGTCTCTAAAGACGGTTTCGGAAATTTATCTTATAATTCTATATATTCAGATTCGGCCTGACATTGCCCACACATAAAAAGGAAAGTATTTTTCCTCATTCTAATAAGCTTCTTGTAACGTAGCTTATTAGAATGGATGTGGCTCCCTTTGCCTTGATCTTTCTTCTAACTAAAGACCTTGATGCGTACAAACCCCACACACAGTCTGAGCTACAGACTTCTTCACACATAGCTCAAGGGAAAAAAAAAGAATTGAAAGCAAAAATTTAAGTTTCCCATCCACTGACAGCTGGTATAAAGTGCCATCTTTGCTTAGATTCCACTTCTGTGTAAGGTCATCATTTTAAGTAAGTCACAATAATTGTCTAAGCAGAAGTTCCTATGTATAAAGATATTCTTTTCCTGCTTTTTAGAAACGACCTGATTTTGAAAGAAAAAGCAAACCTCTATATGTTCATGGTTTGATGGAACTTGGAGAAACTGAGGAAGCCTCTTGCTCAGCCACATAGTAATATCCCTGTTTGTATTAACGGCAAATGGTTCATAGCCCTCTTGTAAGCCACAGATGGTGAAGTATTTCAAGGTGCTGACATCCTTTCCAAAGTTCATCCTGCCCACTTGAGCCACTCCAAGGCTACACACAGGTATGAATCCTGGGAAGAAAAAAAAATTAAAAGTTTTAGTACCATTACTATATGATCCTGTTAGTATGGAATTATCACACATACTGTTCCAGGACTGAACTTTGAGAGAGCTGTCACCCTAGGGTGAAAAAAGTAGTGTAATAAAGGGAACAATGACATTAAATATTACCTGTAAGGGTGAGAAAACCAGGATTTGATCTTGACATTATAATTTACTAGCTGTGGGCCCTAGATAAATCCCTTCTCTCATCTCAGACTTAATTCTGTAAGACAAAGTAACTGCTCTGCAGCCCCTGGTCCTCCGGGGATTCTAGAGATCCCTGCCCTGCAGTCTCCTTGCTGAGCAGTGCATGCACTCTCTCATACAGGGAAAGTGAGAAGAAACTAAGTACCAGGGATGTGGTTCATTGGCCTTGCTCTTCCTTCTGGCTAAAGAGCTTGATACATACTAACACCAGACACAGTCTGAGCTATAGATTTCCTCATACATAGCTCAAGAAAAAAAAAATTGGAGGAAAAAATTTTAAAGTTTTCCATCTACTGATAGTTGCTTTTGATCTTTGAAGAAACTTTTGGCTTTTTTTTTTTTTCTGGAATAAACTGGATCTAAGCATGGGGGAAAAATACATGTTTAATGTATGAAGCATGTATTTATGCATGAGATATATTTATAATGCATAAATTATATATATAATCTTTTATTTAGATGTAATAGCAATGAGCAATAGAGCAAAAACCAATAAAATATTTCTTTTTTTAAATTATGCTTTATGTTCTAGGGTACATGTGCACAATGTGCAGGTTACATACGTATACATGTGCCATGTTGGTGTGCTGCACCCATTAACTACTCATTTACATTAGGTATATCTCCTAATGCTATCCCTCACCCCTCCCCCACCCCACAACCGGCCCCAGTGTGTGATGTTCCCCTTACTATGTCCAAGTGATCTCATTGTTCAATTCCCACCTATGAGTGATAACGTGCGGTGTTTGGTTTTCTGTCCTTGCGATAGTTTGCTGAGAATGATGGTTTCCAGCTGCATCCATGTCCCTACAAAGGACACGAACTCATCCTTTTCTATGGCTGCATAGTATTCCATGGTGTATATGTGCCACATTTTCTTAATTCAATATGTCACTGATGGACATCTGGGTTGGTTCCAAGTCTTTGCTATTGTGAATAGTGCTGCAATAAACATACGTGTGCATGTGTCTTTACAGCAGCATGATTTATAATCTGTTGGGTATATACTCAGTAATGGGATGGCTGGGTCAAATGGTATTTCTAGTCTAGATCCTTGAGGATTCACCACACCGTCTTCCACAATGGTTGAACTAGTTTACAGTCCCACCAACAGTGTAAAAATGTTCCTATTTCTCCACATCCTCTCCAGCACCTGTTGTTTCCTGACTTTTTAATGATCGGCCATTCTAACTGGTGTGAGATGGTACCTCATTGTGGTTTTGATTTGCATTTCTCTGATGGCCAGTGATGATGAGCATTTTTTCGTGTGTCTGTTGGCTGTATGAATGTCTTCTTTTGAGAAGTGTCTATTCATATCCTTTGCCCACTTTTTGATGGGGTTTTTTCTTGTAAATTTGTTTGAGTTCTTTGTAGGTTCTGGATATTAGCCCTTTATCAGATGAGTAGATTGCAAAAAATTTCTCCCATTCTGTAGGTTGCTTGTTCACTCTGATGGTAGTTTCTTTTGCTGTGCAGAAGCTCTTTAGTGTAATTAGATCCCATTTGTCAATTTTGACTTTGTTGCCATTGCTTTTGGTGTTTTAGACATGAAGTCCTTGCCCATGCCTATGTCCTGAATGGTATTGCCTAGGTTTTCTTCTCGGGTTTTTATGGTTTTAGGTCTAACATTTAAGTCTCTAATCCATCTTGAATTAATTTTTGTATAAAGTGTAAGGAAGGGATTCAGTTTCAGCTTTCTACTTATGGCTAGCCAGTTTTCCCAGCACCATTTATTAAACAGGGAATCCTTTCCCCATTTCTTGTTTTTGTCAGGTTTGTCCAAGATCAGATGGTTGTAGATGTGTGGTATTATTTCATAAGCTCTTCTCATGTGTGTCAGAGTTAGCAAATCTTTCCTCTATTGAACAAAAAGGGGAAACTATACTAACTTTGTTAATTGTTTTTTTGAGCTCTTTGGAATTGATTGGCAACACAATCAGTTAGAAAGGAGATGAGATTTTTTTTCACAAAAGGATGAGATGATATTCATCAGGGGTGGGTGTTTACTTTTTTATTTTATTTTATTTTATTTTGAGACAGAGTCTCACTCTGTCACCCAGGATGGAGTACAGTGCCATGATCTTGGCTCACTGCAACTTCTGTCTCCCAAGTTCAAGTGATTCTCCAGCCACAGCATCCCAAGGAGCTGAGACTACAGGTGCGTGCCACTGTGTCTGGCTAATTTTTGTATTTTTAGTAGAGACGGGGTTTCACCATGTTGGCCAGGCTGGTCTCGAACTCCTGACCTCAGGTGATTTGCCTGCTTCGGCCTTCCAAAGTGCTGGGATTACAGGTGTGGGCCATTGTGCCTGGCCTTCACTTCTTTCTATAATGTTTTACATGAATGTTCAAGTAGGCAGCACACTAAAAACGTCAGTGTTGGAATGCAGACAAATAGATCCTCTAATTTGTAGAGCATAAAAGCAATGGATCCTAAGAATAAGCCAACAATTTTGACAAGAATTGTAGTTAGCTCTGTCATTATGATTTACACACTTTTTGAAGTTAGTGGCAGTGCAAGCAATATATAGCCCCCAAAATAGCATAAGATGATAAAAATTACATCCAATAATTCATAATGATTTCACCAGTTTGTATGCATCAACATATAGTCAGATGAATAGCTGTATAACAGTGCCACCAACCAGGAAAAAAGAACATATCCAGCTGTGTTCGAGGAAGGGTAAATGATGAGTTTCTAGTTAAAACTAAAAAAAATTGCAGCTGTATCTGCAGCTGTGACAGCTCTTAAAGCTACATTCAAGGAAAGTTGTTTTAAATGAGTGTCCCCAAAGAAATCAAAGAAAAAGCACGGTGTAAATACAATAGTTCTCAGACAGCTTGAACTGCATTAGCAGAAATTAGTAAATCTAGCACCCATTTAACATAAACTAGGAGATACCAAGATAGAAACATCTCCTCAAATGGTAAACATCTATTTCTTTCTGATCACTTTATTTGTAGAAGGAGTTCCTAGCCTACATGGAAAGTTACTGGAGAGCTGTAAATATCTGTATAGTTGACCTTCAGGTATTTGTTTCACTAATACCTAAACTTTTCTGCATATCTGAAATACTTTCATTTAAAATACTCAGTCTAGTACTATGCACAAATATTTATGTCCTAAACTGTTCCCCATAGCTATGTTTATAATTCTAGAATACTGTTTCGATAATAAATATACTTTTTTTCATGAGATGAACATTATTCAGCCTTTGAAATTTTGGTTTTGAAAGGCCCATTAATGCATAGGAAAATACTCCAAGTAATTATTATGTAAAGAAAGAAAGATAACATATGGTTTATTTTTAGATAGGAAAACATCAGTACGGTTTTTATTTAAAAGCTTCAGAATAGTGGAATTTTGGGTACTTTTGTTCTCTATGGCTCCCAATTTAACAAATTTTCTTATATATATATATATATTTTATTATGAAAACAAGTAATAGCTTTCATTTAAAAAATTTTGTTTAATAAAATGGGACAAACCCACATCTTTCCCATAAAGAAATTTGTAAGAGTGATGTGGACATAAAATGGCCCAAACAACATATTGTTTGAGTCCTAACACTCAATGTTGGTAGGTGGTGAATTCACTAACAGAAATCCTCCTAATCAACTTAAACTAGTACAAGATTTATGTAGAGCAAGTTGGTAATATGTGTTAAGAAGCTTTCAACCATTTATTTACTTATTCAATAATTACTTACTAAGCAACTACCATGTGTCAGAAAGTAGGAGTAAAAGATGACTCACACAGATCCAGGGTAAAACATGCTCATGGTCTAATGACATAGAAAGAAAAGAAGAAGTTATACTGGCTGGGCGTGGTGACACCTGTAATCCCAGCACTTTGGGAGGCTGAGGCAGGTGGATCACTTGAGGTCAGAAGTTCAACACCAGCCTGACCAACATGGTGAAACCCTTCTCCACTAAAAATATAAAAATTAGCCGGGCGGAGTGGTGGGTGTCTATAGTCCCAGTTACTTGGGAGGCTGAGGCAGGAGAATTGCTTGAACCTGGGAGGTGGAGGTTGCAGTAAGCCTATATTGTGTCACCGCACACCAGCCTGGGTGACAGAGCAAGACTCCATCTCAAAAAAAAAAAAAAAAAAAAAGTTGTTATACTGAAATAGCGTACCATCCATCTAAGCAGACAGGGTTCTAGGAGCAAAGGAAGCGTGGAGAGATGGGAGTCAGGAAGGTTTTGTAGGAGAGTTAACATCTAAGAAGATGGCAGACGGATATTACCATGAAGTGACTAAAAACACAGAGTTCTAAGTCCAATAAACCAGGATTCATGTCTTAGCCCCACCACTTGTTAGCTATTTGACCTCTGGCAAGTTACTTAAATTCTCTAAGCTTTACTCCTATCTTCTGTAACACCTGCCCCTTAGGGTTATAGTTTTAAAATTAGATCTTATGTGTATAATGCTTAGCATGGATGCTCAGTGAACTAAATTTTAAATGGAAAAAAAAAGGTAAAAAGAGAAAATAATTCCTGAGAAGAGAATGATTAACCATGATAAATACACAGGATTAAATGTGTGCAGCCATTAAAAATCATCTTTAGGGCTCAACAAAATAAACTGTAGAGAGAGATAAAATTAATATGGCAAAATAAAAATCATTGACGATCCCAGGTAAAGAATATACAGATGTTACTAAAGCATTTATTTTTGCACTTTTCTGCAGGGTAGATAGTTCTCAAAATAAAAAGTTGATTTAAAAAAAACCAAAAAAGTATGTTTAAAATGTTTTTA